CAGCGAAATAAGACATTTAATGCTCTTACTGTTCCGTCATTCCTTCAGGGTTTTAGATTTTAAGAGAAAAAACGTTGTTTGGTCTATACGCCATTTTTCTTTTGTTCTTAGTTTCCTTGCAGATGGTTTCAACGTCTTACTTTCAGGAAAAAAATTTGAATTATCCTAAAAATTGAGCGTTATCAAGCACGCACAAACATATACATATATGGAAATGAATTTGATATCAGAGCTCTAGTTATAAGACAAACTTTTACGACGAATAACTCCACGTCTCCATGGAAACACCAAAGAAAGTTGTGTTTTGGACCCTGCTGTGTCTTTTCGTATTTCATCATGATAAGTCGCAGATACAAGCACAAACTTAAAAACTCTAAAGCATTCTCTGTGGGATTTCAACTGATTCTTTTTTTCACGTTATAACGTGATCAGTTTGTACAGGCTATGCCGTAATTATCTTCTGGAATTATGAAAGGAAGACGTTTTCGGTCAAACGCGGTATATGATAGATTAATCAATCTCATTTTTTAAACAATTCCTGTGTCTTCTCCTCATTTATAGCCAAGATCAAAACATCAAAGTATGCCGCTAGTTTATTGATGTGGTCAACTGTTGCATATTCTAATTACTAGCGGTACGGGAAGTTCTCAGTCAGAACGGGAAAAAGTTAAATTAAGGTCAAGATTCTGATTTATATTCCACAATTTTGTTTGAAGAGAGCTTCGCTGAGTAGAACTGGTCGATTGATCTCAACTTAACAGAGCTAGAAAAACTGCCCTATCTTCATAAAAGTCGTTACGTCCATCTTGCTCGATGGTTTAACTAAAAATACGAGCAATGTGCAAAATCTCCACTTTTATTTAACAAATAGAGAAGCCTTGGCTGTGCTCTGTTCTGTTGTAAAGCACACAGGAAGCGGTTCGAGCACGAAAGAAGTGTAGGGAAAAACACGAGACGTAGTCATCAAGATTGTTTTGTTTTGTTTGTGAACACGAAACTATATATACTACACGAGTGTTGGCCGAGTGTTTCACTTTTAATTAATGAAAAAAAGCTAGAGAGAGGTCTGGGAAATGGTCGATCACAGCACAATTAGGCAGTTAGGGTGACGGCTTTAGCTGTCTTTCCCTATGTTCTATACTCAGATAGAGCACGCTGTTTCAGCCGATGACAGCGCGCGTTATATCCGAACTTTATTATAACATAAGTTGAGCCATGCAAAATGGGATTCATTATGCCATTTTGATTCTACTTTTACCTTTTCGGGTTATGGTTTCTGAAATATACATTCCCACGGCATTCTTGGAGAATCATATCAATTGCAGAAGGCGTGCGCGAAGGAGGAACCAACACAAGCGAAAAATGTCCTTTGTGACAAGCAAGGAATCAAAGACACAAAAATATCTGTTTTATTCAAAAGTCCATCGCAGAAAAGCCCAAAGGAAAACTTGAACAAATCAACGTTTAAATCGTTCCGTGAGGTCATGTTATCGGTTTTTTTTCCGTTCGTACTTTTTGCCTTGTTATACCGTATAACACCATAACATTTTGCGTTTCCTGTTGCCCTAATGTAATAAAATAGCATGATGATGGCATTATGAAGTAGTTTACATATCCTTCCTGTTGATAATCAGCTCAGTTCCTCGATTATCCGCCGACGCAACTAAACAGGTCCTTCAGTTAATAACTCTGCCAATTTGTTAAAAGCTTTTAGCGCGTATCCTACCTCATAGTTGTGGCGACCGTGCAACTGTCACAGTCAAGGTGAAGAAATCCTACTGTGAACATCATATACCGATATGCCAAATTGTTTGAGCATGCGTGGTATTACTTCAGAAGATTTGCTTTGGCTTTTTGATTGGTTATTTCGCTAATGATTTTCAAAAATCGTGTGGCGTGATAATTGTTGACTTTTTGTGGTGTCTGTAATAACGGAGTTGCAATTTTTATCTCATCTGTATTTAAAAAACCATGGTGTGCTATAACGCTTATTAAGGCAGCTGCCGAGACTTTTAAACTAAATGACTTTTTATCTCTGGCTGAGGCAAAATGTGAAAAAAGGTTACCTTCACAGGAAAAACTGAGACTGTGCCTAGCTTTGTGTCATGTGGAGGAAAATTTCTTGTGTCTGGTAAAAACCTGATTTTCAAATTTGTCCGTAAAATATCTTTTAGAAGGTTGCAACATTGCAGCGATGAACTGTGGTGGAAGCGTATTCCACTCTTTTCAAAATTGTTGGAAAAACTCGTGAGAAAGGCCACTTTAATTTGCTGGGCTCACACAATCAAGCTTGGCCCTTGGTATCAACAGAGTTAGGACACAGTTTGTTTTGTTGAACATGTCTGGCTAGATTTTTTAGGTTATCTTTTGGCAATCCAAGCTAGTTTTCTCCATTCGTAGCCATCCTCGTTCTTTCTCGATTTATTCGTACCATTTTGTCGCATTCTACCTTCCCAATCGAACTCGGTTGTTCTTCTCCCTTTTAAGGTGCATAGAATTTTCCTGTTGCAGTCAGTCTTGACGGCTCAAATCATTGCGATTCTTAACACAAAGCCATCTTCGTTCTTTCTTGATTTACTAATTATTATTTGTTTTGTTCTTTCTTCTCAATCTAACATTTTGTAGTTCCTCTTCCTTTGACGGTAATATTTCTTGTCGCAGTAAGAATGGACGGCTCAAATCAGCGCGATTTAGCTCCTTCATCGCGTAAGGAGTCTAAGAGATCGAACATTTGCAGCCTGACTGTTTAAATATTTGAATTGTGTAACTGTTTAAACTGACATTCAACTTTAAACATCCCTCAAATCAAGAGAAGAGCAAATGAATCGAAAGCAAACAACCAAAAATAAGCCGAGAAACAAATAAGCAGTCCTTAGCTGTGAGGCTCAGTGTTATGTCATAAGGCAACGATTTACATGTTGGGAAATGTTGTGCTGGCGATATAATCTTGCATTATGGTTGGACAACACGCAAAGTTCGGTCAAAAAACATAATTTATATCCTTGATCTGCAACTTCCATAATTCCTAACTAATTCCGTGTTCTTTTTGACCCCTAAATCGCCAACAAAAACATTTACCAAGGCACCAAGAGACAGATTACAAAAACAAAACAGGACACGGCTTTAAGAACGGCCGCTACTGATATCATAGTTTGAAAACAAAATTGAGGCCCTGATCGACCAACTTAGCATGACATTTGTTGCACTTTTTTCCATTTTATCCAATATTTCTTGATTTTATTCATGTAAAATTAATTATATCTCACCGAAGAGGTGAAAAGTTTGTCACCTTTTCGGAATTAGATATGTTTTCCTTTTTTCCAACTATATTTATTTGCGGCATATCTAAAAGAAGCGACAGCGAAATATAATTAAAACGGCGGAAATGGCGGACACCCTTCGAAGGAAAACCGGAATTGGAGATGCTTTAATTCGATACAAGTGAGAAAAATTATTTAAAATAAAAGCTGAAAAACAGTTTTTGACAGGGTGCCTCGGCCATTGTCCAGTGTGTTTTTCCGTCAGAACTTTAATCGAGGTGACGAGTGAGGAACAGAAAATCTATCGAGCTGAGTAAGTCAGGTCATGTAGTGTACCACAAACGTAATTTTATTTGCTTCATTAAGATCCCGCCTAGTTAATTGAAAGTATACATGGGGCCAAGTTATTGAAATTGAGGGATTTAATTTCAGATTTGCTTCGAGTTGAAGATGTCATCGCACCAAGTGTTTCACTATTAAAACGACTTTTTTCGTTTAATCGGCAATCTTCAAAAAAATCCCATCTTCTGAGAGTTAGAGGGGTGAAAATTCACCAGAAATAAAAAAAAAGATAATTAAAAAAGACATTACAACGGAAGAAAGGAAGAGAAATTCAGCAAGTTCAGTTTGGAGTTTTGTTCCTACAGTTCTAGCAATCTCACATCTTGAATGGGTTCTTCTCTATAGTCTTCGCCGAGTGCTGTTATCCGAAAATCCACCATATTTTTTTGATCAATTAATTGTTTGATAGATGTGTAATGGCGTCCACAGAGCTATAAGTAAAGAGCTTCATTGCAGAAACATTGTTTGATTTCAAAATAAAACGAAGCGAAACATGAATGTAAAAATTTGCTTTGCATTTCGACCGTAACTTTCCTGGTGTGCTCAAAGGCAAATTAACTCACTCTCTTTTCTTTCATTCTTGATGTTTTGTAAACGACAAAGAAAAAAAAACTCTAAAAATTTTTTATATTTTATCATGTTTATTCATATTCATGCCAAGTACATGTATTGCACCTTCTGAAAACGTATTGTTTTTATGGCTTTGCTAATGAAATTTTAATTTAAAATGAGTCGCTCACGCTGGAAATTCTCAACGGAATCGGAAACGACCAAAAACTCCTGGAGTTTCTTTTATAACTGCTAGCATCGGGAGGCGATTAGACCGTCGTATGCAAATAAGTCCGGAGTATCGTAAACTTTGTTTAGTGCTTTTATTGCCGCAACGACGAGCACCTTAATTTCACTTAAGAGGTGACAAAACCGCACTACATTAGCACAACCCTTAAAGTTAAAAGCGTTTTTGAAACATAACATGAATTATGACAAAATGCTCTTTGTGATCTATATTATGGAGAACGTTTTGTTGAAATTGAATTGAAAAAGAAATCTGTCATGGATAAATTCAGCTTTCTGTCAAGTCTCTGCAGACTGTCTCGCATGTGGAAAAAAATTTAAAAGAGATCAAACAAGTCGCTTTTTTTCCTTTGTTATGTATTTATCTTTCTATTATGTCAAGAGACATTGGGATTATTTTGAAAAACAGAAATAACATAACAGCGTACATAGAGAAAACAATTCATAAATTTAAGACATTCAATGCCCCGTTCATAATTAGTGGTTTTATCGCTGTGTTTTTAGAAAATTGCCTGACACACATTTTAGCATGATAACAAGTTATCATCAAAATTCAATTCTACTCACTCGAATACAATATTTTGCTCAATCTCTTATCTGCAGGTCCACTGCGGCGAGCTTATTAGGAGGGCGTAAAAGCCAAGTTGGCGATTAGCAGAACCAATGAAATACTCTGTCAAAAAAGAAAGGAGACGTCTTTCTGTTCGAAGCTAAACATATGGTAATTTTAAAGTTTTTGTTGTACTGTTTTCGAATCAATCGTTTTTGTAATCGAACACGTGGCCGCCTTTTATCTCAAAGATCACAGAGAAGCTTGTTTGAAGAGGACTCGGTCTCGTAAACAGCACGTTCAAAACTGTGATCCAACTGAACAGGTCATAACACTGCTCTTGAAAAAAAAACAAACAGTGCATTTCAAGAAGAACTCCGACGCTGGAAGTAACTACGACATGATTTTAAACTGGCTTTAACTAAGACAAACGTTGATGATCTTGGTGTGGAAATCCATCAATGTTTCACACAAGCGTTTCGGGTGCATTATTTAAGAAACATCGTATCTCTAACAATAACAAAAACCAGCGAAAATCAATTTCCGATTATCCCAGAACTTCTATTGGGTCTACAAACGACCGGCGGGTGAAAGGGTCATTTGCTTCTACCAACGACAGGCGTTTGACGATCAACGTGAGTGGAATTAAGTTCCAAACGTGGCAAAGTACACTGTTGCGCTTTCCTGACTCTCTGTTAGGAAGCATCGATACGATGCAGCAATTCTACGACGCGCGACGGAAGGAGTATTTTCTTGATCGAGACCCATATCTGTTCAAGTTTGTACTGAATTACTACCGTTATGGCAAGCTTCATTGCTCGCAAGAAGACTGTCCCGCGGCTTTCGAGGAGGAATTGCAATTTTACGGGTTTTCAATTTACGATGTAAACAATTGCTGCTGGGATCATTGCAGTCCAAAAGAGAAAGGTGTTCTCGTCGAAGGCGACAATGACGAACTTAAGGGGGAATATTTAAATTGCAACGGCAATTTATGCGACTTACATTGCGAACCAAAACTCACTCTTAAGCAGAAGATTTGGCGAACCATAGGCCCCTCGAAGACGACTAATACTGGAGTGATATTCCACATAATTTACGGGTTTTTCATATTTGTAAGTGTTTTAATAGCTTCATTGGAGACACTGCGTTGCGGGGAAACATCGACGTGCGGAGAGGAACACCACCAAATATTCTTCACCATTGAGTCAATATGTGTCATCATTTTCACAGCTGAGCTCTTGATTAGGTTCTACGTTTGTCCGCAAAAGAAGAAATTTATGTTAGACGCAATGAACGTAATCGATTTATTAGCAATAGTTCCTTACTATTTAACTCTGGTAGTGGAAAGTTTTGGTGGGGAGACAAGTTTTCTGCAGATACTTAAGGTGTTAAGAGTGATTCGTATTCTGAAACTCACCCGGAACTCTCGAAGACTTCGGTGCCTTTTGTTGACTTTACGGCGATGTGCTGTCGACATCGTCTTCCTCTACTGCATCTGTTTCTTGGCGATAATCTTATTTGGAACAGCGATTTATTATTTAGAACTCGCGGAGGGGGATCCGCAGTTTTCAAGTATTCCAGAATCATTTTGGTACATCTGTGTCACTCTCATGACTGTGGGGTAAGGATCATTTGTTTATATAATTTTTTTGCGATCGAAGTATCGCAATTTATGTTTAAATGTAAAATTTGTGTTAGTTATTCTTATTACTGTAAAGAGCTTTTATTATCACCAGAGGATTACTCTCACTCTCGTTAAATCAAAATTTCAAAATTTTTCTACCTTACAATTCTGAACAAAAATTGACGCAAACCATGAACGGTTTTTAAATTCGGATCCTCAAGTATTGGGACCAAAGCTGTGAAAATTTAAAGAGATCCATTGATCGCATTTAGCTTTCTCTCGATCTTGAAAAAAATCACACCTAGAAGTAAGGTATTTGTGCGGTTTCTTGCCGTTTCGATTAATTATGCGTGGGTACGTAAATTAAAAAACCAATCTGTGGTTTTTTGGTCCGCTTATTCCAGAATAACATGAAAGCGATACAAAATTGATCTAACACTCAATTTTTTAATTTTCTTACGGTAAAAAATGAAGGGAAAGTTTGGCAATAACTATGAATATACTCGAAGCTCGAGATTTCAATTAGTATTAAGTGTCTTTTGTGTACGCAAATCGCCCTAAAATCCACAGCACTTCTCGAGGTTTATTGAACTTTACAATAAAATAAGCCTTGCTGAGAACGATATTTTCAAAATTGCAATTGAGTGTCTCCAGCTGCTAGGCAAAGTATTATTTGTATTAAAGCTCTTTGTATAAGAACTAAAACCTTGCGGTATTTGCTGACAATTTCAATGACTCAAGCGAGAAAAGACAATGCCTTTAATTTTCACCGTCGACCGACTTAAAAAGATACTTTGTATTGCCAGCTTTCAGCCGGCTCAATGGCTAATTTAGCTCCAGGGTTAAATGGACTCCACACTGACTCTTGAATTCTAGCGTTGTGTGAAAATAGTCTGTAGGGCCAGTAGCTAACTTCGTCGCAAAATGAAGAATTACATTATTACAAGCAAAGAGGTGAAAGGGATGAACAGGAAAACGAAACGATCTCACAAAGGCAAAAAAGGGAAAGATTAATCGGCGACTCTAGGAAAAGAAATTAAAAACTTAAAAAACTAAATTGAGAGTAAAATACAGTGAAGATCTAGAGTTAGATTGCTGGATATCTAATTCTCATTAGAGCGTCAAATTTATTTGAGTGCAAATATCCTGAGGGAACCTTCGAGCTAATCTTAAATCATATGCATTTTCATTCTTTATAAATACCGCTCAAACACATAGAAATCAATGCTTTAATGACTGCGATAACTAATTTTCACACGCAAAAATCATACGCAGAATTCAATACTCAGGTTACCACGATAACTAATTTTCATTGGTTGGATCCAACATAATGACCAGCTCTCAGTTGGCTTATTAGCTCAGTTGGTAGAACGCTCACCGGTGTCGCAGAGGTTATGAGTTTAAATCCGGTACGGGCCTGAATTTTTTTTCAGGCCTTATTTCAACTACTAGTTTAGTAGTGTTCATAACTGCGAGGATCGCTTTTTTATTCGTATCAACTGTATATACTTAACGTAGCTGCAACGTAAATATGTTTCTCGTTAGCTAGAAATTGCTCTGTGTCGTAATTAATCGAGTGATTCAATCGTTCTAATATATATGTTGTATTATGTTTATCACCGTGTAGTTACGGGGACGTCGTGCCGTCATCGATTCTTGGTAAGATAGTTGGTTCCATTTGCTGTGTTTCTGGAGTAGTTTTACTTGCGTTGCCGATTCCAATCCTGCAAGAAAAACAAGTACCATGCACGTTGGAATCTGTGACAGCAAGAAGGAAGCGGAGGCCTGGTGAAAAGACAAATGTGGAGTGCGCAACCTGTTTGGAGGAAAAGCGCTGTTCACTAAGGGAGATCTTTAAAGGTGAAACGAATGGTGATAACTCGAACCTCATGGGAAATAACATTGGACATTAAATCATTAGGCATGATGTTTTCAAATCCCTTTCAGTCTCAATAATGCTTTTTCTCAACGAAAATTAGCCCATTTCACGATTCGATCTTGTTGCACCATTCAGTGACATTCGCATTGCGAGGTTCAGAGCCAAACGTTAGACCGCCAAGAAATCAATTTAAAGTGGACCAATTATTTCTTCAAATTATTTCGATGCGTAACAACTTGATTGATAGAGTACTTCAGCATGCAATGAAGTAGCATCGCCCTCTCAATTAATCAGACGAAATACTTTTCTTTGCTGTGATTGGGCGTTGCGATTAGAACCACACCCAATCGAAAAGTGCGTTATTGTGAAAAACAAAAAACAAAAAAAAAAACCCACAGCCCCCATCTTCTCTAGTCTATATATCAATTCAGAGGTATTATTAGTTAGAATTTCTACTATTTTTCAGAAAGAAATTCTTTAATTTCATATTAGAGAGAGCGAAAACAGCTATAACGTGTACTCGAAACGTTAGCCATACTATAGGTAAGTTTTTAGCTATAATCGATGTTTATGAATTCGAGATAATATTTTGTTACATAACCGCTGGTCATATTTGTCAAGGTCCATCATTGCGCTTCAGTTATGTTTAGGTCGGTAGTGTTAAAGGGGAGAGTGGAATAGTTGAATAGAACCACAATCTTTTAATTTTCTTTCAACGGTAGATTTAGTGAGTAATTCTGTATTAACGAGACAAAACGCAAAAAGGCTTCTTAATCAGTGAAATCGAGCATCGGATATCAAAGGTTATCGACTGATGCGGGCCAATGCATAACCAATAATCGATTAATATTGACTGGAAACGATATCTTACACCCTATGAAAGCGGGCCGAGTATTAATTGACGCAAAAAGTACTTAACATTATTTCACAAAAGTTGCTGACTTCTTGGATAAAAAGAACACAAAATCATTGATCTGACAAGAAAATCGTGATAACGAAAAACAGTCAATTGATCTCGATCATGCCTACAAAGTTACAAAAATATCTCAGATAGATAAGTCATCGATTTTAGAGATCAGCGAATTAATTGGAATTGACTGATATCGACTTCAATCGATATTGCAAATAGGACATCTCGTTATATTCTGCCATTTTAATCTGCTCCACTTCCCCAACTCAAATTCACTCCACGTGCTAGTGCACATACGCCGTTTGATAATACATGGCATTTATGACCTTTTAGATAATACCATAGTCTATTATATTCTGTACCATAATTTTCCGCAGAAAAGGAAGCTATTTCACACTGATAAATTCAGAAAATTTTGTTCAATTTTACAGCTCAGCAATGTCAGCTTGTGATGAACGCACAGACTTGATGCATTTTGCTATTACATGTTGTACTCAGATAGCTAATAACAATAGTTAAGACTCTTGAGGCTGAAAACCAGAGAATTACATATTATCCAAAAAAATTATGAATACTAAAGAAATCATTGCGCGCGCCGGAAAGCAAAAATAAAATTGTCATCACAGTGGCAAAGCTTTTGCTCTCGTGTGCTAACTTTGTGTTCAATACGTTGTGATTATCCACCAATTATATGATACCCTGTATTGTAAACAAATTTCAATTGGTTCTGATGCGATCACTAGTGATCTATTTTAAGACGTCACCACTAATAGCCTTTTGCTTTTTTAGATAGATTCCATATTGCCGTCCGTGGACAAACAAAAAATCAAATGAACAGAACAATAGCTGAGCACGTGCACTTTAGAACTTTGTACATTTAGTTTTGTACCTCAGCTTTGTACTTCGGCCAAACCTGTGTTGGACCCTCTCCTCATTGTTTAAAGTTCCTTAGAAATCACATAGGACGTCGAAATGTGGTAAAAACATCAGTTTCCCTTTTCTGTTTTTACCACATTTTGAAGTCATCTGTGACCTGTTACTGACCAGACGCAGGGCAACATGGGATATTTTTGTTCAATATACAACCAAGTTGAAAAGCTAGGCTAAAGCTAAGAGGAGATTTGCGTCAACTACTTAAAGCATTCGCCAAATAATCGGGTAACGTCAAAACCAGGGAACCCTTGAGAGAAGTAATGGTCATGACTTTGACCAACCAACTGGAAAGCTAGTTTAAGCTTTCTGAGGAAAACCATACAGAAAAAAGACCTACATAAAGCACCAGGGAAAAGAACCAGTTAGTGAAGATGTCACACAGAATTATACAAAACCGCAGGTGGAAAGGGGCGAGTTGGAAGTGGGGCGAGGGGGAGTTGGAGAGGGGCGAGTTGGAAGTGAGGCGGGGAGGGTGCTAAAAGGCGAATGTGTACTTCAATTGGATTAATTTGATTAATTACTTCATTTAAGTGTTTAAGTTTCAAGTTTCGCGCTGAAGAGGGATTGATTAACAACCGCCTAGATGAATACAAATGTTCTGAGAAATTGTGGAATAAAACAGCTCTTGGAGCAACAGGCTGGAAAAATGCTCTTTCAGCCACCTCCCCTTTCTCATTTCTTTGAGTATCAGGCAGCAGTGAGAACAGAGTATGCAATGGTAGCGGTGGTGGGCCAGTGAAAAAGGGGGAGGTGGGGGTGAGAGGGGGGGGGGGTGCTACGTTGGGGTCGAAGACGTCTAGGTAAATTGTTGTTAATTGTCAATTTGCGAAAAAGACAATTTTTCCACGTATCAGGGCTACCATGTATGAGATATCACATCTAATAAATCCTGCTACTACATTAGATTTAGTTTTAAACTATAATTTTCGAGCCTTGAAGCTTTTTGTATTTAGTTACTTGATATGCTTGTGATCTGAACCCTTGAAAGCCGCGCAGTAATGAATTTAATCTTTTGTCATGTTAATAATAACCTTGAAAGGATACTTGTTGTGCAGGATACAGAAAAATACCAATGGAATGGGCTTAAAAATTGGAAAGTATCAACATTGACTTGGAATGGTGGGGAATGGCAGATATAAACAGGGAGTCCAGAGAGTGAACATGAAAAATTTAGGATAAACATGTCAAGTTTAAACAAAGCTCTTTTCTTGTTTTTTTTCTTTGTCCCGACAACCACCACAAACATAACACGAATATATAAATAATTCTAACGAGCTTTATTATTAAAATCATCGACGCGAGTCTCAAGCCTAGTTCTGTATTGAGTCTGAATGAGAGAATCTCGATTTTGTGAATGAAAAAAGCGCGCTGTAACAGAAGGGTAAATTCCCCGCCTGGCGATTCAAGCTTTCCAAATATTTGCTTAAAATTTGTTCCAGTGAACGAGGATTTTGTGGAACACTGAAGCTGTAATCATTAAGATTTACAAACATTTTAAAGAGATTCCATCCATAGACGATGAACTCCCAGGCAACTATTTACAGCCGAGAGAGTTTTTCACACTAATTTCCAAACGCTGGGTCGTTTTTTTTTTGTCGAACAAATGAAATTCAAACCAGATTCGAAAACGCTTGCTCTATAAGGGGAATTTTCCACCACAATGAGGAACTTCTCGTGAAATCGCACGCTTCAAAATAAAAAACACGTGTCATCCCCCACGACAAAAAAAAAAGACAAAACCAAAAAAAAAAAAAGGTTTCGCAGCATAACGCGATATACGCGAGATTTACACGTGAAAAATTCTGGTTAGTTCGTGACGGTAGCAATAATTGGATTCTAATTGTAAAGCCGTCAGTACTAAGCTACTTTAAAACGTTTGATATTAAGGCCGACAAAAGCTCTTGAAGGACATAAAAGTGAATTAATAATGACTAATAAGAAAACATCTGCACTGTTTTTCATCCAAACAATGCATAGCAGGTCACCCTATTGTTTTCCCGCACTTAAGGAGCCCCTCTTGACAACGACAGGTTTCTTTGTATGAAAGGAGAATTTCACCTATAATCAGACTCCTTTTGACTGCGTCCAATGACAATGCATTAAAGTCAATAAATAGTCTTAAAAACCTCGAACAGCTAGGATATATCAGATAGGAAATATGTGTTGATTCTAGCTAATGATCTTGAGGTAAAAGCAAATTCAATATCTACATCTTTTCAGCAACAGAAACACGATAATTAATATTTCCAACATCAGGTACACTCCAGTGACCTAAACGCTATATCCAATTTTGCTAAGATGTGTTCAAGGCCTCTTGTAAATGGCTTTGTAATTCATACCTTCCCTGGATAATTATCTATTCACATTGTTAAAAAGACGTCGGTGTCCCCGCAAATTGTTACAAATTTTGTGTTCGTCTCAAAGTGCTTTTTATTTTATTTTCTCCACAAGACGGGAGAAACCCACTGAGATACACCGTGTTTTTTTCTCCACATGGTCGCCCTGTTTTGCTATTAGTAATTTAAATTCAAAACCCACGCCAATTTTATGCTTTTAATAAGGACTTAGTACAGGCGAAACCCTCTGTAGCGCAGTCGTTGGGAAAAAAATTTTGAAGCGATTGCAACGATCTTTAACCCGGATGTCGAGTGATATAAGGAGATGATTTAGCGAGACCACCGGGAGTAGCGCCGAAATATCGAACGAAACGGCTCAGCGTGCTGACTGTTGATGGACAATGCTGAACGCTGGAAATTAACATTCACAGTTGAACAAATATGAAATTCTATATGGACTGTCAAGCAAGGAGTCATTTACATATGCGTATGGACTGTTACGAACACTAAATGTTTCTTAAAAGATTAATTTTCTGCGTGCCCGAGTTTAAGGTTCCTGTTTGGCATATTGAGCCATTGGTAAACGATTATTAAACTTCATAATAACAACCTGGTCATTTACAAGTACGTCAATCGATGTCTTGGCATTGTTTTAACCAACAAGTTGCAGGGAACCGTTTGGTAAAGTCGAGACATCGAATAATTCGTTTGTTCATGGTTTGCAGCCACTGACCGCGTCGCAGAATTTCAAGTTCCATGAAAGAAACATAAAAATTTAGCATGGAGTCTAAGACGGCCTGCTCTTCGGAAGGAGATATTTAGTGAACTATACATGGCGAGGCGTGTTCACTTCAACAACGAATTACACAAAAAGCATCGTATTGTATTAAACGTAAGCGGACAACGGTATACGACAGAAAGGAAGTGTTTACAAAGACATCCACATACTCTTCTCGGAAGCGAGATGTTAACCAGGTTTTTTGATCCTATTAAGAAGGAATATTTCTTCGATAGAGACCCATATTTGTTTCGATACATATTGAATTTTTACCAATGCGGGAAGCTTCACTCATCGCCCGACGATTGTCCCGTTGCTTTTAAGGACGAGCTCGACTTTTTCGGGATTCCTATTTGTGAACTCGAGGACTGTTGCTGGTACACAACAAACACTGATGAGAAAGAAAAACACCCGTGTCACTACGCCGTGAGGAAAGCTAGCATGAAGGCGGTACATTCTGGTAATTACCTCGATTGGAATAAACGAGAAAATAAACAAGGGATTATTAAAAGAAAGAAGATTCCCGCGACGAGGTCAAAAAACTTTACACAACCTAGTAGAAGCCCAAATCATGTACCATTGACAGAGAAACGATGCGGCAACACACGACAAAAGTCGGATAAGAGAGCTGAATTTATACGGGCGAAACACTCTGAAGAGTGTGAAAACTCAACAGAAAAGTGCTCGAGTACACGCAAGTGTGAAATAAATTGCAGATGCCAACCGCATAAATCCAAAATAGCACAACGATTATTTTATTTTTTGTATGGGTTGTTCATAGTTCTAAGCGTGGCTACCACAACGGTGGAGACAATTGACTGCGAGGATGGCGTGAAATGTTTAGTGCTCTATCCCGACTTGTTCTTCGCCTTTGACGCCACCTTTGTGGCTGTATTCACCGTAGAATTCCTCATACGATTCGCTTGGTCAAAGAAACGCTGTGCATTCATGAAAGATTTCTTCAATGTGATAGATTTACTTGCAATATTGCCCTACTATATATCGCTCATTGCGACGCAGTTCGTAACCACCGACAGCGTTACGCTTTTAATAACTCTACGTGTTCTACGTGTCGCGCGGATAATGAAATTAACCAGAGGCTCTACGAGATTGAAGTCTTTGCTCTATACCCTAAGAAACTGCTCAACAGATCTGCTGTTTTTGTACTTCACGTTCACCCTAGGGATATTGCTGTTTGGGAGTGTGTTGTACTTTGTGGAAAGTGGGGAAGATTTCCGGAGTATTCCTCATTCCCTCTGGTACACTTGCGTGACGATGATGACTACCGGGTAAGGCAACATTGCAGTTAATTGAAGTTGAATAAATCATCATATATTAATCTAAGATCTATCAAATCCATATTTACTATTGGTATAACTGATAGTCATTCAAATTGGGTTATTTTCGACTCAGCGCGGCAATAACACGAGGTTTATGGGTTGAACTACGTTGGCGCAAAATAAAACTTAGCACGGAGACCTTGCCGAGCAATGACTCGACTTGCGTTATACGACTTGTTCTAGTCAGGCTAAAGCCTATCCACAAATTACTAGGATGAGTCTACAGCTATTTGCAAATTTTTCCCTTTTTATATGAAGTTAAGTTTAGCACGACTGAATTGAATTGCACGTTTAAAACAACTGCTGAATCCCGGAACTGACTGATCAATTTTATTTGAGCTTCTAAAAACTGCATCAAGATGCTTTGACAAGGCCTCAGGCGATATAATTTTAATCGGCTGCAAACACAGTCTTATTAGTATACCAACCGAAACATTTCATGACGTTTTGTGTTAAGTTTTTTCAAGTTTTACTTTAGACATCGATCGGGTAAACCTATTAAGGGCAAACTACCGGTCTATGTGGTGCAATTGTGTTTTGAGTCAAAGAACGTTTATCTTGTTTTGCTCAACAGGAAAATTCCTTAATGTTACATCCCCTAAGGGCATAGACAATGTGGTTTTTTAGTGGACATTCGATATTTTTCTTGCGCTCAAAACAAGAGTTTTACCGATAGCTTCTAATTCACTTTAACTAAAAAGCCCGGTTAGAGACCCACACAATGAAAATCTACATCTATGTCCACTTACGCTTTGGTTAAAAACTGGTTGCTAGGTAACATTACAGACACAGGTTTTGCATGTGTTGCCGTAATGATCGGTTTCTCGGATGTATTTCGTATTTGTGGTGGAGTTATCGACAGTAACTGATCAAAATAAATGTCACGCGATCATTCCATTCACAAAAAAAAGTGTTTTTTTTTATTTTATTTTTTATTTCCATAGCAAAATATTTGAAATAACAGAAAACTAGAAGCGTCTGGCTGAGATACAAAGTTAATTCAAAAGCTTTTTAATACTTGAGTCGATACTTATCGTTTACGATAGAAGCTTTGATATTTGCTCTTTTCATCTAAGAATCTAAAAACTCATAGGCGCCAGTGATATTATCCCAACGTGACAACCCATAAATTAACCCAAAATTTTGAACACCTTCCATTTTTTTACGTGAATGGGAAATTACATAAAGGCGGTCGCTCTTTTACCTGTTTACATATTCTTAATTCTATTTTAGTTTTTATTCAATGTTTTCACGTGTCAGTAATATTTCCTTCTTCAAATGACGATGTTTCAATTTTAGATCGTTTACCAATTCCTGTTACCATCTGAAAGTGATTGGGGCAGCTGTCTCAAGCATGATGTCAAAAGAGAAAAAAAAGTCCAAAAAGTCTTCATAAAGCTTAGGGCAATTATCGTGTTTTGACTAATGGGCATCAGAACAGATCGGCAAACAGTCTGGTAGCCAAATTTTAAAAGAAATTAATAGTCTGCTAGGAAAGTTATTCATTGTTTTCTCCGGAGAAAAATAAAACAAATAAATGAGTTCTGGAATATTCAAGAAACGACAACAAATTAATTATAGGTTTTCTGTGAAAACTATCGTGGGAAAGTTTTCTCTCGACAGTTAATACTGATGCTCTCTCAGATCTACTAAAAGCAAAAACACCGAGATAGAGTACCATTAAGTATTTTAAATAATGCTAATGTAGGTTTTATTTATAGAAGGTAAGATTTGACAGTGGCAGAAACAAAGATAGACCTAAGGCCCTCTTTAAATAACCTCAAACAATTAAACCAAATCGAAAGAATAAGCAGTGAGGAAGCAGATTAATTGGCTATTTATAAGCGTGGTTGAGGATTTGAAGCCATGATTTCCCTCAATCAAAACAAGATTCGAACCCAGGACCTCCGCATTGCGAGCGTGACTGTCTCACCACTCGACTACGCTGTCTGTATCTTAAGTTACTTTGTACATTTTCTTTGAAAAAGAAGGAAAAAAAAAACCTTCCAAGGTCGCCTAAACCAGAAAACTGGAAACCCATCCATCTATATTCAAACAAGCTTCGAAATTAATCCTCGATTCTCTTGGATTGCTTTAGTGCGCTCTGTGACTGCCTCAAAAACTTATCAAGCGATCGGGTTCCAACTTACTTTTCATTGACTGCTTGTACAATTTGCTTTGTTCTGACTGGCCCATGAGGTCATATTGATTTTGGTTTTCGACCCCGAGTCGAACAGCGCTCAACAATCAATTTTGCCACGCACCGCACGCAGTCTTTACTGTAGCTAAACAAACAAACTATTTGTCCTTTTGTTTTACTTTATTTTGCAGGTATGGTGACGTTGTACCTGTATCAGTATTAGGGAAGGTAATTGGTGGAATGTGCTGTGTATGTGGTGTGGTAATAATGTCACTCCCAATTCCTATTATGCAAGACAAAAAGGTTATAGTGCAGAATTGAGAGGAAAGCGCCGATATTTTCAGATTTATACCATTTATTAAATTAAAATAACTAAGAATATCAGCTTATGACCGCATTGACTACCGGACTCAGAGCAAAAATGAGTTGGGCTTGCTGATCAATCACGCACAAGCGAGCGGAGCTGAAGAGCATCGTCGTCCATAGGTTGTCTTTGCTAAAGTAAATATCGAAAAATTTTTCTTTGATGAATGAAATCTCCAAGGAAAAGTTGTAAGCGTCACACATGGATATGGAATTAAACTTGAAGCGTCATGCAGTCTTGCAAAATCAGATCCTGAAATACTTACAGTTCTCTCAAAAAGACGTGACCTGTATGCGTGCTGTTTTGGTGGTCTAGAGGCTGCTACTGCATTTAACCCTTCACATCCTAACATCAATATGCATATTCTTCACACTGTTCCTTATACATTTCCTAAGGTGCTGACAAGGAGAATTTGCTAGCCAATCATAAGGTTCCTTCCCTGGTGATCATTTCCTTTATTCTCATTATCTCAATGTGTGATTCAGGAGGATATTGTAGGGAGAATTTGGATGCTGGTCACTCCTGGGGAAGAAAGGGTTAAAGAAGGGTGTACAAATACCCTGTCTAGACCAGAGGCATTTAAAAGGAAAGGGATATTGTAAATTAGTTATTTGAAAGTGTCCATCAATTGATCCAAGAAGTTAATGAATAAAAAGCTTAGCCAATTGCACGCCATTTCGCTTCGTTTGCCCTTTCATTTACTTTTACGACATACATCAAATAAGAAAAGAGACGCGCATCAGTGATCAATTTAGCTATAGGAAAGGTGAACCACTTTGGTCAAAAGTCTGAAGCTTAAGCCGGTGTAACCCTATGGATAAACATAGCTCCGCAGAAGGCATTGAAAAGTGTTCATAAAATCGTACTCCGCATTATTAATAACCATTTCCTGTGTTTTTTCATTTCGTTTATGCTGTCTCTAAAGAATTCGATGCCAGTCGAATGAAAGCTTCTGTGGATGAATTATTTATCTAGAAAGGTATACCAGTGAAGTGCAGAGAGCAGAGCAGTCGCCTCTGACCGTTTCCCAGTTAAATTCACTGTTCACTTGCAACGCGACTCAATTTGAATCTCTCTGTTTTGAATGACCGGCAAAGCATACAATCACGTTACTCATCTAATAAGATCCTACAAGCAAGACAAAAACGGCATAAAACAAAGACCGTGGGCTTGCCACTCACAGTGCATATCGAGCCTTTTACGGAGAGCTTTCCTTGCCGACCGTGCGTCGTAGGGAAAGCTTCGCCCGCGGTTGCATCCAAAAAAGGCCAATCAAGATAGGGACGGGGCCACATATAGTATGACATCAGAATTGTCCAATTTTCTCTTTCAATGATTTTGCATTCTGTAAATTTCCAGAAACACCGTATTTGTATTGACTCTCAATACAACTCTTACATGTTGTTTTATTCTTTCGAACGTCGCTTTCCCTCCTTTCGACGACGGCAACGCCGCGGACGACGTCGGTTAATAAATGAACCCATATTTTACCTACGAATCTCGCGATATTCGTCATTTAGTTTGTTTCTCACTGTGAAAACTTTCTCGAAAATGAATATGGGACACAGCGTTAAAAAGACCGTCGTCGTTCACCTTTTCCAGACAACGCAAAGCCTAGTTATTTTACGTTGTTGTTTTCCCGAGAATGCAGAATAATTTATTACTTTTTAGTTACTAAAATTACTTTTTCTTTAGTGACGTTGCCGTTGCCGTTGCCGAAGTTGTTTTCTTAAACTCCCTACCAAGGAGACTAACCTGTTTACTCAGCTAAAATGTGTCTTCAGACCACACGCGTGTACTGCAAGTCTGTCCTTGATTCAATTTGTACCTAAAAAATTTCCTTCATGCTACATTCGAGACAGGTACTTTGCCACTCAAGGATAAACAAGTGCTGAATTCGACACTTAAAAAAAGAAAGGAAAGCTTATCAGGTCAGTTGTTTTCACTGCGGTTGAAAAGTGCAGAGGTGTTAAGAAGTCCTCAACTTAAAAACTTCATTAGTTTCACCTGAGCATCGGAGAGGCTACCACGTTGCAAACTGGTAAGTTAATAAGAGTTCATTAGGCAATTACCCCAAAATAAGAGATTTGAGAGAGCTGCATAATCTCAGAATACTTATCATTACTCAGAACTGGCAAGCCAAACAGTAATTGTCAGTCAGTCTTCCAGAAAACCTCTTCACTGTTATGAATACAATAGTAAAACTGACTGACCTGACTTAACGGTTTTAGTAAACGAGGGAATTCTTTCCTTGAATGGATCGGTTTGGTAAGTCCATTAGGATAATCGCTGAGGTTAGAGCTGTTGCCAGGTGTAATCAAATTACAAAATTTGGGTGCACTCCTCTATACTGTCTAGAGCGAGGGAGCGATGGAGAAAGATTTATTCACTTGAATACGAGGAGGGGCTAAAAAAGGACCCGTTAGATAAACCCTATCCAAATTTCGAAAGCATCTGCTACGGAAAACATCCCTTGTTACATGCATTGGCAAAGAAAACTTGTAAACACTTGCAACGGAAAAATCTCAGTATAAGGTTTAAGGTTAAACCATTTAAGGTTCCCGTGATAATTGTTTATCGAGATAAGAAATATAGTACTTATCACCTTCTCCCCGCCAAAAAAACTTAGAAAAAGGAAAGGTTCTCCACGTTTCCATACATTAAGTCCGCTTTGCAATATGTTCCATCAGTTTGGTTATCTGTTGACAATCGTTCAATCACGATTGCATATTGGGATGTTTAGGAACCTCTGAACAACTGCCCACTTGACGCAGTCGCACATTCTGGCACACTAGATACTATTAGATCTCAGAGATGTTTTCTTATGCCGATAAACAACGTGAACCACGTTTTCAGAAATTTGACGAGGGGCGTGCACATGGTTTGGTGCGATCCAAACGTTCCTTCACTCCTAAATATTACAAAAAATTTTGTCACGTTTTCCATTTTCGTGGCCACAAGAAACTTGCTGGTGTATAATTGCGGCCTAAATCGCCAATAGATAATATGGAACTACTTTAGAAAAAGAGGCAAATTAGTATTTCAGACATCATGAAACGAATCGATACGGCATTGTTTTCATTTTTGCCAAATTTTTGCTTCCTCTACAGTGAGCCAGATAAGTCGATATTTTTTAGGAAGAGGATTTAAATTCAAACATAAATTTCAATTTGTATGCGAATGTTCTCATTGTTCACATTTTGGAGTACGAAGGAGAAACTGCTTTAAAATCGCAAATAAAAAATGTTAGCATAAGTAAAGGGATTCGATTTGTTTCTTCATCACAAACGGACTTACTGCACCTTCTAATGAAAGGCGAAATATGAATGAAGTTGGTGATCGATCATTGAATATCTTGGATAATTCATGCTCTGAAATCGACGAATTCTATTTCTTCCAATATATAAAATTATTATGTTGTACCACCTTTAAGTCTGTCTGATGCAAACCCATTGTTAAGGTAATCAACAACTATAGTACTTACCTAGTAAAAGTATTGTGGACGTGTTCCTCCAACACCTCAAAATTAGGTATGGTTTTTTTGTCTTGCAAATCGTTCCAAAACAAATGAATGCTTTAGTTACCGACGAATTCGACCCGTGAAATAAGACAGGCTAAAACTTACGCGAAATTAGACTGAATCTAAAATAATATAGCCAATTTCTTTAAGTCAATGAAATAATTTCTACTATGATTCTTTGCCGCATCTAAACTTCAGTTTAGTTTTACTTGTTTATGTTGATTTTTATAATTTTTTTTAAAGCACTCGATCAAACACCAGGTGATTCTTGTATTCTGGACCAATCGCAACGAAGCAGCTGATTGAAAGTTAATTATGTAATGTGGAAATTATTTTTTTGAAGAAAATGCACTGGGAACAGCCACAATTTGTTTTCAATTTGCTTTAATTCAGCGGGTTATTTCTAGAAGTTTATTAGTCAACGTTGTCTACATGTCTGTGAAGGCGGCAGCTACTTCAAAGGGGATGCTGTTTTAAGGCTCTTTCTGTTCAAGAGGTATGATTTATTGAGAATAAGCTGTCGGATAAAATGCGCCTACAATCAACTAGGTAATAATTTCAATGTGGGAAGTCAAACAACACTTGAAGACGGTAGTGATAGACATGGATAGCTGAGAATTAAGCCATATCGCTAAATTAATATATGAACAAATAGACCCTAACTCACCATGACTGAATTAAGAACTTTCGGAGCGGATTCGAAGGTGCTGGTTGAACCAGAAATAAAATAAAAGCCTTCTTGACCAAAGCATTGAGGTAGGTATAGAAGGTTTTATTCATTGTAGGTCACCTTATGCAAATTACGCAAAGTAAAGTGTTTCTCTCTATTACTTTTGTCGTAACAAAGACACTAAACAACATGCATATAATTATGAATTTACACTGTTGTCCTGAGAGGATAGTCAAAGATATCATCCACATGCGACAGTTTTCTCCTATGAGTGAAAAAAAAAATAAAGATTGGAAAAAAGGTATATTTGCTCTTTGAAACAGCTGAAAATGGCAACTTAAATTTTTAAAATTCTCCTCGACGATTCATTTCACCTGCATCAAGTTCACGTTGATAATTAGCTAAAAGCTTCTCTCATTCGCAACACAAAATTGTTGACTTGGCTATTACTATCCCTGCGTTAATTGTGTACAGAAGAATATCTTTTTTACACCAGAGACTTTGTCGCCGGAAGTATATATATATATGTATGTATAAAATTCCATACTCACTTGAAGAGCCTCACAATTTTTTTTTCTTTTGCGCTCAAAGAAGGCTTATATGATAGTTGTAAAGCTTCAGGGGACGAAAAACTTTTGTTTTCTCAGTTCATATGTTTATGACATCATAAGCAAAGAATAAATTGCTGGTTAAGAGTATGGACAAGCAAAGTAACCAAACCAAGCTCTAGCAATATCTAAGAGATTTGAACTGATTGCTAAACGTGATTAAGGACTAGAATCGAAAAAAAAATTACCACGTAATCTTTGACACGCGCGGCGCTGGCAGAGAAGTTTCTGTAGGACTGTTTTTCTCCGATGCAATTTACACATCGTAACGCTGCCGGCATATTCACGGTTTTTACCAACTTTTTATACTTATGCCTTGCGCATGTAACGTTAGTTTGCGAAACTATTTTGATTTTTTTTATTGATTTATTTCACCACCATGTAAGCATACAAGAGGAACACATTTACAGAAGGAATATATAAAGGGAAAAAAGGGCAAGAGATAGATTTACTCGTAACACCATTCCTTGATTGATAAAAAGATTTATAAAAAATATCAAAGCAGTGCGTAGGATAAATAAAGCAAAACAAATAATGATAATAATCATTATTATCATTATTTTCTCATTAGATATGAGAAAATTAGATTCAGGAAAAAATCAACATAAATATAACACACAATTGATACACATACACACTACAAAACAAATAAAATGTGTGTAGTATGCTTGTAGGAAAGTATGTTCAACAAAAGTTACACTACCCAAACACTAATATTTACCATATATTACCATATTTATCATATTACGAGCATTTCCTTTCTACAAGGCTTATATGCTCGGATTCGGTCAGGTTCGTAAAGGTTCTTCTAGGGGCAGACCACAACACCAACACGTTCCCCACACTTTGCGATGAGTGTGTGGGTTCTTTAACGTCCCCCACTAACTAGTACCGAGAAGATGCAGGAGACGGAGGCTACGGATTTTCGTACTCATCCGAGAACACTAGAATGTCTAACCGCTTGCAGATACCAAAGGCAGCACATTCTCGGTTATTTTAAGACCCTGAGTGTGGGTTCAGTCCGGGCCTTGAACCCCGACCTCCCGCTCAGTAGTCCGCTGCTCATCTACATGAGCTAACCAGGCGGCGGTTAGGGTTAGGTTTAGCAAACAATTCCTTTTTTTTTTTCACGTCTCATTCTCTGCCATTTCTTTACGTACAGATTTTATTCAATTTTTTGTTTTTTGGACAGAAAGTTAATTCGCCGAATCAATTTGATTAGAGAGAGAAAAAGCAGACAGGAATCTGCAGTTTTTTCAATTGCAGGTGTCTTTTGAGGATCAGCTAGTAGTTATGCTCTCAAGAATTTTGTTTTCCTTTGTGAGTCCTGGGTAATTCACTTGACCTGCACCCAAAAATAGATAGACAGAAAACATATTAATTAAATAAGACAAAAAGATAAAATCAAAGATGAACAGAATCGAAATAGGGTAACAAAGCCCCGGTAACATCGATTTTAACATTGAATATTTAAAGCGCCTCAGAATATCTTTGGAATTAATAAAATAACAAAAGACTTTCATTGCTAGAAAAGCTATTTATTGTTCATACCTTTATTTGTATAAGAATCTGTAGAACGCGTTTGTACATTGATCGCGCGCGGCAATTTAGAAGAAACAAAGACATCTAATTTCTCAAGTTTCATTGTCCTGACAGGGCAATATATTGATGCCATTGGCTGGTAAGTGAATAACTTGTCAACTTAATAACAAAAGAGGCTACGATATTGTGCAGTTTTTAATTTTGATGTTACAGGTTCTGAATGGGACCACAAAAGCGCTCGTTTGACGACTCAAATCGACAGTTAAGAGAATGACCTTGACATTACGGCAATTATCATCTCCCCCTCAAGGTTTATATCAAATAACTAAATTCTATCCTTTGAGTTTTCGAATTGATATTAAGAATTTTACTTTGCAGGATCAAGCATAATCTTTCCTTTTTAATTAGTGGCTTCTGATGCTCTTAGTGCGACTTAATTCCAGCTTCATGCAAAGCTAACAAAAAGATTTCCGACACAGAATGGTCGATCGACATCCTAAGGCAAATACTAATAATATGTTCTATGGCCTATATCATCAAAATTTACTTAGGGGAAATAATGTCAACAAACATTTACAGCAATATGTTATTACTTCCTCCATAGAAGTTTTCCTTTCGAGCAACAAATGGTTTCCACGCAATTGTATCAGCCAATAAGAGGCCTTTGCGTTTATCTTAGATATGCAAGGCCACTCAAGACAAATTCTAATCAGTTTGTGTTCAATAAGGCTTTTAATAACCCTCTGCTTGTGAGAAGTCAAGATGTCGACGGTCAGATCTGCGCTCGGAATGTCTGGCTCGGCGTAAATGTTTAAGGTACATTTTCAAGGTAGGAAATCCTTGTTATTATAAAATGCCGGCGATAGGGCAATAATATTTGTGGATTTTGTTTAACAAGAAGCATCGTCTCTTGTCCGCGGAAACTAGACTAATTACATGGGAAAAAGACCACTGAAATATTTCCCTGTAGCGATGTATTCTTCAGATAAAAGCCGACGGAACTCATTTACCAAATGATATTCTTTACTATGAAAATATAGCAAATCGCTTTTCAGATTTTAATTTAAGTGCGAGCGCAAGAGACAATCTGACGAAATTATATCATAGCTCGAATTCTCCACCTAACAATTCGAAATTATGTCTCTTTTACTTAGCCATAGAAGTTGATCTCGTCAACCAAGGTTAATGCTCGACTTTGAATTTCAATTTCTTTTGATAAAAAGAAATGTTGCTATACTCATAAAACAGCGAGAAGTTGAAATTACTGTCAGCTTTGCACCCTTCAAAAACATACAATACACAAACGCAACTAAATATATACCGAATACTACGTCAATAACGAGAATCGCACGTGAAAAAACTCTGGAGAATTAAGAAAATCAAACAACAATACCAAATGCTTTTACTTAGAGACAGTACCCAAGAAATACTTTTCTTTATTAGCGCAGTTAGAAGATATAACAATAAAGGAAATGCAAAATCGATAAGGAGCTTTTATTCCGATGTCTGAAAGAAATTTGCATGTGCCACCGAGAAAGTCAAGTGACAGTTGGTGTTATAAATTTAAAAAAGATGGATATTGAAACTAATTACCAGAAAAATGTCATATAAACTAATTCAAATGTCCGGTCTTATCGACGGCGATTGGTTAAGGTAATCATGAACACGGTTGAGAATATCAGGTACTGTCGGTAGGAATGGCTTTCACTGTAGACAAGGCTTCAACTGAGAAAATAATTAAAAACCGCTGTTAATCGAAACTCGAAACTCTCAGAAGGAAAAATTCCATCTTTTCGATTCACTGGGCCCCAAATAGGCTCTAGCTATCATTAGACGCGGGTGTTTGAAACGAGACTTGAGCTTTTTAGGTTTTTCTCACTTGTTTCCCAAAACCTTGACTGACGATTCAATATCGACCTATTGTTCACTACTTTTGTCAGAGATAAGTAAAAGCGCAATCTGTGAGGCGAAAATCCAATTAAAGTGGCCTGAATTAAAAACAATTTAGGGGAAGAGGAGTCAGTGAAACTCGGATCTCGACGGGCAAAGGCTACCAAGGAGAAACTATTCCTGGTGGGCGAGTTACGTAAAAAATCGCGGTTGCACTTTTGGTATTAATGTATCAATACCCTGCTAAGAGAACGCAAACTCTCTAGACATGAAATAATCTTAATTGTCGTCTTCGATATTGTGAGTCAAACAAGCACCCGCACAGAGTCTTAAACATTAATTCATTTTGGCGTTTGTACCATTGTACCATTTACCATTAGCGCGGACCATGAAGCTTACACTGATGAAAGCTGCTCGTTTTCCGACAGTAAAGGTCAAACTGACCTCTAGTCTTCGCGACTGCTGCATCTTATATTCTAACAAACTATTTGCTTTCGAATGCTCATTTTCGAGAACATAAGTTCACACAACCTAGGAAGATGTTTACTTTATACAAAACTGAAATTGTGGGTGTCACATTATGTTCTTGTGATTTAGAATTCTGCAAATATTTTTGCATGAGCTCTACTTCCGACAAGTATAGAAAAAATATGCATACTTTTTAAAAGCAGCTTGATCATTATCTGCGTAATAATTGTTCTACAGATATGGAAATTCAAAATTGGAAAATTAAATTTCGCGATGAAGTGAAAGGACCGTGAAAACGCACAGACTGGTACATTACTTTTCCAAGTATTTGATAAAATCTTTTTCCGTATAATTAAGGGTTGAATGGCTTGCAATTGTATCAAAGAAATAGCAAAAGAGCGTTCGGCTAAGTTTAGTATAAACAAAGAAACTGCACATTCGATGCAAATACGGAAACAATAGCCGTAGAATTAAAAGTGACAAGCTATCCTCGACTTAAAAAAAAAAAAAGTGCAAAACTGAACGAGACAGGGCAGAATGATCTTTCACAAACGAGAAGCAAGACTAGGGGGGGGGTCATAGGAAATCCTCTCTGTAAATGGCAGGTAATTTTGTTTGCCCTTGCGTCGCTTCCACGGCTGTTTTGTTCGACGAGTTCAGAACAATTCATGCTCGTCACAAGAAATTTGCGAAAATCTTGATGTTCACCGAATGTTTTTCAATTTCCTTAAATTTTTGTATCTTTGCATATCCGTAGGTTAAGACCCGTAGCAGTTTTCAGTGTTTCAGTGACCAGCTAGAGAAGAATAAAAAACAATTCATAGTGGAACGATAAACATAATAGGAAAACGGAATAATTTAAATAAAGGTTACCTTTGTCTTATTTTGCTTCTTCTAGAAAACTAGTAGAGGTCACTTTCAAAAACCGAACTGCGAACTTCTCTTAATTAAGGGAGCTGTGATCGAGTGCAAATCCAAAAGGTATCTATGGTTTCTACATATAAGGTCTGATGATTAAGCTGTAGACCACATGTTAGTCTAAAAGCATTTCACTGTACGATAAATATTGGAAAACTGGACTGATTTGGTATCAACTTTAATATGGTGTTCGACTGGGCTTTTTTATTAGAGATGTTATCATCTGTATGCCTTTCTTTCGTCAACATTGGCATAACACGTATGCCAGCTATATGAGAGGAAAATGAGAACTCAAAGGTAAAGGATCGAAGATTAAAAATTAATTGATATTTTTAAGGTAAAAGGTTGCAAATGGCGTCTGACTCGTGCTCTTTAGTAATCTTTTTATGAGCTTAATTTATCAATTTTCACGGATGATCGACAAATGACAAGCTTCTCGTAAGTTAATTTCCACCGGTAGATAGGTTGTCAAAGAAAATTAACAATTTAAAAAACACACTTGTTTCTGGATGAGCACAAAAAAACAGGCTTGAACAACAGTGATGAGCGTCGAATATAATGCTCGGAATTACTTCCTATTCTCCACTGAGATAACTAAGCTAATCTCCAATTTGGCGAAGACTTCAACATCGAGAAAATATCAAAATTTATTTCGCGTCGTAGAAGTAGCAATATAGTTTACATGTAACAAAACCTGAATGAAAATGGCACCCGTAAACAAACTATTTCAAATTATCCAAAAAAGATTCATTTCCGTCGAAAAAAGTGAATTATCTACGTTTTCTCTAAAGCAACAAGAGCAACTGAATATTGACAAATTTTGTCTCTTGTTTAATGAAAATTGCAAAAGCTAAAAGTTGAGTATTATTTTTATGTTTTATCATCTTAAGTAAAGGATTACTCTGTCACAAATGTGAGGACCTATTTAGAAACAGATCCGCGGTACTATGTGCAATTTATTTCCATATAGGCCCAGAGTTTTTCTTTTCTGAACAGCGGAAGACTTCAGAAGAAAAAAACACTTCAAAATACTTAAATTTGTCATAGCAAGTTCAATCAGGCAAAAAAGGGGACTGTGGTAATTTACTGAAACGATTCAATTTCACCAAAGTTAAGAGGCAAATGAGCCTCAAATATGAATTAAAATAATTCATGAAATTTTCCTTTTAAGTTGCCGGGAGGCGAGATTCTCTGTCAGCGCAATAATGTAATGCTAAAACCATAAAGTTCCGTCATGGATTACACCCATTAAAAACATATAATACAGATAAAATCCCGTTTGTTTTACTAATACTGACAAAAAAAATATATGATCATCTATTTCAAGTATATGTGATTCAATTGGAAGTTTTATTTCACATAATTACAGAGAAGGAAATTAAAAAAGCTCTTAAGATTTTAGTTTGTCTCAACGCAGACTCAGTACTTCAAAAATTTATACAAAAATCATTCAAATAAAGTTTTCAGCTGGTGGCCGCGTCAAGTGTCACTCATTTTCGATAATCTCAAGAATATTCTTAACGTGAATCATTCGGGTCGCCCCCGAAGTCGACTCGCGAGAGAAAAGATATCAACACTCACTCAAGTGGAGTCTTCATGAAAGGTCAGCATTTTTTTAATTGACAATACCCAAATTCAAGCAGCATTTTATTAACTCTTCTCTACCCCTTTAGAGCGACAAATATAAACAAATAGTCGAAGGGAAGCGAAATTAATGTTTATTCACACACGTCCATAGTCTTCTCTTCGTCTACATAAAAGTTGAACTGCATTCTCCAGCATGTGCTTAGGAATAAAGGTTATTTCCACTGGTTTTGCTTGTTTTTCTCAAATTTCATTCACTCAAAAACTCTCTCTGATATACTAAGAGATCACCTGAGCAGTTCCCTTGAACTGCTGCTACATTCAGTGGAATAGCTTTTGATAGGTGTGTTCCCGTAGGTAACTCGAATAGCGAATTTTATTTTCCTGACCCTCAAATAATGTAAATATTATCAAGAAGGAACGAATTCAGACGTTAAATTCAGAGAGAGTTATTAGTAGGATAGTGCAACTGCTTTTAGATTCCTTTGACATCAGCTTATTGTTGGAAAGCTTTATTTAGTACCATAAATAAAACGTTACGGACAAAATACCTGTCGCAGGTACCAAGAAAAAGAACGCAGTTCGCTGCAAAAAAATTATGTGAAGTTCTATAACCTTTAGGGAGTGGAGGAGGTTGAAGGGAAATAATTCACTGGTTTTCACTTTGACCAAACACATATTGAATGGCACCTACAAGTGTATCTGACATACAGTTCTTATTTCTGATCGAAAAAAAAAACATGATGACCCCCGATTAATTGCATTCTTCAAGTTCTTTATAACCTGTACTGATGGAAGAGGATCGCGTATGAGTAACATTTCACCACATTTATAGCAAGGTATATGGTATTGAGCAATAACATCTGCAACTCAACATTCTCATTTTGACATTTAGTGGTAAACTCTGAGTCATAATGATATTTTTGTGGTTCTCAGAGGAAAATTATTGAAACCACGTATACTACTCCGGGCATCCGTTTATAGAGTTTAATTAGAAAGTCTTTGAGAGCTCTTCGCGTGTTGGTACATTCTGCTGTGTTCTTTGCAATGCGTTTCGAGCAGTAGGCAGAAAATTAAGAAAGAAAACAAAAATATATCTTTCACATATAGTTAAACTATATTGTTCAAAAGTTTGCATTCTTATAAAGAGGATTTGAAGACCACTTAAATTATGGACTTTTGATTTTCTTTGATGGGTTTGACTGTTTTTCTGGTTTATTTCTCGTGGGCGTAATGATGGAGAAATATAAAATGCACTCTGTTTGACATCCAAATTCTACGTCATTATGCGGTTGAGGGTTAACCAAGACATGACCCTTGGAAGGATTAATTTCAAATAAAGCACACGTATGCTAAAACGCAAAAATATTTTTTTTCTAGTTCTCCTTAAAATTATGTAAACTTTATCAACTTGAATTTAAAAAAAAACCCGCTAGATTATGATGTAAAGTCATTCTTGTAGGGTGACAATTCGGAGGATCCCTAAATTAAACATTCACCCTCTATTTTGCAAATCATTATTGCAAATCTTGCACATCATAATTTGCGAGATTACTGATAAACATAAAAAACGTGAAAACCATGCAAAAGCACTGAAAAAGGATGGTAAAGGATATAGAGCATTACAACAAACTGCAATTTACCTCCTTCAAAATTTCAGGCATAATCAGTTGTTAAAGAATTGTAAACTGAACATCTCTCATTTGACGATATCCGAGGCAAATGCGTTCCTGTTATCGTTGTTTGCGATAACCTCCCTTTTCAACTGACATTTCCTATTATCCCCAAAAATTTTAAAAATAACATTTGCGTGCGCTAATAACGGGAATGAAAGATTTCCGCTTCCTAATGAGAACTACAAATGAAAATGGCGACGTGGTCTAATCATATTATTTGGTTTCCATTTGAATTGCTTTAATGATATAATACAATTTTACTTCTGCAGAAATTCTCTCTCTATGGTATTTTTTCTAAGATTAACTTTACCTTGCCGAGGTCTCAATTTTCTCTAGTTAACCCGCCTTATCATTAAATGCCGCGTATTTACATTTTGACGAGGTTGAAATTGATATTTTGGAAGAAAAATAAAACGAGTCAATTTTCCTCGAAAAAATTTTTTCACGAAGTTCCATGTTAAATTCGAATTACTTTGACGTCTGTCAATAATTCTTTCTTTAAAACCAACTACGCGTTTGAAATAATGAATTATGTATAATAATGCACAATAAACTTCCGCCCTGTATAAACTTCCGTTCATCTCGAATGCTGATTGGTTAAACGACATGCTTATCGGGTTACAATTCACAGAACTTCTATCGTCAAACTTTGAAGAGGATTGGACACAGGCTATAGAAGTCGATTTCAGGTTGTGTTGTAACATGTGAGCTCAAAGAGAAGAGGTTATGTAACACAAGGTAAGTAGGTAGAAGCGGGTCATTTTTATTATTAGCTTGGACAAGGGTGGCTTTTAATGACACTAACCATATGACTATTTTCATTGTTTTCCAAGTCGACGCAAAACAGCGTTGAAAGCGACACAAATGCAACATCAATTTACAATGCATTAGTTACTATTATGACAGAAAGAGACTAAACGGAGAAATTCAATGGGAAATTGCACATTCACTGTTTTTTTCATACTGTCAAAGTCTTGGTAAACATGCTTGAAGTGTCCAGTTCATTGAGCACGTACACGATTTGATAAGATTCTAGTATGCTTACCTTTGCATTTAGTGTTAACCTTTAAAAGAAGCTATTAGTCTAGTTTGGAATTAAAAACTATGGTGAAATTTTTACAAGCATTGGTCGCTATGTATCGATGCCCCTCATGAAACTATATTGTTTACTTTTTGTTTTGTTCCTTACTGTTTATTTGAATAGGTAGTAGAAAACAATCTGAAACCACTTAGCCTCCACGCACTCGTAAAAACCCAAACAGACTGAAAAGGAGACAATAGAAATTCAAAATACTTCAGCTTTTAATTGAAGATATTCCTATTGGCTCCTAAAAAAAGTAGTTTTATTGTTGAACAATAGATATTTTTGCCACGAGTTACGAGTAAGACACCACATATGCAAAAAAAGTTAATTTGAATTTTGAAAAGTCTCACTTGATACATCATAAATAAACGAGTTTCGTATATCCCACACTCTGACCTAGCAGAAGGCGACTATTAGGAAGAGTTTTTATATAACACTCAGCGTTATCTTTTTATTAAAGGAAGTAGATTTTTTTAAGAAACTGTGGTGCTGTGTCGGTGGGGTATTGAAAGATAATTTGTTTTTATCAATTGAGCTGATTAAGTGTATTGGCCACCGTAAGGATTTTCTACAGCCGACGTTTCGAGCGTCAGTCCCTTGTCAGACCGAGCAAATGATGAAGATTGGATTCTCAGAATAACGTCGTAGCAGACATTGAAATAAAAAACTGCTTGAGTGCACGCACATAAACTGGGTTTTATTACAGTTTATGCAAATTTTTACCAATGCGCGCATGCGCGTGTCACATATAGTTATTTCGTGACCGCACGAAACCATCATTTTCTTGCAATTGTCGTTGTTATTAATGTACAGTTGAACCCCGGTAACTCAAATTGCCAAGTGAAATTTAAATCACTTCGGGTTATTGGAGTCTCGAGTTATAAGGGTTTTAAATAAAAAGACCAGAAACACTTGATTAAAGAGGTTTTATACTTATACATGTTTTATTGTGAGATTTCTAGCAATGTAAGAGTACAAAAACGAAAATGAAATCGAAAAAAGGTCAATTTGTCATAACATATAAATAAGTTTATATGCAATCTTCCGGTGCAAAATTTTATGGTTCATTGGTCCGCGAAAGTGAAAGTCGAGTTATCGAGGGTAAAATTACAAAGTACCTGAAGGAAAATAAAAATTGCCTCGAGTTCGCGGGGTTTCGAGTTAGAGGGGTTAAAATTATAGTAAAAATATGAAGCAAATCCAAGGGAAATCAGTTTTGCTTCGAGTTAGCGGGGAATTCGAGTTACCGAGGGTTCGAGTTATCGGGGTTCAACTGTAGTTGTTTTTGACAACTATGCTTTTGTTGCAGACTAACTACAAGGAACAGCCCATGTCAAAAACATTAGTCAAAGAAAACCCTTGCAAAGCTACCTGAAGGCTTGATGAATGACACTCCAGTCTAAAAATAGACACAGCAAGTTAAGAACAGAGAGACTCGACAAAAAAATAACGATCAATGTCAGCGGTCGGCGTTTTTGTACGTGGGATAGCACGTTGAAAAAGCATCCAAATACTCTGTTAGGAAGCGATGCGATCAAAGGGTACTTCGACAATGACAAAAATGAGTACTTCCTGGACAGAGACCCTCACATGTTTCGTTACATTCTCAACTACTATCGCGATGGAAAACTACATTATTCCTACGACGACTGCTTTGGAGCTTTCAACGAAGAACTGAGTTTTTACGGAATCGAAGCTGATAATCTAAACGAATGTTGCTGGGAGGAATGTTACAATCTCTCCAAGAAAATTTGTTCTAAAAATGAAGAAGTTTCGAAGTGTTCCTGCAGTGAGTCAGTTCCACGAAAATCTTTCCTGCGAAAATTTTTCTGGAACCTTCTCGAAAACACAGAAAATCCGCCACGAGTAGGAAGATACATTCAAAGCTTTCTCGGTATTCTCATATATATTAGTGTTGTCGGTACAATCGTCGAGACTGAGAGGTGCTGTAAAGATAAAACTTGCGAAGAAACATACCCTCGCTTATTTTTTGCTGTGGATGCGTTCTGCATGATTCTCTTCACCGCTGAATACATCTTTAGACTCTACGCCTCTGAAAACCGTCTTAAATTCATCATTAACAAGATGAACATCGTGGATTTACTGGCAGTTACGCCTTTTTACGTCATTCTAATATTCAATCATTTCTCTCAGGACTCTTCGTCCGCGGTGGAGAACGCGAGCAGTCTAAATGTCCTGCGCATGCTCCGAGTCTTTCGCATTTTCAAGCTCTCACGTCATTCGAAACACATGAGGCAGATGGGAAGGGCATTAAAACGCGCTATCGTCGACCTAGGGTTCCTGTTCTTTGCATTTCTGTTGACAAACATGGTATTTTCAAGCGTGCTATACTACATCGAACAAATGGAGGCACAGAAGACTAAATTCAAGAGTATTCCAGACAGTATGTGGTACACTATTATTACTATGATGACAGTGGGGTAAGTTCTCTTCATCGTTACTTGCCAGTGAAAGGTGTAAATTTTAAATCCTTTTCTCTCATCAAAAAAGTGGCCTCGATTTCTAAAGAGTCAACTTTGACCATACTCTCGGACGAACTCTGGGAGGCTCAGACGATAACTTCGATAGTTGCTCATCCCCCAGGGAAAGCGAACTAATTTTCTGCTCTATTCCTATCAAAAGGATCTAAATGAATGTTGCAGTACTTCTTCCATGATTCGAAGTAAAAATAATATGCCCACTTGTTGCAATCCAAACCATTATACTGCTTCATCCTACAAATTACTGCTCGTAATAACCTTATATTACGTATATGCGTTTGACGCACTGAATTCTAAGAAAATCTCACATGACCGAAAACCGCTTTTTGGTGTGTAAATTGAAATAGTGAAAAAGGATGCTTTGATAAAAACGACCCTACTTTCAAATGCCCAAGTTTGAGCGAAAAATATGGCTGACGTGACGTGACGTCCCGTAAAAACAGTCTATCGTTGGAAATTTAATTCCAGACCAATTACAATATCATTTTCTTAGCTGATTTCAAAATTGTGAGTTCGATGTTAGGAAGCTACTTCCGAGATACCCGAAGCCTCTGGTCTAAAAGGAGGATTGGTACAAAGACTTTGTGATAGGCACTATTTTTTTGTATTCTTGAAATCAAACACGGCTCCCGTAGCTGCGTCTCGCACTTCTCATTTTGAAAGCGAGCGTTTTAAGAACACAAAAGTGGCTTGTTAAATAAGACAACTGAAAAATGTTATTCTGCTTTTCAGGTATGGTGACATGATTCCTATCACTGATCTGGGAAAAATTTTGGGTTCGTTATGCTGCCTCTCAGGTATCATCATGTTGGCTCTTCCAATACCCATCATACAGGAAGGAAGCGCAGAAGTCAGAGAAAAAGAACAACAACAACAAAGCGGCAACAACAATGGCAAGAATGACAGTAACACTCAACAATAAACTGTTTCGAGAGGCGCCTGCTACAAGCAACAGTCTAGCAGTGTTATGAGGACAATCATAAAGCTTTATGGGACATCGTAGTCGCTTGTATCTGGTCTTGTGTCAAATATATCGTAACATTATTGAAGAGGCCAAAATATTACCGAAGAACAGTTCAAAAGCGATTATAGCTAAGGATCCTTGTTTTTCAGTGTATAACACTAAGTGATAGCTGACTGATTTTAGCTATGGGTCCCTGTTTTTGATTTTAGCTAAGGATACCTGTTTTTTAGTGTATACCACTATATGATAGCTGACTGAGTTTAGCAAAGGATACTTGTTTTCAGTGCCTACCACTAAATGATAGCTAACTGATTTTAGCTAAGGATACCTGTTTTTTAGTGTATACCACTATATGATAGCTGACTGAGTTTAGCAAAGGATACTTGTTTTCAGTGCCTACCACTAAATGATAGCTAACTGATTTTAGCTAAGGATACCTATTTTCAGTGTATACAATTACATCATAACTGACTGATTTTAGCCAAGGATACCTGTTTTTTGATGTATACCACTAAATGATAGCTGACTGATTTTAGCTAAGGATACCTATTTCCAGTGTATACAACTACATCATAACTGACTGATTTTAGTTAAGGATCCCTGTTTTTTTGGGTATACCACTACATAATAGCTAATCGATTTTAGCCAAGAATAACCGTTTTTCAGTGTATACCACTAGCTGACCACCGATGGATTCTGTAAAACAAGGTTACATTGTTACAATTTCTCCATGTTGACTTGAAGGCATCGCAGGGTACTTTGCCTTTGATTCCCTTAAAATGGGTTTTAATGTACACAGTGCTAAATAATCTAGTTTTCTAGTAAAAAGAAAAACGGACAACTACTTTAGTTTGTATGAGTTATGGAATGCAGGGGAATTGGTAAAGTTTAATACTTACGTTATTCGTAACCAGCTTAAATCAGTTAAATATACTGTTGAAACTTTGGTGAAAAAGAAAAAGATTGCTCGCATTCTTTCCTTCAGATCATCTTCCTGCTATTAATACAAAATAAGGTCTCAGTGGGGTTAACCGCTAGCCGTAAAACGATCCAAAATTTTAGCCACTAGACGCAAAAAAAGTTAACCGTAAAAATGCTTCCTCTGCGTCATTTTATGTCATTTTGGGTTAACAGTCTCCGTAAAGTGGCCAAAATTTAACCATTAGCTACCACCTCAATAAGACCCTTAAATAAGTGTTTTACCGAAAAAGAAAGTTTTAATAAAACACACAGCCGGGACTTGCACTTATTGAGGGAAAAAACATGTCTGTTCTCGCGCAATGAAGTCACAGGATATTGGCACTTATGTTCGTTTTAACTCTTAAATCCCTGAGAGAGACCAGCATCTAAATTCTCCTTTCAATATCTCCCATGAATCAAACATTAAGGTCATGGGAATACAGGAAATGATAACAGTATGGAGAATGTACATAATGATGTTAGGGTGTAAAGTGTTAAGAATACTGAGGATCCACGAAACGAAACGATACCAAAAAAAATTTAAAAACAAGACAAAACAAACATTGACATTTATTTTGCGCCTCTTCAAGAGCAGCGAGTCTGAATTTCAATCGACGCAATTTTCCGGAGGGGGTGAGAGAAGGGTGGGTAGGGGTCCCGTGGAGTACGGAGGTGGCTTGTTGTTTTATTTCCTAATTTTTTTATGTTATCGTTATCATTATTATTTCTGGATGTTATGTTACAAAGTATCTCTGGTCATAATATAAATTTATATGCGAAAACGAACGAGACTTTTTTTTTAATATTCACAACGAGAGCACACATCTACACGTTTGATTTAGATCTCTCCCCTACTTTGTGTATAAGTGTAAACAGCTGACAGGTGCCATAAATATATCAAAAAAATAAAGACTACTTCACTTTCTTTTATGGCGAAACTAACCAATCGGTTACAGTAAAGCACAAAATTATATCTAGTTAAGCAAACAATGAAAGCTATTAGCATTTCCAAAAAACTCTAAAATGTGTGCAATTTAAGCAATTTTTCTGTCCTTAAGTGAAAACTAATACTGCAGTTTAATGCATATCGCTGGCTGTATTTCAGTGATCTTTAAAAGCCATCATTGTATTATTTCATCTGGTGGGTAAAATTAGTCCATATGTTGGATCAAAAGCTTGCCTCGTTCTTTAATTTGTAATGATGCATTGTGTTATCAACAACGCGTCTACCACCGCAGGGCGAAAGAACTTTAGCAAGGCGGGAGCTTGATTAATTAACCATGATCGAAGCCAAGGCGGGAGAAGAAGATAGCCAGCCGCTAATGCCTTCAACAACTATGGGGCGACAGACTCAAGAGGAGAGAAAGAGTACCTCGCTATGGTGCAACAGCGTCAAGAGGTGGACATTTTTAATTATAACCGTCGTAGTCGGTTTGTTCGATTTGGTAACAGACTGGCATAATTTCATAAAATACGCGTCCCAGCCGGAGGATCTAAAGGAATTCGGTTTAACTGTAGCTGTACTTTATTTCCTCTTTTGCTGTTTCATTGGAGCAGGCATTTATTTCTGGGCTGTTTGGTTAGCTTTCCGAGAATTTAAAGGTAACTTTGACGAGGAGATGCTTAGTCAAGATGCAAAATTGCGAGATCGGGTTTATAAAGAAAAAATGTATCTTTCATTGTCGACAATAATTCTGGTAGATTTTCCCTGCTTTCTTCTGAATTTCTTCATTATTTACTGCGACTCGCCTGAAAATGTCGATAAACCAGCTTTTCACCTCGCTTCTTGGCAAACTCTGGCTGTCGTTTCGTCTCTTGTGAGCGTTAACATTTCAATTGCAAGGTTGCTCTGGCTCAATTACATGTATTGCAAGATATTTGGCTGCTTACGAAAGGGCGCTATATTGTCATCTTGTTGTGTATGGGTGAACAACGTACTGGCGTATATGGCTTTGGCAGTAATGTTGTATTTTTTCTTCGGCCAGTTTATTCCGCTGATCATTTCGTTTCATGTTCGTCAGGGTAAGGTATCGAATGGGAAAAACCTAAAAACCGTATCCGTTACAAAGACATTTACAATTATACTCCACCAAGTCTATTACTATGGCAACAGCACGACCTTTAAAGAACGGCAGATTAATGATACCCTGTTTAATGGGGTGTTCTCAAACGACTTGAAAGCAATGAAAGGTAAGGGGATTGTTGTAAAGCAGAATAGGAAATGTTCTGATATCTTTTATCACGTAAAACCAGTGATCGTAAAAAGTTACAAATGGAATCCCAAGAAGAAAAAATTCGAAAATTCGAGTGCAGACTACTATTGGCAATGGAAAGGCACAAATTGCTCGGCTACGATAAGCAACCATGGGGAGATCCTCGTCACTTCTTGTAGACCTGTTTGGTATGAAATCAAGCCAGTTTGGTGTAATTTTACGTACAGAATTGTTTACGACCGGAAGAAGTTTACAACCTCTTACAACGTGGCAAATTTGACCGAGAACACATGCGCACCTGTGAATAAACACTGGATCACTGATGTGCTTAATGAAACCGGTTCAACCGGAAAGCACTTGAGTTACTGCGAAATGGCGTCAAGGAAATGGAAACCGGTTTGGAAACCTGATATTTCTGTATGCTAGTGGTTACGGACCTATTAAAACGGAACCTTAAAGATCAAAAGGGATTAAACATGAAGTTTCCAGATTATTGAGCAACGAGGAGTACCATTAATTGCCTATTCCCTTTCCCCCTGTATTCTGCTGAGTAGTCATTGGATAGTTTGTACCCGTGGTCGAGTATACACCCCTTCTCTGCGCATGTAAACTCTGAAATGAATAGAGCAAGGCCCTTCGAGAGTGACCACAACATAGAGAATCCAGCTGGTCGAACCTGACCATAATCAGAGTTTATCATATATAACGAGCTGATTACGCCAATTGATATTCAGAACATCGCAAAAGACAAAAATGCGCTCTCTGCGATGAGTAGGTGGAAGATAACCGTTCTCGTTGTTTGCCTTTAGAAACGTTTTATTTGATATTTGAGGCCAGATGTCGTATGACAAGACGAAAAGTTCACGATTTGAACGTGAGGACAAATTTTCGTTGTCACGCAAAACATGCGTTACGATATGACATTCAGCCGCGGTAGACTTACAGAAGGACATTAAAATATACGTGGAAATCTTTGCCTCCGCGGTAATGTTTTCGGTGATTTAAAAGCTACGAGTAGAAGTAGCTCAAATGGATTGCCTGAGAATACTGGCTATCCCTCTTTGGATGCCCAGTATTTTACATCTATGACTATAAAACCTAGTATGTAAGCGGTATTTTGATTTGAACTGCAGGAGGGAATATGATCCGTCCTAACTGAATTTAAATTATTGTCACGCAATACCTGCTATTTAAGTGATGCTTGACGGTAAACAATGGTCAAGAGAACAAAACGTTCGAAAAAGAAACGTTTTGTATTTGATTATATTTCGTTTTGCTTACCTTTTGTAGTTGCCTTCATGTCAATTGTTCTTGTGATTTAAACGTCTAAGTCGTCACAGTCTGTGATTTACAGTGGTTTCTGAAATGATCCGGTTTAGTATAAATAAGATTTGCAGCGCGTTCAGCACAAAGATATTGGTAAAAATGGTGTGCTTACCATTTCTTTGATGTTCTTTTATTTGTCTTAGCAGACCTGCTACACTGAAATATCGCTTTTTTTTTCCGAAAAACGGTTTGTGATAGAAGCGAGGATAGCTCTTTGCAGGCTCAGTGTAAAGTTGAAGCTAGAAATTGCTATTAAAAAAGACCCCGAAGGACTGTTTACCTGTGAATTTAGCACGGAAAGACTTCATCCTGCCAGAGGAGCGAAGGCACTCAGACATTGATGTTAACAACGAGACCATTGTTGCACAACCTCGGCCACTCAAAGTAATTTCAGTTGATCGCATGAGTAACGCGCGGTTCTGTCGTTGTGCTGAGTAACCACTCGCCACAGCTCCAGCCGAAGTGAAACTCTTCAAATGCTATTCAATTTTTAATTTTTCACAGAAAAAAAAAAGACCGGTGTAGCAAATGATGAATCAAACTCACGCCTTAAGTTCGATTCCAATGAGTTTTCCTATTAATTTATAATCAATTATTCAAAAGCTATCAGATGCCGAAATAGAAGTTAACAATTTCCTCATTGCCCGTGTTCATTACCCGTGTTCATTGCTCGTGTTCATTGCCCGTGTTCATTACCAACCGGGCGAGGCCTAGATATTAAAATTGTTAAAGAACGCGGTTTTGTCAACAAAGGTGGTATCAGTTAACTGGCTATCGTTGGTGTTGGAGATAAATCTTAGCGGGAGCTGGATTAAGACCATTGTGATTGGTGTCCTTATGAAAGCAATCCCCTCGATTCTAATTGTAATATTATTCGGATATATTTTTCTAGTTACAGATCGTCATTTGTTGATGTTGCAGAGTATGCGTCCATGGTTTTTTTGTACGCTGAAACGATGCAAACACGTGATTATCATATGGAGTGTCCTGATACCTTAAATACGATAGAGGACCAATTTTTCTCTTGCTAACACAGCATGATATTTTTAAGCAGTGATGTATCATGGGCGAGTAAGTCAAATATTGATCGCAATAAAACAGAAAATGCGAACTAACTAAACCGAGAGAAATTTTTATAACCGAGCATTTCTCAAGTAAATAACTGAGAATTTTTTGTAATAAAAATTACGTCCATTGTTTGTTTTTGTATTGTTTCAACGCATTTTTTCGTCTTGACCCTTAGCGCCGACACATTTTACGATCTGTATTCGGGAGTTGTCGATCGTTTTATTTTCATTCATCCACAAAGTTGACTTTTCTTGTCAGTATAAAGACTATTGTGTTAATATGATAAACAAAATAATACTTAGTTGCTTGTAGATATGAAATTTCTCTTCTCGTGTTCAACTCGACATCTCACTATTTCGCTGCGCTCACTCATGAGCTCTCTTAGAGAAATTTCATATCTACGCGCACCCATGTACTATTCTCTATTTCCTCCGTAAATTTTAATTTACATATTCTTCGTATTACAGCGTTTACTACACGTGGCTTCATGGTCACAGTATAAACGATTCATTGTCAGTAAAGGTTAGCTTATTGAAGCGACTTAGTCAGACAAGGGTCAAGGTTCAAAGACACTGTGGCTAATCTCTCCCCCACTCTCCCCTTCCCCAACCGCATTTCGACCGACTACATGAAAGGTTACGGATATGGAGAGGTTGTTCTGCATTTGTGGAAATGAATGAAAGCAATATTTCCGGTGACCTGATCAGATTCAGCGACAGCTGGTAGATAAATGTTTGATGTCTTTTGTACCAGCTGTACGTATTCCTACGAATATTCGATGTATTCGTGAATCATAGAGATCGCTGGCGGTGGTGTAGACTACTTTTCCTCTTGATTTAAAACAGCAAAGAGTATATGACGGATCAGAACGCTACTTTAGAGGCCCGAAACTTTTAGTGTCATAGTGGCTTTGTCTAACGTTTGCCGTGGAAACAATAAAATTACATCGGTGCTCAAAGCCAGTCTAGGTCGAGAAACACTCCAAACATATTTTGACGGCTAAGTCTCGCCGTGTTAAATGATACTCGAAAGTTAGCAGAGCAAAACCTCTATGTTGGTCTTCTACGAACTCTCGATAATAGATCGTCCTTTATGAATAATTTTTACTCCGAAATATAAAAATGGAGGTGTAAAGAATGAGAATTGAAGGCTAATCTCGAACAGAGAGGTCGCTTAAATATTAGGCGCTTTTGTTTCAGTTCTTTACTTTTGGGTTGAACTGAGGCGCTTTGCATCTGGAAACCTCGTAAACAAAAGAGCTTTCTTAGAACAATAGAAAAGTACAAGCGATTCCATTGGTTGTAAACTGACAGCTGTCGATAAAAATGAGCCAATATCCGGTGAGAGTTTGAGTCATGTGCACTCAAGCAAAAAGCATCTATTGTGTTGTTGATTGACAACCGGCAAAGTGAAAGGTCGAGCGCCGCTGGGCAAGATGCAAATTTTATAATTTGGCGTAGTTTGAGTAACTTCATCATTAATGCTGAATTGGGAAACTAGTTTTGCATCGAATTGGACCATTTTTGCCGAAGACGCAATCATCATGGGACAATCTGATATTTCAGAGTTGAAATATTTTCAATACAACTCGAATGTGTCGCAAATTTGGAGTTTGTAAGAAGTCGTACGGATAATATCAACGGGGCTCGCAGAATCAAAAGCGAATTTTTCTTCAATTCTACAATTTGCAAGTAATCTTCTTGGGTTAAGAACTCACCATAAAGGAAAGAAACGGTAAAAGGCGAAGGATTGAGGATTGTCTCTTTGTGTTGCTTACGGTGGGAAAGCATGGATTTTTTTACTCTTCACTTTCGTTGGTGAATTTATGCACTTCATTCAGTGAATCAGTCCGCGTGTTGTCGAAGCAATGGAGATGGAAGGCTCTCCCTCGAAATTAACAAAGGCAAAGACAACTCCAGTTATAAAGTCTGTAAGCACTTTGAATGAAGAGTTGATGTCAAGAAGAAGAGGTGAAATTATGCCTGTAACGAGTGCGCAGTTAAGGTAGGAAAAATTTGCAAAGGAATGCTTTGTTAATTTGAGCGCATCATGATGATCTGGAGTGAGTGCCGAAAAGCCAACGTCTTAGCGTCTAACAAACCTTTCAGTATTGTAAAAACAATGCCCATAAAAATCTATAGAATCGACGATGTTATTTATGTCATGGTAATTCTATACATCGCAGTAAAAGATTTTACATACATATTCCTACGTTTTATATATCAGATATTTTAATTTCACAACAAATTGAGTACGGAGCACACTCTAACAGAAATTCAAATTTGTGGAAGAAGAGACCGCAATGCGGCGAAGTGTGCTTTGCGATGAACGAGGAAACGACGGTCACTTTACTCTTTACTCCAAAAAATGCACGGAGAAGAGAGTTTGAAATTCCCTTCAGCAAACCCGACTCACGGTCGTGTTCCGCAGCTGTGGTTTATTAAATCAGTGAGCAGTACGTTTCGTGCTCGTAACAACTGTTTGTAATCGTAAAATTAGAAAACGTCTTACCGAGGTATCGTGCGAACGTGATTTTCAGGTCCTATCCCATAATAATGATAACTATAATAGGCGTCTCTTGAAAAGTTGTCACATGACAGACATTATTATTTACCGTATTGCTTGCCTATTAGGTTGGACTGCTTTCATTTTCATTTCTGTTTTACGGTCGTATTTTTCTCGGGCAGATCTACTAGCGTTCAACGACATGGTCGAGCACAACTTCTAACCTTATCGATATTAGATCATCGCCAAATTTTTCGAGCCGGCAGGAACAAAGTGATATAAAAGGTTTCTTACGTCAGTGTCATACGAATAAAATATTATTCCTGTTTTTTTTTGACACGTGATTCAAGGAGAATTCTCGATTGGGTTATATCGATGAATTAACCCTCGCGTGGGGGCGCTTCAAATAACTATCCGAAATCGTAAAACAACGAAATCCAATTGTTCAAAATATCTGAAAGAGGCAAACACATAGTTAAAATTGAGGACAGTTTTAGAATTTAGGTCGACTATTTTTATGGTACAATATGCAAGTCCGTCAGGCGTGAAAAGGACCCTCTTGATTCCGCTGAAACGCGGTTCCGAGGTAGAATATGTAGCAAGCGGTAAAGTCTTCTGCCAAATTAAACAAGTTCCTACAACACAGACGACCTTGGAACAGAGGGCAAAGTTTCCGATGTCGGCTTGACGAGATAAAGTAACAACGTGAAGTAATTAAATCAAAACGAAAAAAAAAATATAATTCGACTACGAGTTAAGGAGAATCGTCGATCTATTTTTATTCTACTGAAAAGAAATAGCTTTTTTTGAAAGTGTGTTCAAATTTGTTCTTGTTAGAGGACTGCAATGTGAAATTCTTCGGACGATGTGTACAACTGATATTATCAGGACAATGGAAGAGATATTTAAAACTAATAATCACAGTCAATAAATTCAAAGGGATTTAGCTTAATAGTGCGAAGGCGGTTATATTAATACTTTGCTAAACGCATAGTTAATGACGAAGAACAATGGTATCTACTAAACAAACATTTTTTGTTAACAAAAACTTCGCCATAGCAAATGGAATTTTCTTTATCGCTCCCAACCCTCCCTCCCCTGTTCTGCTCATAGGCCTCTGCTTTGAAATATAACCGTTTTTAGAACTCGATATCGGTTATATCACTTAGATTCACTACGAGATATAGATAACCTGCGAGTAGTTATCGAAAAAAGTAACATCAGTTTTTAACGCTGCGATTTGGTACTTTAAATCCAGGTAGCATCATGGTTCTGTCTTCTTTTAAGACATCAACAATATTTAGACCTTCCATTTAGGTCTGACATGCACGGGTTTCTTACAGTAATTACACTGCTAGGGAAGGAATATCTTGCAACGCACGAACCACACCTGGTTCTAATTGATCGTTCTCTCACAGTCCACAGGGAGCGGTTACCAAGGCGAGTTGTAGTGGTGAATTGTTAATCAATGGTCAGTCTCGTTCATCAACAGCAAGGACGGTTGTGCGCCCTCCACTCATAGATGAAAGTCTTATCGCTGATGATAATGAAGGACTTCCCCTGATCTCTGCTGTGTATTCATTGGCAGCGAATGGTGATCAAGATGGCGGTGAGGCCTCCGCTATCCAGGGAATGTCAGTGAGAGGATCCAAATTAGACTCTTCAAAGAAGAGCTCGCCGCAGATTATTAAGACACAGAGGGTCGTGTCTCCAACGCCAAGTTCTCCCTCTAGAAATCGTCTCAGCGATGCAACTGAAGTTAAACAAGTGTCAAAATTCAAAACAATTAACGAGTCTACGGAATTGAACGAAAGAAAAACAAGTCCACGTTCTCTGGATGATGGTGAAAGAATACATCCTTCTATAGCCAATTCTGTTACTAAAACTCATTCATCGGCAAACGTCATGCAGCTTGTAAAGCTAGTTGACAGTGTCCATAAGCAAGTGTCTCCTTCACGTCAGTCGTTGACTTCCGCATCTGCGAATGGCCAATCAGCATCCGTGTCACCAACTAGTTTAACGAGCTCTTCTCTGGTTAAACCGGTAACGCAGCCAAGACAGATTGCGATGAAACCACCACCAACATCAACTTCTATAGTGTTGAACCTTAAACCAGGTGAAGCGTTACCCAAGGCAATCAACGTCCTTGGTCCAGACGGGAAAACTGTTGTCGTGCTATCGTTAACCGGCGATGGGGGGAAACCTTTTTCGTCACAAGTATCACAAAGTGGCGGAAGGATTGTAATTCCATTACCGGCAAATGTATCTCCGAAACAGGGTACAGTTGTGAACAAGGTTGTCGGTGCATCTAGCGGGAAAGTCCCCATTGCGCCTCATCCTGGGAGAGCAACTGTGTTGTCACCCAAATCGGGAAACTCTTCACCTTTGCCTCCATCGGCCTCGGACTCTTCATTGTTGCAAAAAACACCCATTACTCGCACTGAAAATGGTGCAACGAGGACGTCTCCCTCCAACGACATTTTAAACTTGTCTGAAACGCGGCCACCTGTCATAGTTGAAAGTCAAAATCCAGAGAGTGTATCTCAAGGAGACAGTAAAGGATTATCCGCAACTAAAGAGTCTAACCCGGCAGCGGTGGCTTCGCCCGAGGCAACGCCAACGCCATCGACTTCGACAGGAGAAAAGCAAGAAGGGCTCAGTCCTCATGAAGCAAGAATCCACAGACTTAAAGAACTCATTAAAGCGCAAGAGGAAGCTGTTAATAAACTTCGGGAGAAAAGGCGTTTAGAAATTGAACGAATCAGGAACGATTCAACTTCATCACCTGAAAACGAGAATGATACGTTTAAACCTGAAAGACCACCTTTAGTGGAACAGAAAAGTTCGTCGAGTCCTTTCGCTGTGCCACTTCCGCCTAAGAAAAGAATCAGAGAGCAAGATACTGGCGTTAAGACCAAACTGCCGAAGTCAACGGAATCTTCGGGGAATGAAGGAGCCTTTATTCCGAACGGCGATGATAAATCTTTCGTTCAATTAGTTGGTCTGGAAAACGTGGTCAATAACATAAAATAGTAAAATTTTTTTGACACCGTGATCGGCCAACCCTGGTTTACTTATTGACCCGTTCCTGGTGAAAAATTCAGTTTAATAACTGGGGAAAAAAGCTAAAATGACCTCCACACTGACGCTATTTGGCGTACTCACACTACTCTCTGCAATAAGTTTGGCTTTATTGAAATTTTTATAGGGAGCTAAAAAATAAATGGTTCGTTTAATCGCCTTGAAATTTTAATTTGGGCTTTTTAGAGCTCCAAAGTTGCGTTCCACATTCTCGCATTATAAAAGTCAGTTTCCAAAGTTGCAAAAATCAGTAGCTTTGGTAATAAAATGATTTAATGGAAATTTGCTTCAATCGCAGTTTTTAAGTTATTACTAATATGTATATATATATATAATTTTTTTCCCACTGTGTTCGATTTGCACTAAAAGTTTTGTCGTGCAGAATATTGAACTCATCGATTCAAAATTTCAATAGCATTGGGTGTAATGGCGTAAGATTAACAGAGTAGATGCACTCAAAGGGTGTATTCAAAATGAAGTCTTTTTAAATTAGATAAATTACTTGTTTCTGAATGAGTTACGCTTATCTTACATTTACAACCATCAACGAATAACAGAGGGAAATGATGAGTTTTCTTTGATAGAACCTTTTTGCCACTCTAAAAAGCCCTAACCTTGGAGCCCTATTTCAAATATGCAACCCTGTCACCCTTCTTCCCCTTAACCAAACCTTCCCCCGCCCCATACAAAACAAAAAGCAAAAAAAAAAAAATTCATGAAATCAGAAAGCTCCTCTGGGTATTTGGGTACCTGGTGGACAGTGACGGGTAAACATTTCGATCGACCTCAAGCCCATCCCATGCAAGTTTTTTGGGTGACCTCTCTCATAAATTCAGAGAGATATTCATCTTAAATTTTATTGCGGTATCCTCTATTCTTTAAGCGTATTTTGAAACTGTACGGTTTAATCAAACGTGGAGCGTGACGAACTTGTTCTTAGGAGGCGTAGCGCTTCTCCGTTTATGAATCCCTTCTTTATGCTTGGTTGATGGCTCGATTGAAACTTCGTGCATCAGCACCTCTCTTTTCGTAATGTAATGCGTTTGCACGTCAAGGGTGGATTCCCTGTTTACTCCCTGGCTTTTGTACACTTTTGTGTCCAAGAATACAATTTCCGAGTCTGACATTTCAGTTGTGAATTTGATTGTATCGTGGTAGCTGTTTGCCCGCCAATTCTTCTATTTTTAGTTTGGTTGTGCTCTACAGACAAGAAACGTGGTCAATATACCCCCTTCAAGCTAGCGGTGTAGTTGTGCGTTGTTTGATGATTGCCACGAAAATATTGGCAAAAGCCACAGCCTGTGCTGTTCAGTGGGTTTGTGAGAAACAGTATCGGGTTCCCGGATAAAAGATAATAATAGCAACAACTGCACGTAAAGCACGCTCGTTGAGCGTCGTCCTTTACAGTAGTTTCAATGGATGAAAGATATCAAGGCTTTCGACAATTTTTAAAATTAATACTATGTTGATTAATAAACACTGTTGCTATGGGATTGTAGGCTTATTTGTGACATGCGCAGACGTTATTCTGCTCTATCGAAAATGCCTTTATAGAGAAATTTGGTGGTATGTCAACAGGACAATGTCATACCCCATAAACTCAGTCTCCAGACCGTACTTTGGAAAAACCCATTTGTCTTGAGCGTCTAAATCACTGCGAGAATCTTGTAGAACAAAGAAGGCCAAGCTCAATTATTGGATATGGAATTATTTTGTTTAATTCAGAAGTAAATATATGGCAACCACTTGAGAGAATTGATATGCTGATTCTTGCGGTTAACTGGGATAATTCATTTAGCTTTACGTAGGTGTAGGAGTTGCCTTTACAATAAATTCACTGTTAACAAAATCTGAGATGGAAAACACGAGGACCAGTAATGCTTGTTTCTCAACACCACATCATCCTTATGTAAGACACCGGCTAATAAAATACTATATTACATCTTCGGTTTTGGAGCATTTCTCTCCCACGTCAGGAACTGTACTAAACGGTTAATCTTGTGTACAGTAAGAACTTGAGTTCAAAAATATCTGAAAATAAAAAATCAGAAAAGTTTGCGTTATCCCAGGCACCAACACTGTCATTGGTTGCACAGCCCCTTTTGAAAAGTAGGGGTCTTTTTAATGTAATCCCGGATAGAAATCGTCGTATTTTGTTGGTTTGGATCGTTCAGTGCGGCTGTTTTGTTGTTGCGTATTCCGTCAATATTCGTGCTCTGTTCTACATTTTAATGCCGCCGTATATTTTGCGCGTTCAGTTGCCCTTACATAGTAAAATGGCGCAAAAGTGCAGTAATAATAAGCTCCTGCTCAAACAATGCATCATGTCAGTTCCATGCGTGTACTTCTAAGTACGTAGCTGTAGGAGCAAAGCAGTGCCAAGCCAATGTGATTCAAAGGCCGCATTTCTCTCGGCGTTTGGAATGGCCCTTGGCTTTAGGGTTTAGGTTAAAACTACAATGAAAGAAAGGGTCAAACATTGGAAAAAATACACGTAGAAGTCACGTGGGCGGTGATGACTGGCAACGAGGCTACCGATGGACTCTTTTTCTATTCTTCCCCGCTTCCCTTCTAGCTTTAGCGGAATACACGATCCTGCATTTTCTCTTTGAACGTTTAGAGCCCCTTTTTTCTTCTTTTTTTCACCTTGTTTGGCGCCAATGTTTTATCGATATAGTGTCGGTAAAAGTTAACCTCTTTCGCCGGATCAGCTGCGAATTAAAGGCGGCGGTAAAGTAAACATTTCAAACCAATACAAGGATTTGAAGTTCTTAAATGAAATCTGATGTGCTTCCGTAGACATTGGCAAACACCAGTTTAAAATGGCCATCAGAGATGATATCACAGGCGTGAAAAATTAATATCGCCTGTCGTTAATGCCGAGGAATGATGCGAGTGGCAGCCAGTAAATTGATAACCTTTATCAGTACATTTAAAGAACTAACAACGCCTTTCGTGGAAATTAATAAGTGGCTTTCAGGACAACCGTGCGATCAGCGCTATTTAAATTTTGGTTTACTCAGTGTTGTTGCTGTTTTTTTTTATGTTTTTTTGTTTTTTTTTCGTGTGTGTGTGTGTAAAAATGATTCGTCGTTCAAGGATAGTTGTAATAAAGGTTAGCCCCATCGAAGAAAACAAACTCTTAGTTTCTCTTAATGCCTAGAAAGCATCCATTTGAAATACCATCCCGACATATACTTCAAAATGAATATGAAGCCATCTTTTCGTTACCGATAACAAGCATACACAAAATCTTCAATTGAATGGTTCCAGTTCAGGACTGAGTTAAAAAAAAAAATTAAAACTACCTCCAGATTTCAGCACACTACGTTATAACCAACTTCATACGAAAGGGTTCACTAGACTGAAAACATTACAGTTACCTCTGGCAGTGCGTTAAGTGATATTTTATTACATGAAAGTACTGCCCAGTTTTTTATTCGTTGAATGGTCACCAACAAGTGTTTTATCCAGAAAGTCAAATTTTTGGCATTGTGTCGTATATTTCACAATAGTATTTCGAGAAAGTCATAAAGAGCTGCAGATCGAGTTCGTTTGAATTGTACAGAAACGCGTACTACAAGCCATTATGTAGATAAATAGTTTGTTGCTCTAATTGAATATTCACACTCTACAGTTTTACCCGACGACGAACTTTACTAAATCGTGGGTTAAACATACCTTTTGCAAGGCCTCATAGCCAACATCGTAGAAATCTGTCTCAAAATCCTCCTGAACTTCCCCTGATTTAGCCTTTTCGTTGTTAATGTCGTTGATGGTGCATTCGTTGATGTCATTGCTGTCTCGCTTTCTTTTGAAATTAAACGACCTGCATCTTGGGTCTCTGAGGCAAGCATCGGCACACGTGTAAGGTGACAGGGCACCCTTTAAATTGTTTATTTCGTGCCCTTTAAGTTTTATATTCTTGTACCGATAACCATTCAGAGAGGGTCTGTGAGGACACTCTTGTGTGTACGATACGAGAAAGAGAAACAGCAGCGAGGTACAGATCTCCAAGTATGTCATCAGGGTTCTATTTGCCAATGAAACTCCGCTTTAGAAAGCTTTGATTTTCTTTTCATGCGCGTTTTACTTAAGCCGGGGACATTTTAAAGTCCTCTCCAAGACCTTTCACACAGAATGATCCCCAGAGCCATTTCGTAAACCATCAGTGAGACATCCTTCACACTAATCACTTCAGGTATAATTTTCTTGGTTTTAATTTCAGTTTGAATAAGAAGGAGATGTTTACGACTAAACCCATTCTAGAAAATATTTACACCCTCTTAATTAAAACTTGTGTCAACAAAGGACAGGTTATATAACCTTTGATAAGGCTACCGAACAAAAGAAAGTAAGCACCACCAGCTTTTTGAGTAAATATAAGAAATCATGATTCTTAAATAAAAGCAAAATTAAAACGTTCATAATTCATAATAAATAGGTCTAACATTTGCCATACTTTTGAAAAAAAAAGTGTGAAATTTCAGATTTACAATCGATAAATTATTAATTATTGATAATTAAGTTGAGTAAAAGGATTTCGTAACTCGACGAGACACGCATTGTTTCGAGTCTCGAGGTTCTTTTTGTTCGTCACTACACCTGCCTCTAGTCGTCAATCTCTGTCGTCACTCTGCATCAATTCCATTGTTTTGGAGAAACACGGGCTCCTATGAAAAACACAAAAGTCTTAACGGAGACAGAAGGGTAAAAAAAATCTATGTTATGCAATAAAGGTATTGAACATTGAAACATGCACAAGCCACCTTTACTAGAAATATTTTATAAGGGCTATCCGTTTTAATAAATCGTGCAAAATTTTCCACCTTATCATCTCGCGCAACAGTCAAATTGCACTTTAACAAATGTTTTGGGCTCTCATTGTCGAGGGAATGCTAAGATGCTTGTCATAATCCTGAGAGAATATTGCGATGAGGTGTTTGTTTCTTAAAGCACTTCATTTAAGAAATTGATAACTTGGACAGCTGGGATTTGATAAAGTAGAAATTAATTAACTTGCGTAAAAAGGTTTAAATTTATTTACAAATTAAACTCCACAAACGAGATTGAAATTTATATTTCCTTTCATGATCCTTTTCTTTTCACTTTTAGGACGCTTTATTCGTGGCTGATGTTGATAGCAAGCAGGACGCGTGGCAGATATGAAATTAGCAATTCATCATATTCATCACGTAGTTCTCTATAGCTCAGTGGAAAAGTGTCAGAGCACGGAATCGAAACATCTGAGCTCAAGCATCGTGGGATGACTCAGCTTTATTTATTTTCTCTTTGCATCACGCTCAATGACATCCATCTTTCATTAGCTTTGTTTTTTGCGAAACTCAAATGAACATGTATGTAACACCAGTGTGTGAGTAGGTTTTTATTCTCGAAGGTTCTTCGCTGTCGTGATAGTATCCGGTGATATTCCCCCATAATTCTTCCCAGCGGGTGATCGTTTTGTGAAATGCTACGATCATGATATTACAGGTTGATCTATTTATTTATTCATGAATTCTGCTTTTTCAGCTCACTCATCCCTTGCCTGTCAATGATTCTTTAACGTTTTTTAATCATTTTGTTTTTTTCGAAATCCTCGCATCGTCTCGTCACAAGCGTCTTCAATCTCGAGCCCCAGGGTCACTTTGGCTCCTTGTCAGCGGTATGTAGCCATATAGTCACCTCTGGGAGAATCGATTAATTCAATTTTTTGATTGGTTGATAGGAAAAAAATAGACCCCACACAGGGAGTGTGATTTTCGGAAGGGATCGATCGGGCCGGAAATAGAGCATTGACAACGATAAATTTGAATTGTTTTACTTTTGTTACTGTTGTTGTTGTTGTTGTTGTCTTTTTTTTCGCGTGAAAGTTTTCACTTGTAAACTGCCTGTCGATGTGTGAGAAAACAGCCAGCAAAAGCCGCTGCGTGCCGCAATGGCGGGAAGCTGTTCTTCATAGAGCGATGGATTGCTGTCGATGTTGTCAAAGACGTATGAGTAGAAATAAGTCATTATATTAATTTGTTTTGAGTGAAAAGCAGAAAAGAAGGAAATGTGCCAGTGTAAAAGAGTTCGACATCAGAATCGCATAGCATTTAATATCAATATCAATATCATGTCTTACATGTAACAAGGAATAGTACCAAGTCTTCCCTTGAAGATTTTAGTTGGAGGAGCTTATTAAGGAAATGATAGGTTGAGCTTCTTACTAGCTTGATCCGATGGCCACTGTGAGTGTACTGTTGTACAAGAAGATGGAGGTCAAGTACTTCCAGTGCGTGTGATATATAGTTACGCGATGAATACCTAATGCTGGGAGCAGAACCAAAAAGCCATACTATCATCCTTAGTATTGAAGACTCTAATCGTAAGGTGAGTACTATTTTAGTAACTACAAGCAGTTTTTTTTATGAGCTTTTACTTTATCTTTCTTTTCAGTGAAGCAATGATACAATTTTAGCCTTGAAACATCACAAGCTTAAAACTTGCAAAATGTGAACATTTCATATGTTTTTTTACTTCATAAAAAAAACAACCAAACCCTAGCTTGATTTATCGAACTGAATCATGTAAAAGAAAGAAGCTAGAGAAAACTCAAAGCTTGTGATGTTTTCAAGGTTCAAATTCTATCATTGCTTCTCTTTTTCTCTTCATCTTAAAGAGGGATGTGGATATTTGATCCATATGCGTGTGTTTTCAGTAAACTCAAGGCTAAGTAATAGTCTCAAAAATTTGCAAAATATGACACATCAAGTAAGAAATTTTATTTTTGCTTCCTAAAGTTATTTTGGAACAAGTAAATAGAACAATAGTTGTTAAATTATTTTATTCTCACTTGAAATAATAACATAGTACATTGAAATGAAAGTAAAATATCAAAGCAGTGTCAATATAAACTGTTTGGCATGTTTTCATTGTTGAGTAGATCAAGGAAATATTAGGAAACTTGTCTTGAGGTATGTCGTATTTTAGGGGCGAATAAATGGGTGTTTTTATATGAGTTTCAAAACATTGCTGTTTTTTCTTTGTTTTGTATTCATCCCGCCTCAGGTGCAGTCACCTGTACAATCATCAGCTTTTGCATCAGGAGAAGAGGGAGGATGACTTCTCTGGAATCTATACCAATCGTTTCTAGAGTTTGCCGTTGTTCCTTTTCCCTTTCCTCTAAGCCCAATACTCGTAAAGTCCTTGCTCAAAGTCCATTTTACTAATTAACTAGCTTGCAATCGATTCACCTCGCGCGGGAACCTGAAAACAGCGTAGGAGCTGCGTAAAGGGCCATCACTTATCCTTTTTTTTTCACTTCCGAACTTCCAGGAGCATCAGAAGGTGCACTGGTAAAAATCTCGGTATTTTCGTTTTATTTATGAATTCCTTTTAGTTACGATGAATCGTAAGTTCACCTACACAAAGGTGATTTACGTTCTCTTTCTTTTTCCGCTGACGTAGTGGACCGTGTGCTCTATTTTGAGCAGAAGTCAACCGGAAGCAGTAAATAAACAATGTAGACATGCGCAGTTAAAACCGGAATCCCACGATTGCTGGGATAAAAGGGTTCATTATTTGGCGACCATACCACTGACAAGGAGTCAAAATGACCTGGGCTCAAGAATGAAGCGTCTAACAAAGCACACTTCCCCTCCTTTCGCCATTGGCAGTCTTCTTGAACATAGGCATCAATTTCTCGTAAAGTTTACTTCTTCATTTTGCTGGAGCGGGGGGTGTAACTTGAGTTTTCTTTATTTACAAATAATATCTTTCTCGAAAAATTGAAGAATCATAAACAACTTAGCCTCTGCCCCCTTCAGCAACGCTCTTGGACTTAATTCACGAGTAGCTGATCCAGTAACCAACTGTGTAGCAGACAAATGCCACAGGAAAGAGAATCCGTGACACACGATCTATTCGGACTGCGTTATTTTTCCTCTGTTGTATGAGTGATTCCCGTCTCTCTCTCTCCTCCATGTAAGCGATGTCCTCCAATGACAGGGGCAGTGATTGGTCCTTTACTGCCATGTTCATGGTCAGCTCATTAAACTTGTCTTCATCAGGGACTTTTCCCTTTTTGGCTCTAGCTTTTCGCCGGTAAGTGTTAAGACATGGCAGTAGTTTGGATGGAAGGGAACGGCATTTCTGCAAGGTGAAGGACTAATATACTTTGGTGCTATTGAATTCTACTAAAAATACTTCATGGCAGAATGTTTCTGTCGGAGACAGTTGCACAACTACAACAAAATCACGCGATCATTAAGGAGGTAACTAGCTATAGGGACATTTATATACAGTTCATTGGTGGTGCTATAAACCTCTCTGCCCCGCCGCAAACGTTCTCAGTAATTTCAATCTATAAAAAACGGTCTGGGCAAGGTTACTTTCTCAGCAAAAATGGAGTAATGATAGACTGATGCTCAGTCTTTGACTTACTATAAGATGGGATCCCATGAGTCAGCCCAATCACGCTTATTCATACAAGAAAAATAAAGAAAACGTAGTTTTGCCTGTCATCAGGCATCGAAGTGAACAGTCCCAGTTGTATAAAACGTGCTTTCTGCTGTGCTATATTTCTTAAATAAAGTAATTTTCGTAATGCAGGGCGAGTTTGGTCTGAACCAATAAAAACAGCAACAACAACAACAACGACAAAAACATCGACGCCGCTGTCGATGTCGTTATTGTTTACTTCATCATCTTTGTTAACGTTTGGACTCACCTCACTGTTTTTTTCAAAACTGCTATCTTTCTTAACTGGCCTCGAAAACATCACATACGCAGCCAAGCTCTCAATAACCGAGAGGAAAATAAACGCAAATGATGTAATAAGATACCAATCTACTGCTTTAGCGTAGCTGACTGGCGGCATGGAAGCATTAACAGCCCCAGACAGGAACATGATGGTCAGAATGGTGGTGATTCCGATTGTGAGTCGGTCACCAGCACTCTCTGGGTTCATCCAAAACGCAATCCAGCTTAACAGGACTATCAGGATATCAGGAATGTAAACTTGTAAGACGTAGTAGCCAAGGCGGCGCTGGAACGTATATGAGACAGTTATGGTAGTAAAGTTCACTGGCAAAAAACGAAAAGAATTTGTATAGACGATAATGAAATATGTAGAGGAGGGAAATTTGTTTATCACCGTTTTCGAAAGCTCTACTTTGAATCGTTTGCTCAATAGTTTCGATAGTAGATAGTGTTCTTTGCCCTAAGAGTTCTAACCATTCCCTGAGAGCGACTTATTTCTAATTCATCCTCACTGTATCAATTAATAAGGTCTTGATTGTCAAACACATTCTTCCTGTCATAGGAAAAGTGAATAGAATAGTATGGAGAATTTGCCAGTTTTCAGTGGAGAAACTATAGGTTGAAATAATTTCGACCAGATCTGACTTCTTCAGATCACGTAAACGCTCTAGCAACATTGCGTGACAGGGAGGAAGCTAGAGATGTCTATAAACCGTTTCCTAAAAGAAGAATTGGACAAAATCTCTGATTCATTTTACTCTTCATGATCTTACCACCCGTGTAACTATCCAGGTCAGCAGAAAACATTGCGCCCAGAAACTTGAACTGCGCCATATTAGTGCGACTGACGTGAACATCCCCACTTAACCACTTGAAAATGACGTCACTATCATCATAGGCATCTGGAAAATAAGTGGTTGAGTCACTTGTTTGTCACGTTGATGAGACAGAATTTCTTTGAAATTATCATGACCTTAAAACGTGGTAGATCAATTTAAAATCCCAGACCGTTTCCATAGGACAGTGTCGAAGCATCGAATATACATTGGTAAGCGAGGTTTTCATCATTATTCATAACTCAGGTTTTCTTTTCTTTTTTTTTTTTTTTTTTTCCTTCAGACGTGAGCATTATAAGACGGTTACATGCTTTTTTGTTCAATCACGTCCCTGTTTAAGAGTTCCAAAATGTGCGCATAGAATGTTACTACGGATTCGATAGTTTAGTAAATGTATGGTATTATTACCAGAAACACCGAAAATATGAAAAATTACTTGCTGATTTTGATTGGTTGTTGCGTATAATATGTGAAATGAAGAGAGTATAAATAATGAGATCATCACATTATTATCACATAAACAAGTGGGATACTACTTTTAATGCACTCATCTAGTAACACATCTCATATGAAGTTACAAGAAGATCGACATTCCCTTCGTCCGCGGTTTGCCACTTATTCAATGTTTAAGTTATGGACGGTCATCAGTGAATCAGTACTTACAACTTCCAAACTTAAGATGACATGTTTGACTGTCATGGGGGAAACTGCGGAGATCCATCACACATGATGCTGTGAATGAAACCCTGGAAAGAATTTTGATACGAAAATGAATAACTTGGTTACACTACTCATGGTTTTTCTTCATATTCCTCCTTCCCTATTAGACTCTTGGACAGGACTCCTTTATCTGTCCAAAGACCGACCGTCAATTTTTTATTTGTTTTAACTGTTCATCTGCGACCGTGTAAAAAGCTGTCTGTCGCAGATTCATTATTGCCATCCTTGGAAGGGTATATCTATTGCACGAACAGCATCTTTAACTAGGTAGACTCTACGATTCAAAATATACCCTCTACTGTATTCGAGCACTCCATCGGGACTAATGGATACTTTGCTGTGCGTTTCTGCGTCTGGTAACATCAAGTTTGTTAATCGAGCGTTGTAACAATAAGCATCAGGAGTCCACACACGGTTGATGTCAGACCCCTTGAGGGTGATACTACGGTTGATTCTCCCTGCCAGTCTTTTATCAGTCCAAATCTGCTTAAAGTAAGAGTACACTTGGAATTCCTAAAAAAGAAAGTCAAGAGAGGTTTTTTCTTTTCCGGTAGATTCAGCAAAGATGGACTGAAGGGTTGTTCTGAAAGCATTAGAGAACTTTTCGTAAAACCAAAATTTAAGTTAACAGAACAGCCAATCAGAAGACAGGAAAATAACTTTAAGAGCCGATGAGAACTCTTAGTGAAAAAAACCAAACCACCTAAAGCGCGGGAAAACGTGGTGACTAAGTCGTGATTGGTTGTGGTTCCGCAGCTGATTGGTTGAGAGAGTAGTGCGAGTTTTCAGGACTAATCATAGCTAAAACAATGAAATCCCGCAACGCTTTTGACAATCAATTGAAAATTGCTTTATTCTTGTAATTTGTCAATGTTTCAGAAGGTTTGATATCGCTGGTTAGCCTACATGATTGGTCATCTGATTTTGCTTATATGGAATCCCTTGTTATTTCTTACCATGTCGGCTTCATGAATATTTCCGAAGGACTCCACATGAAGTTGTACCGACACTTCAACAGGTAAACCTATAAAAGCATAAGGAAGTATATTTTTTTGGTCTTGCGCTAAGGTGATCAACTAATACCGGAACCGAATGATATAAGAGCTAAGTTCCTGTCCGGTTAAGTGTCAAGTTTCCGCTGCTAAACTTACCGACAGCCTCTCGAAGAAACTATGGAAGAAATTTTCATCGGCGCAATTTACTTTTCTTTTATAGGCACTTCTGTTTGCCGAAAACAATAAACAACTAAAGTTAACATCATGTAGAAAGCTTTCAACTCGTCTTGGGGTCTTCGGTTCCCTTATCTATTTCAAAAAGCGAATTTTGTCCGCCGTGTAACACGAGATTTGGCCCAAGCTAATAGCTGTGCCTTGCTCTAGACATGAACGAGTTTTTAAAAAGATTGAAGACTGACCAAAGATACAAGAGTTGCCCCAGGCTGCGCCTCCAGCAACTCTTACGCTTCCCTCACGCTCTCTGGACGTCTCACGTGCATATATTCATGCTAACCATGAATCAGCTCTTAACTGAAGAAATATATATCCGGAAATACTCTTTCATGTAGTAACATAATTAACTAAATTATACTACCTTCAAAGAGTCGAGGTCTCACGGTCTCATCGTAATTAGCAACTAGCGCTTGTTTCACCGAGCTGGACTTGATTTCTCTGATAAGGCTACGATAATGAAACAAAAATGGATTGGGGCAACTATATAAAATGTAGGTTGATATTCCGTTTATATTCCATTCGCATAGATTTTTAAATGGTTAGACGACAGATCTGATGGACGTTATGCATACTCTATACTGTTGCACAGCGCATTTTGTGTTTGTGCACGGAGTTTTGATAAAAAATCGAAATTAAAAAAACCGACTAGCTATATGTTTGTCTGAACTGTAAGATATAAATGCATTTCCCATAGTTACTCACCACGCTAGGAGGACGGAGATTCTTAATATCCAGTGAACATTTACGTTTAGAGGAGTCTCTTTCTGCATGGTTGTCAACTGTTAATTACTAAAAAAAAAACGAAACAAAAAAAACCACACGTAAAATCTATTGTAACCGCTAAAAGATGGCCACGGGCGTTCGATAGAAAATGTTGCTTAATAGCAGTTCCATAAACAAAACATTTCTGAAATAAACTTCGGGAGGTAGGCGAGGTGTCGTTTCAGCCATCTTATAAAACTCCTCTTAGATCATTTTTTCTCTGCTAAAGAGCCCGGTTTCGAGAAAATGTAAAATACTGAAGCTCATAAATAATAACTAACGATTGAAGTACGGTACAAGTGCAGCATTTCATATCGTGACGAAGATCTTAACAGGTGTTATTAGGGCTCTTGTATTTAAAAACATCCGGCTGGATAACGAATAACAAGGAGTTTTGAAGTATTTTCTAAGTACATAACGTTACTAACCGCACTTTTTGCAATAGTTGGGCTCCAGCGGCGTACTTAACTTTCTTTTAATGCAGTTTTGATTGCACCATGTTTAAATAGAGAGGATATCACTTTTTCTCGATATTTTGCCAATGAATATATTAAAAAAAAACCTACTTGAATTAATGGTGCCTAAGGATAGAAATACACTCAATAGGATTACTACCATACACGAGTATACCACAGGCAAAAAGAATGGAACAGGTGGATATGTTTAATGACGAACTTTGAAAAGTTTGGCAAATAATTTTATTATTCAGAGACCAAGAGTAATGTGTTTGAATTCAGTATAAGCATCCAAGAGGCGCATTTATGCCGATGAACTTCGATGGCGCCATCAAATCTTGACAATAATTTCGCTTTGACTAAGTGTTGTCAATTTTTCAGTAAAGCTCGTGCTTCCTTGTGTATTTACTTCGTTAAGGCAAATTTGATGGTTTTTGAAAAATGCATAATCTATCTGCATATTGCATTCGTACCATGCCACAAATCTCGAAGGAACTTATCTTGTCCTAAAGATGCATTTTCAACGGCACAATTTCAATTATCATTACTGTAACAACAATTTGAGACTGATCCACATTAGTTATGTCGCTGTAAACCACCTTTACATGGGCAACGGTGCAGCGAATGCCATACAACATCATCGCCACAAGTAAAATCAATAAAGCTGAAGTTATAACAATTTCTTTTCAGTTCTGCGATTGTTACGAAAAGCTTCGGTTGGATTAATTATGGCGACATTAAAACACGAGACAGAATGGAGCACAATTTTTGATTAAAATCTCATTCAAGTGCTCAAGGTAGAAAGTTAGTCTGAAGTACGCTTACCTTAAGACATCACACATTCACGAGCTCCTCTTAAAGCAAGAATAACGATCTCCGAGCAATTTTAGAGCGATAAAGCAATTTCAATCGATCACGATGGTTTTGCTATCTTGGGGATACCCCTTGCGGTGAAACCTTTTTAAAAACGACGATTACAAAAAGTTTTCCCTCATAAAATGCAAATACAGAAACTGTTATTTCTAAGGGGGCCAGTAACCTCCAGCTGTTACAGCTGAATGGTGTCTTCGCGTGTGGCAGGATTCAGATATTGTCAAATAAAGTAAATCATCAATTTATGTCATATCTTATGAAATTATTTGGACGGCGGTAAACATAAGAATATTGATTATCTTCATGTGGCTTTTCATTCCTTTTAAAAGTTTCTTCTTTATGGGATTATTGTTATGTAAAACTTGGAGGCAATTTGCGATATAGAAATATAATGTAGTAAATTGTTGATAGGCTTAGCTTACACTTTGTGCCTACTTTTATGAACTGCACTTTCAATGATAGCTTACAGACCGGGTCTTACCCACTCGCTTTAAACCATGTCTACCGAACCACGTTGCATTCTTTTATCTTCAAGACTTCTTTAGTATTTTTCAAGCGTTAAATAGGGCGATGGCAGAGGTGCGACGAAAAATAACGTAAATACAGACGAAAAATAACAATGAATAAATAAAAATAACATAAACAATAAAAATAACATAAATACAGACGAAAAATAGCAATGATTTTTTCCACAGTCTTTTCCCTTTGAAGATGTCACAGTTACTATTTGAGGCTTCTTGTATATCTAACTCTGCTCACAGCCATAATGAATAGAAGATATCGCATCTTATATTCTTTTCTATTTGGTTCTGGATCTCTTGCAGACATACTGTTGACATATCAAGATGATGTTAAAAATCTGTTGTAACATTTTTCTTCGATTATATTTACACCGCATTTGAAATAATCAATAGGCTTATCAAATGATTATTTCCTCTTGGAAAAGTATAGTACAAAGTCACAGCTAGTATCAGTATATTTTACTCTCTTTTTAGATTCCACGGATAATTTATGAATTAATGCCAGCTTTGCCCGTAATTTGCACGTGATAGCCACTTCGCCTCCAGCACTAACATTTCGTAGTTCTAAGTATCACTTGATACATTAAAGTACCACAAGTCGCTTAATACGATATCGCAGCTTGTATTCACTTCTGACGATACTTTCATTATTTCAAGGTAACATTACCACGTATTATTTAAAATCAGCGTAATATCATATTTCTTTGTCAATTAAGCTTGTACTACTTACAATACAAACATTACAAGATGTTAAAATACCAGGCTAGGTTCACTCGGGCTTTAAAGAGACGAGCTTTGATTTGTTGGTATTTATCAATCCTTGGTAGTTAACAGTCGCACCGTGGCCTGTAATTTAGATTCTTGATTTCAATAAGCTTATTAAGTATCATTTAAGCAAGTGAATAATAACACCAGTATCCAATGTTGAAGATTAGGAAGACCATCGGAAACAAGGCCCGTGAGAATTTGTCAATTAAATCAGCGGCATCATACAATTTTGGAGACTTTTCGTGACCTAAAAATGAAGTATCTTCCTTCACAATGCCATCGATGTTCGGGAGACATACATGACTTTCCTTGTCGTCAATTCGAGTGTCATGTTTTCCTCCATGAAATGTTACTTTAACCGTTGATGGTGACTTTGAATTTGAAGAGTCTTCCTTTTCCTATCGAAAGAAGAACACTTCATTGAGCTCATGACGATCTTAATTGATTGATGCACTTGTTTACCTTCACACTTTTTTCGCACGACGCGTAACACGTATGAACCTAATAACAGCTTACTTTTAAAAGGGGTAGGAGCTTCTTATGAAACTGTGGAGCGCCGTTTGTAAAGGGGGAGGGGATGGAGTATTACAAGATAATTTGTTTTTATTAACAGAGATGATTTTATGTGAATTGGCCACCATATCGTTGGAGCGAGTGACGAAGGTCTAACGCTCGAAACGTCAGCTTTATAAAAATCTTTGAATGGCCAATTTACATTAATAACGGAGTAAATGACCCAAAAGCTCCCTTTGCCTCAGTAACAGAGTAATCAGAGAACGAAATTGAAACTCGGCATCGGGCTAAATTTATTGTGGGGAACTCCGATTTTGTGCTTGAAAAGTCCCATAACATCTTTCGCCATATTGCCTGAAGGTGCTCAAATTTTACCAAAGAATTCTTCAAAGAATTCTTCTTGGTATTACAATTTAAGTTAAAGGATTTAAAATAACGCCAGACTTATACAATACGAAACCACATGCATCGCAGCACTGTCAGTCAAACTACGGGTGTGGTTGATATGGTTCAATAATCCTAAAAACAATAACAGACTATCTCCATTTTGTTACACATGCAGGTAAGGCAAATTAAGTCTAGTTTCGAGTAGATTTCTATTTCAAAAATACGTACTATGGCCGAAATTCAACAGCCCACGCATGCCTGCGCTGTACAGGTATAATGTATAAGTGGGAGTTAACATTTAACATGAATGAGTAAAATATATTCGACCGGTTAGCATCCAAAGTCTCTTCAATTGAAATTCGGACAACTCTTCCTCAAACTAGACAATTTTTTAAAGTAAGACGTTGCGTATGATGGTAGAATTGGATGTAGCTACAAACCTTTTTCGCCTTTCGTTTGTTAGAGCTTAGCCAAACCACGAACACGATCATGCACTCAACTAGCGACAAGAACGCGAAAGAAAAAGACACCAATAGATACCAGTCCAAAGCCTTGGGATAACTGACTCTTGGCAATGTGCCATTAAGAGAACCAAGAAGAAACATGATGGTTAATATGGTGGTGATTCCCAAAGCCATTCTGTTGCCCATGTCATTTTTATCCATCCAGAAGACAATCCAACTCAGGGCAACAACGCAGATATCTGGAAAGTAGACCTGTATGAGGTAATAGCCCATGCGACGCTTAAAGTAATATGTCACAGTGATGGTAGAGAAGTTTCCTAAAGAAACAGAAAGAGATTCTATGGTTGACATTTTAACCGTTGTGGAGACTGTAAATTGATCATATTGCTTTGGTCTGTAATATGATTGTGGATTTGGCTGGTTCACTCGTATCCAAGACTAGGATAAATAAGAGGAGGAGAAGCACGGTCGGCTTCGTGATCAGACGGAGAAGTCGCACTAATTAACTCTTGTATTGTGAAAGAAAATTGTTACTAGTGAAATTGAATTATTGGCTCACCTTTGGCAGACCTGTGTTCACTACGACTTGAGAAATAATTCATATCCAGTTTTCTTTTCCATTTAACGTTAATCAAATGGATTCACAGATCGATTTCGTACTTATGCACGAAACAATTTTTTTTGCCAACCATGATGCAGAATAATAAAAGTTCGTTGGGCAATGCCAAGGAAAGGTTCGAAGTTATCAACAAAACAGGTGGTTTGAAGTCGATCGGGCTGTCGACCGAAAGAAACAAATGCCCAGCTCCCTTTGGTTAATTAATCAGTAAAATAGAAGTATTTTTAACAGGGAGTCTATATTAAATTGAGACAATTGTTTTTAACCTGTTTTGTACATGTCAAAAGATGACGATAAAGAAGCACTGCGGTAATCAAACTGCGCCATCGACTTGGCTTCCACTTCGACCTCTTGGTATTTCCACTTATAAATGATGTCTTCCGTTGAATAAGCATCTGTATTGAACAGGAGAAATAATTTCAAGAAGTGAACACGAATATTCCGGAGTTGAGTTTCGTTTAATGATTGCACTGAATTTCAAAAGATTACTTAGTCGTCCTGCAGCAACGATCTTCTTCATGACAGTGGGGATGATCTTTTTGAGTTATCTCTTGCGCGGAGAAAGCAGAACTAAGCCTGAGCACCAAACTCCTTTCTTATCAATGTCTTTGAGAAAATTAAATGTGGTACTTACAGCTTCCAATTTTAAGAAAACATTCCTGAGAATCGAATGGAAAATGACGCAGATCCATCTCACAAGATGCCAGGAAAGTCACCCTGGAATGGGAAATCGGAATGTTTTTTTAACTATGTCATTTTTACATAAAAATAATAATAATAATAATAAAATGCAACGAAATTTTAATGTCGAGCCCAAAAATCTAATGCAGTAAAATACGTTTCGGTTAACTATATCCTTTTGATGAGTACGTGACGAACAGCTTCGCCTACATCAGTGACCGTACTACGACTGATAATTGGATGAGCCCTTCTATGTATGGTTGGGTTTTCTTATCCCTTTGATGTGTCTTAGATATCACAGCTTCATTGTTAAAGACTATCACTAGCTTACGCAATGATCAAGTTATTTTCGATGTAATTGGCCATTTAGTTCTTATTTTACTACTAGTTCTACAGCATCTGTATTCCTTATTCGACCTTTACACTGACTACTCGCCAGATTTTCTGTCTCTTCCGAAAGTTAAATGGTACAAACCCTTTTGTGTAATGAACGTTTCCGTGAACGTCTATTGAAACTTTGCTGTGGACCTCAGAATCTGGCTGCATTAAGTTGGAATCGCGTGCATTATAACAAAAAGGGTCTGGTAACCACATTCGACCGATGGTTTCGCCTTTTATGGTTAGAGTCTTGTTAAGCTTCCCAGAAAGCCTCCCGTCTTTCCATTGCTGTCGTAAATATCCAAACACCTTAAATTCCTGGGAAGGAAATAAATGAAAGTTTCAGCGCCACTATTACATACATTTTGAAATCACTTGTCACTAGTGATCCAAACAATTTGACGCGCTCTCAGCAATAGGATTTCGAAAAACGCGATGAAATGGTGCATCAACTTTGTATCCTGCAATTTTGGTCTGCAACCATACTTTCTGATTTCAGATAAGACTGCATTTGACCATAGTCAATTGATGTAGTTAATGGATGCTTAAATCTCTGTAGGACCTTTTGAAGGGATCATTAAGCTTTTAGATTCACAACGATTACAGTTTCTGTTGAAATTAGCTGTCTAATTCCACCCACAAAACTTGTGAGACCCTGCATAGTTTGAGCTTGATACCATACCTCAATTCAAAGATGCATGTTAGCTACCAAAAGCCCCTTGGGAGAAGAGTTGAGGAGAATGTATGAACGGGATTTTTGCCATGGAGACCTAAAAATTAAGAACCCTGCAAATACTAACCATATTTACTTCTTGTATATTTCCAAATGATTCAACGTAGAGATCTGCAAAGATCTCGATAGCATCTCCTATGATTCATAACATTTGTATAAAACAAAATACAACAATTATTTTCAAAATACAACAATTATTTTCAGTTATAAACCAGTAAAAAAACTTTGGGTTTGAATAAAATTGAAATGATTAAAAAAATAAACTAACATTAGTAAATAAAAGTTATTATCTAAAAATAGAAAAAAATTATTTCTGACAATAAGAAATTTTTGATGTTGGTCTAATCTAGATTTCAATAATCCATAAGTATTAAGAGAAAAAATAATGTTATGGATACGTCTTAAGCTCGTGGTAATTCATAACTCTGGATGGGTTAACCTATAGCCAGTTATTTAGCAGGGATAATAAATCGTTTCTGTCACTTAATTGCCCAAGATTGGTTTCATTGATTCGAGTTTACCCATACAATGCAGCCGACATAACCAAGCAATCAACAATGCACATGAGCAAAGAGACTCCCAGCGTGCGAGCTTATCCCGGATTTGAATCACGAACTCAATTACTCAAGAACACATGATTATAATCCCGCTCAGAATTGGAATCTCGATCTTTGATCCCTTGCATTGTCATTATTATTATTCCTATTATCATTATTATTACTATTATTATTACTACTATTAGTATCATTATTATTATTACTATAATTATTATTGCTATTTTTAGCCCAGAGTGCCATAGAGTCATATAACTCCTCCCAATTTTTAGCCAAAATGAATAAATTGAATCCTAGCATTGACAAGGGTGGTAAATGTTATTATTTCTCTTGAGCGCATCGAGATTGCCTTACCTCCATAACCAGGTCGCACAACTTGATCATAATCAGAAAACAATTTTGCCAGCACTGACCCGGAGACCACGCTTCCATTTTGTTTTGCAGAACTGCTGTGAACACGAACATAGCCATCTTGAGTCTTATAAACAAAATGCAAGTTCGCTACAGGCGCCCTTTAACCCAAATATTTGCTATCTTAATTTTATATTTGTTGTTGTTCTCACAAGCTTGTTCTAGAATTTTTCCTTCTTTCGCCTCTACGTGCTGTTATCAAGGTGAAATAGACAAAATATTTTGTGCTCGAGACTATATTAATTCACTAATTTCACAAAATAATCCATACACGCTTGCCATTCATTGATGCAACGAGCCAACCTCAACCACGATCGCACACCCTCGAACAGATATACTGCTGTGAGGTTTTATGATAGCCATTGATTGCATTTCTGCCTTCATGCTATGAAATGACGGATTACCATATGCATAGACTAAAATGATATATTTTCATACAAAAAGGGAAAAAAAAATTCTTAACAAATTTATTCGCTAAATTTCTTTTTTATGGTGTTGCTTAATGGTACGTGTCATCCTCTTAGAATGTTTAACACCTTTTTCACACCGCTTGTGAGATAACTGACAATAATTAGTTGCTACTTGTAAAGGTGGTTATCCCATGACTACTTTACAGACTATTAAAATTCAAGAATGTAGTGTTTACGTGTTATGTAAAAATCTTCTTCAGCTTTTCCCGCCTTTCTCGCCTATTTTCGAGAACAAGATTATGCACTTAAGTGTGATTTATACACTTACAATTTTGGATACAGCATAACCAGAAGTACTAAACCAATGAAGCGACAGCATAAAAATTTCTCTTTCTTCAAAACGTTCGTCATTATGGTTTATCATCGAAGCGAAGAAAACTTGCTACCTGCAAAGATTAGCAATTTTTGTCAACCTGCAGCAATCACCTTTGGCGTTAAACTGAATTGAACTATTCAAGAGATGATCAAGTAACAGACTGGATGTTCCATTATGGACTTATTTCTATAGTAGTCCGTCTCACTTGCAACTTTTTGTTGTACCTCTCAAGATATCGGAGATCCAAGTAGGATAATGAAAAAGCCAATCATGTTTCGCGAATTTTACTCACGTGGACATCGCTTTCGAAGTAGTTTCGTTCCACATGGAAAGAAAACCAACAACAGTGAGAACTGCACAGAAAGATTCCGTCCTCAAACTGAAACACTTCGAGTAACTCCGTTTATTTAGGCTAAAAAATAATTCCTGTCCGGCTAACAACCGCGTTATTCTAGCACTTTTATGGGTGTGATTACGCAGCAGAAGTTATAGCATGGACCAAAAGATAATTAAATTGACTCAAATATTGCAGCAACGATGCTGTTCGTTTGTGCCTCGTCGATGACTGGAGATAGCTCTTTAAGTACAAAAATGGTTTTGGTGTATAACTGATAATTTCTTATGACTTCTTAATAGATACCTCTTTTTAACCGAGTTCGTTGTCACGGTACCTTACCATTCGGACTGAGAACACCAACGTTGGTAACATATTGATTGAATATTTGGGTTCAGAGGGGAAGAACTCAGTTCAAACAAACTTTTAATACTGGCGAGGCGATACCGTGAAATACAGCCCGCTTAGTTTACCAATCATAACGCACCTACTAGCTGAGAGGTTGAAATAAATTCATTTTGGTTTTTGTGGTAACAAATGGCACATTACTATTTACATTCAATCTATGGGGATTGATCGGTAGAGATAACTTCCCCCAGAGGAAAAACACTGATAAGACCTCGAGATTTAAATGGATCTCGACTTTGCATTTTTAATTAGCAATTAATTTGCATCATTATTGCTGTCTTCAAGCTAATATCCGTTGAATGCTTATCAAGTATTTTTGTCAAATTAAAGGTGTCGGACGAACCATATGGATCATGAAATAATCTCAATTAAAGACTGTTGCCGACTTGAAGTTTGGAACTCACGACTATCAAAATAAACAATAAAACAGTCACATCGACATAGACATTTTAAATTCAGACTTGACTCTAAAATAAGGTAACATAAATCCTAATTATTAATTTACCTCTGAACAAATGCTTACTAACTGGCCGATCTCGACATAACTCTTCGTGTTTTCATAACTCTTCGTATTTGAGAAGTACCAATAATAAAAAAGGCTAATTACAGTTGCCATGTTATTATTTTGGTCTGGTCCACAAGGAAAGTTTTTTGCTGAATTTCGCTGGTGGTAGACGTTTCAAAAATAATTATGAATTATGAATAACGAATTTTGGAACTTCTTCAGACAGTTGTCGTTAACTTGAATTATTTCTGAAAATCACCATCAATAATTTATTTTGCTCCGATCTAGCTAGGTCGGTAGCATACACTTTTTTTCTTTGGAGGATATTCTCGAAGTCCGAGGCGCTTGCAATTTGAGACCTTAAAAATTGCAAAGTTCCAGTTTGCGAACTTCAAGTATTGATTTCTCAAAGTTTTCTTATGAAGAGTTCGAGGCTTTTCCTTAAAAATACATAGATATTGGAAGTTAATCATTGTGCTGAGTTGTGTATTGATGTGAATTGCTATCCATCACCATTGATATGATCAACGTTTCAAGCCGATAGAGCGAGAATTTTCTCGCATCAAATTTGTTGAGTCAGTATTAGCGTAGCACTACAAAAAACTATTTATCGACATTGAATCGCGGTAGAATTCGAGTAGCTGGGTCTACATAATTAGTTATCTGAATACCACAGGGGTCCTTTCTAACAAAACACATTGGAACTAACACGAAAGTACATAAATTATGCTTGAAAAAGCATGCATACACCACAGAGTTTCGACTATACCTTTTATAAAATATTTTCATCAAACGCTTCAACTCACCAGATATCCGAGTGCCTTCTACTCAAATGCTCTTACTTGATATTGTAAACATTTATTTATAGGAACGTAGCCAGTTATATTGAGTTGCGAAATTGTGAAAATTTATGCAATTAATGACACACAAGGAAAGCACATTTCTCGACATTCATTAAAAATACATTGGTTCCTATTTCAAGTTGCCAATTAAAACACAAATTGTATACCGCGTCGTTTTTCAGGCTGAATAAACGGTGTTAAGCTATTGAAGCTCTTACATTTATTTCGCGAGTAAATGCACGAAATAAGAAAGCCAAAAAATTGCTGTAAAAGTTGAAAATCTTATTCTGAAACTGGATATTCACTATTGATGTGGGATGTTTACGAAAGGTTTGGTTGACACTTGTAAGTGTTAAACTGTTAAGCACAAAACCACTAAAAGTGAATGGATTATGGTATATATCATTGGCTAAAAATAAAAAATGATCCATGAACATATAGTAAAGCATTGGAAGATATCTTAGGGCTCTTGTGACCAGTCTTTAATCATATTTCTGAGAATTTCTCATATTCAGTCTCAGTTTACCTTAGCACTCTAAGCCACATATATCGTGAAGCTTAAAATTATTTATGATTACTTAAAGCGATGTTATTGAGGAATTTGTACAATTGAATTGTGGCAAGTGTCTTGCATTTTCGGTTCTATTCTAAGGAAAAAAAGCGTTTGAAAATTTTGAGTATGCCCTTAGGGTAACCGAAGAATGTCATAATTCAAAATAACTTGTCCTAATTATAACAAAATAAAGAAATTGTTTTAGTTTGGACGTCAGTGCCAATGAGGATTTTTACATAAAAATTAATCATGAGTTCTCAAGTTTTGTTTTGTTCAGGATTGCTATTACAGTCGCAACGGAAATGGTAAGTTCTAAATACTTTTTCTCCAGTTTTCTTCCTCACGTACAAGTTAATTCTGATGCAGCTGCCTTGCCTCACTCAAGGATAGTCGAATGATATTAACATAATCTTCCTAGCCCTTTTTTTTGCATTTTTTTTGCTACATTTTGCTGTGATGTAAATTTGTTCATATGGTGCGAAATCGGATACATAAAAGCTTTTTTATTGCAATCTGTTTTAACTAAGAGCAAGATGCTTTTTTTCCCAGCAGTAACTAGAATATTACTTCCCAAAATCTGGGCCAATATGAAAATTAGTTAAAAAATTAATAGGCTGAAAGCATGGGAGGACAATTTGACAGCAAAGACATGTTGTGGTTGTGTTGATTTTAAAAGAGCTTTTCCACCCTCTCCAATCTTTTCTTCTTCACGAACAGAGTCGGAGAGTATTTTTCTCCCTTATTAATGTACTAAAGAAATAAAATGTTAAGCAAAGGATTCAAACTTTGTTACCTTATCGACTGCATTAGCAGTCTTCGATCCTTTTCCTTGCATATCTTGTTTAACAGGCCCATCACCCGCCACGGCCTTATCATAGCTTTGTTTGCTCTGTAAACTACTTCGAGGTCACGTATAGTCTTGCATTAGTTCTAAATTAAAGAACCCATCGAAATACGATAGGAAATATGTATATTGATTCAATGACTAATAAGCACTTTTCCTTCTGTCTATTTTTTTTATTACAATACTCGTTTAAGTGTTTTTCTTCCGCAAAGTTGTAGCCCACACATCAAAACGCAAGCTGACATATACGTTAGTTCGTGTGTATACGTAGTAATATTTAGGCCATTATATTGTTGTGACCTATCCAAGAGCTTTAAAAGAAACTATCAAGTTATTGATGATAATTGTACTGAGCGTGCAAGTAGCCAGCCTTTGAAAGAGTAAGAGAGGGAAAGATTGATCCATGAGGGAGACTGAAGCGAGCGCCAAGCTTAACCCCGTTGGAACCTACAGGCCTGCCCCCTCCCCCACCCCCTCTCTCCTCTCTTTACACATATTTGTAGTTCTGTTCAGATATTCAGCAGAATGAGAATTCCAATAGATTACGTATAGACTTTTTAGTCGTTTTTAGTTGGTTCTAATTTCTAAATTTAGAAAAAAAAAAACTGAAGAAGTTCACACAGAGGCTGAAAATACTTCTGAAAAAACAAAACAAAACAAAACAATCTGCCTTATCAGTTTACATGTGCGACTACTGCTTAACTACATGACCGTTGAAAAATGTCCAGTAAAACAGGTTGAATACAAGGAACACCAGTGGAAACAGAACGCGTGACACTCGGTCAATATTGCTGGCATTCTTCTCCATCCGTGTGATCTTGGTGCTCCTGTTGTGAGGGACTTCTGCTTCTGCGTCATCTACCAAGGCCTTGTCAGCTTTGCTCGGACGGTAACCCATTTCAAGGTCATTTTCAGATACTCCTTTGTAGTCATCGTTAGCGTTGTTGACATTTGCGCTCTTCGAACTAACGAAGCATTTCATTGATGATGCAATTCTTGTCGTGATAGGAATGGTGTGTTTCTGAAATAAGTATGACAAAAAGTGATTAATACCTTTAGGATAGTAGAGGATGGTGAGTAAGTTAAATGAGACGTACAGAGAAACTTTTATGGAAAACATCAAGCCTGGCCGGGAGAGTTTGGGTTGGAATGCTTGGGCGTTAGCTATCAACTTCTCCCCGTTAGAAAATGTTTGTTCAACAAATGGAGCGTTTGAAGTGGGGAAAGAAAATCATGGAAGAAATTGCTATGTTAAATGAGTTCCTGCCCACCCAATCGAAGGTCTAAGGTGAAAAAATGTGATTTGCCTCCGCGGCCCTATGCTCCATGGAGAACGAAGTGGATTAATTGAATCCACAAGAGTACACCAGTTAAGAAATAAGGATGGTAAAAGCACCTGAGAAACTCTTTCTTCTAGCAAGATCGTCATAACTAGACAGTAACAGAATAACGCCGCTAAGGTTTTACCTTGCATTTGATCTTCTCTTTTTTGTTAGCTTTCACTGCGAAAAGAAACACAACTGTGCTTTCGATCAAGGACAGGAAGACGAAGCTGAATGAAAACAACAGATACCAGTCCAAAGCCTTTGGATAGCTCACTTTAGGCAAGTTTCCATTCAAGGATCCAAGGAGAAACATGATGGTCAAGATGGTAGTGATTCCTAACGCCATTCTATTTCCTATGTCATCTTTTTCCATCCAGAAGACAATCCAGCTCAGTACCACAACAAAAATGTCCGGGAAGTACACTTGGATAAGGTAATAGCCGATGCGCCGCTCAAACGAGAACTTGGCGGTTATGGTGGAGAAATTACCTAGAATTGAAATAATGGACCAGTCATTATTTAACCATGTAAATTGTCAAACTAATAAGCATGTATCTTACACCTTTCGAGGCTAACCTGTGGAAAGCACAGTCACACCAGACTCCAGTGAGGAACCCATGTACTTAAACTGAGCCAATTCCTCGTGTACAACGGCGATGTTAGTTTTTCCCGGCATCCACTTGAATATGATGTCTTCCACCGTGTTACCATCTGAATAAAGACATAAAACATAGACAAGATTTAATTTTATTGCTTCTGCTTTTTCTCTTTTTGTGTTTTCTCTATAAAGTATGGTTTGTGTTCTGGAGGGGACCTCCGTATGTTTACATGACAGAACTATGAGAACAACTGATTTTGTGGGAAGTATAACTGGGTCCCTACAAGTCTCCTTTCCCCCTAAAAAATTTCTTCACAACTGTGTGTTGCATCAAATATATATGTAACCCCTGAAGTAATAAAGTGTTTTGGACATCAGCTTAGAAGTTGTACTTGTGAATCTTTTTCTGCATGAGAACCGATTGTCCATTGATTTCGTATTTTACTTCATCTATTGATTAATTTTGGCCCAACAATAACTCTTAGTCCCAAGGGTGATGTTATTGTCTACTCCATTAAATTCTTAACAAAGAACAGCATGCATAATTTGTAGAACACAGGATCACACGAAGTCTTGTCCTCGAAAATAGAACCTTCGAACACAATGATACAAAACCAGCTTCAAATTTTTTGCTATGAGGTAAAGTATAGTCTTAGTGGATTTAACACACGAAATTATTGCCCTTGCAATTGCAACTGAGAAAGATATTTTTTTCCTGTGTTTACGACGATAAATTCTTTACCTCCACGTGATGTGTTTTTAGATGTTATATGTCAGTAGAAGTGGTAAAATTTCCGCATAGTCCCATCCTATTGTAAAACAAATCTGTTTTCTCAATGGCAATGTATTGTTTTTGTCATTGTTTTCTCTATCCAAGAACTGAATGCATAATGTAGTATGGGGCTGTGCGGAAATTTTACCGTAGAAGTTATTTGCATAAAAGTGTTATTGCTGCGTACGTGATGGTCAGCATTTTTTTTCTCGCGTATTACAGGATATCTGAAAAGTCATTGATTACGTTGGACTTTCCGTTGGTAACAAGGTAAGCCACAATTTAAATATCATTCCTATCGAGGCACGGATTTGGCGGCTATGGCGTGACAAATGATAATTACAGTCACGCCAGGCGTGATGAACTTGCGCGTGATCACGTCACTTTTTCCTCCTCATTCTTCGCGCGGTCGTCGCATCATCTTTGATTTTTTGTTTGCTATCACGCCGTCTTGGGAACGCTCCCTATCTACTTAATGCCAAGCTATGTGCGATTTATCGCTTCTTAATCCTGTTCATGTCATGGTTTCGTAAGGAGAATATTATATTTTATATGTCGCTACTTACAACTTCCAAACTTGAGAAAGCACATCTGAGAATCTAATGGAAAATACTTTAAATCCATGGTGCAGGAGGCCAGCAAACTTACTCTAAGATAGATATAAACACTCAATCAGTTGCTGAGAATGAATTTGACTTTGATGTATTAAAGTTCACATGGCAAACGCTGCAACAAGATGTCCTCTTGTTAGATCACCCCTGATGAAGGCACTAGATAAGAGTGTCGAAACGTTGGGCCTATGAATTGTAACTTCTACGGTTACATTTATTAAATCTGTAAACCAGAGTAGCATCAAACCATGTCAAATTGGAATTTGCTAAAAGGATCTAATGATCCCTCATACAATTGATGTAATGTCAAAACAAACCTTTCATCATCCGTTCATAAGAGAAAAAAAAATTCATAAGCTCGTCTCGTTCTCACCCTCTACTATAGTATATCTCTCCATCAGGTTTAATTTTCAGATTGCTGTGCGTTTCCTCATCAGGGCTCATCATGTTTGACTCTCGTGCGTTGTAGCAGTAGGGATCTGGCACCCAAATGTTGGTTATTTGATCTCCTTTTAAGTTAAGGGTGCGGTTGACCTTTCCACTCAAGCGTGGATCTTTCCACGTTAGGTGAAAATAAGCGTACACTCTATACTCCTAGGAATAAAATAGATACCTTGTTTCAGAGGTTTTACTCTTCCGTAATATGATATCAGTTATCGATTGACTTTTGTTTGGGTCAAGTCAAAGTCATTATTTGTAATCAGGTGGAAGGGTGGGGGCAGAGGGAACGGAGAGTGGATTCGTTGTCGCCAACAGAGTATGTAGGTAGGACTATATAGAAATATAGAAAGTTGACTCCCAGTGAACCAACAATGAGGGTGAGGGGGGTGGGGGATGGAGTGGGGGCGTCGTCAGAATATCCGTACAGAGCCTTAAGGCGGGAGTTGGTCAGTTTCATCGTGTAACGTCTAAGTTGATTAAGGAAAAGCGAGTTTTCCAGAGAACTTATAATATTCACGAATAAAACAAGCTGAAAATAAAGCTTTTAACTGAAAAAAGGAAAATTAAAGCACTGCTAGATGGGTTCCACCTACTGAACCGGAACTAGTCGTCACCGTTTAATTGTGCAGCTTCTGAGGATAAATTAAGGAAAAATGCGTTTTTTCCGACATGATGTTTATTATACCCGCAGTGAATACACATCGATAAAAAATTGATACAAAAGTTATGACAGAATGAAAACAGAAGTGAATTTTCAGTTAGACCATCAACTTATTTACGTAATGTCTAATAATTAAAGATCATGTCGTTACAATACATACCATGTCAGCTTCTTCAATGTTTCCAAACGATTCGATAAGCAGACTGCAATTGACGACTGTGGGTGTTCCCTTTTCTTTAAAAAAAATTGCTGTTAAGTGCAATTACTGCTACTAACCACTAACAAAATCAACATAGAAAAAAAAATTGTTTGACCTTAAAACATTTCTTACCATAGTCGGGTCTCAACACTTTGTCATAGCCAGAAAAGACCGTGTTTATCACGTCTGAATCCCCTTGAGCTCTGTAAATATAACATATCCTTCATTCAGGGACCACTTTTTCAAAGGGCGGATAACGCTATCTAACGGATAACTCGCTATCCAGCGGATGAATCACTATCCAGCTGATAAATCATGGTAAAGCGTACGGTGCGATCCAACAGGTGGAGGTTTATCCAGTGGATAGCAACGGTTAAAAAAGCGCCTTGAAAAGAATTTGACAATGCTGATCCTTAAAAACAAACCATCTATTAACTGAAATAATTTCGTATTTTCAAAAGAACTCCAACTCTTAATTTTGTAGAAGCGATATCTTATCATTCCACTCTTACTTGCACGCCATTTTTCCAATATCAAGATAACATGCAGAAAGCGAAAAACATGCAACGGTATTACACTGTAAAACAGGGAAAAAATACGCGAGAACTGAAGCAAGTCAAAAAAAAGGACTCACTAATAGAAACAAACTTTGATTCGTTTACTTTCTTTAGGCCTTATTTTCTGAGCAATTCATTTTTACGTCAGAAACATATCGTGTTTTTTTATTTGTCGTAAAAGACTAAGCGACTCGCAAAATATCTGCGCGTATCAATATCAGATCATCGGATATGGTTTATATATTATGCTCAATAGGAAAAAAATTCTCGCGGAACAAGTGATAAAACAACTTATATTGTGCTATACTTACCGTCTCAGGCAGATAATGAACAGGACGCTGGCGAAGATACATGTCTTAAATGTCAACTTCCTTGATGAGAAAGGCCTCATTTTTCCTTGAAACTGTATGAACGAAAACAGATAAATAGAGATTGAGATGCTTATAAGTAGAAATACTTCCAAGGAAGTAACTAAACTAGTGCATGTATACCTGACACGGTTGGTTAATAGATTCAAAACGGCTTATTTTTTACCGTCAATGTGACCTCTCCATTAAGAATCTCTTAGTAAATTAGTAAAGATTCATGCATGAATGCAACCACAGGAAGAATTAGATTGGTAGACATCTAGGGGTCCTCCGCTTAATTGAAAATAATATTCCCTTTAGAAGCCACCGTCGAACAGCTGGATGCTTTAATCAAGGAATAATCTTCTTTTTTTTTAAATTATTTCCTTTTTTTATTTGTGTGGTATTGATTATGTTTTATCTTTTATGTAATTTTGATATAAGCTTTGAATTCTTAAAACTTTCGAAATATTAAACAACATCCCTCACAATAACATCAACCACGTGGCACATCTATAATTATAGTTATAATTATGTATAATTTTTGTAAGTTTGTGTTGTTGAATAAAACATTTGTCATAATGATCACTATAACTACGACAGGCTGTCGCTCGAACACAGAAAATTTTCACAAGAAATAATTTACTTAAGTGCGCAGGCTGTCTTTTTTTTATGTACAATATCACGATACCATTACTTAATTGCGATCATAACCATGAAATAATTGAGACATCCCACTTTGTTTTGGCGCCTGGTAAGTTTTGATTATTTCATTGTTACCGTTTTTTTTTTGTTTTTGTTTTTGTTCTTGTTCTTATTCAAGCTTCAAATCACCTAAAATTTTCTGATAATCGATTGTAACAGTATCTCTTCCACTATTACTCCAACCACATACCAAGCTCAGTGCAATGTCATAAGGTTGCTTGGCAATCGCCAATAAAACATTTGTCATATTTATCTTGCTAAATACCAATCGTAATTACTACGCCTGGCCGTCGCTTAGACGAAGCAAATCTTCGTAGAAACTAGTTTGCCTGAAGCGATCGGACTATTTCTGCAATGACAAGAAACCTTTTTGTCAATTGACACCATAACTGTGAACGATTTAAGACGGCTCGCTGTGGTTTTTTTTTTTTTTTTTTTTTGTTTTTGTTTTTGGTCTTAATTGTTCATGCACATCCTCAAATCTAATGCTGAATATTTCTCACAAAACTCTTAAATGTCTCCCAAGTTGGTCGAAATGTCTGATTTGTTATTATTCTTATCAGTTCTCCGTCTCCTGAAAAGACTTGATATCAATAATACATCCTCACATGTAATTGATAAATGCTTAATTTGTATATTTTACATGACCATGAATTTACATTCAAATAAATTTTTATCTTTTATGTCGTGTTTCTATGGATATCAGTAACCTTTTGTCAAAACGAAAAAGAAAAACCCTTTATATGTCATTGGTTTTATATTAATAGCCACAGACTAGCATTCGGTAGAAAGGAAAATAGACAAAAATTAACGAACAAATACAGAGACATCTGCATGTCGTGGCACGCTAGCATTTGAAAGAAAGTCTTAGTTTTAAATAGCAACATATTTCGAATGATATTTGAACCAACTTTCAGCTCCTGGAGACTGGATTCACCATCATAATTTCTCTCAACTGGCGCTTTTTGAGCTCTGTGTGAATGAACCAAAACTTAGAGTCCATATTGAATGTAATTTTTTTCTTCTTTTTATCGTGTACACCGTCAAATCTCAAGCTGCTACCGAGGTAAAAAAAAAACTCAACAGAGCAACAATTTCAAAAAATTACTCAGAAAAGCTTTTTACCGACTCCGCCTTTTGTACTTTGGTTGTCTCTTTATCAGCACTGCCGCATAACTGACGTTGAGATTTGCCAAGTAGTCACACAGTAGACGAATTAGACGGGTCAAACTGAGATATTCGATGGTAAACTCAGACATAAGTAATCCGATGATTTCGTGGGCGGCGGAGGTTACTGAACCGCATACAATTATCAGTAATTCCTTAAATGAGCGTATACAAATATGCTTTCTTACGCATGTAATATTAACACGACTTCCAGGCCTCAGGGTAAAATTAGTGATTAAACTCCCACACTGGTCTTTGACGTCTGTGCGGTGTGCCAAATTCAACCTTGCACTAACAAGAAGAGGAACTCAGAATTTTCTTGCAAACAGGAACACGACGATTCATTTAATGCTTACCATCATAAATGATAAATTGGTCACCTCGGGGTTGAAAAAATAGCCACTTACTGACCATTTTAGCTTTAGTTTGACTCAAATTCGAATAGAATACTGATAGCCTCACCCTTCTAGATCTGAAAACAGCGTTAAAATTATATCAGTTTGCGTGCTTTGCAATGAAAATGAAGGCGCTTACTTGAAATTTGAAGGCAATTGTACTACCCTTTCGGTAAGTCACACAGCAATTAAAAAGAAAAGAAGAAGAAAGCTTAAGACTTGAGCAATCGTTGATTTTGAAATGCGAATGCACAGCTTCAATAGGCCATTTTACAGTTATGTACTTAGTTACCAAGCCATTGATTTGGAGTGAGGCTGAGGTGACCCTGTTGTGATGGAGACCAGTATCTAGATAGCATGATAAAAAAGTAATTTGCATTTGAAAAGCAGCAAGGTTTGTATCATAACAAGGTCAACAGCCTCACTCCTGCTCAAAGGCTTGGCAAACTAGCACACAACTGTATCTGGCCTAATGTAGCTGTGCATTCGCATTTAAAAATCAACGATTGCTCATGTCTTTAGCTTTAGTGTTTTTTCTTTCTTTTTAGTTGCTGTGCGACTTACAGAAAGGGTAGTAAAATTGCCTTCAAATTTCATATAAGCAAGACTGCTCTTTACCTCTTCACGAAAGGTTAACCGCGCGCCTTCCTAACTTTAAGGGAAACTGGGGAGAGGAATATATTTCTACTCAGGGGGTAGTGGAAAAATTCCGTTATGGCGACTTAGTAATCAAGTGGGATAGCAAAGATCTAGAACGACACTTCCGCTCTGGCTCCTAATTTTGTCGACTTAATTGAGGTGGACAAAAGAAAAATTAAATTAACCATTTACGTTTCCTGTTTACAAAGATACAGTGCAAAGCGTTACGTTGTAACATAGCATGTCACTTTTGTAGTTTTTCAGTGTAAACTACTTCGTCTCCAAGCCTGATTATTTTATGTAGCTAAAGAAGTTCAACTCCGAATTTCATGTGAGAAAGGTTGGTTCAAGAGAGCTCAAAACATCTTTCTTATTCCATTTACTAACATTAAACTGTCGACATTGCTAGCGCTGAACCCCGTAGTATGCAGGACACGTGTCGTATATTAACTTAGCCTCTCTCACCATAGAGTCGATCTCTGTGTGGCTTAGTGGTAGAGCATCGGAGCCTGGATTCCAAAGTCTGGGGTTCGATTCCTCATGGGTACTAATTAATTTCACTTTTGTCCCACGCTCGTGACAAGACGAAAAAACATATTTTTCTATTTCTTTACCGGGATCAAAATTGACCATGTTTTTTATTCTAGTTGCAAATAAACCTATTTTTTGCGACACATAATGTATGATTCAGTTATTCGACATTGAACTTGTACAATTGAAAAAACAATAGTAACTTGTAATCACAGAAATTCTACCATGATTCTATTCTGCCAAAGGGGTTTCCTTCTACCTTCGTTCGGAAATCTCAGACAGATTCTTCAACTCGAGACAATCTTTCGCGAAGCTAAATCATCACGTAAAAATCCCTTTCTAATCAATAAAAAGTTGATGCTGGGTGCGGCGCAGAATTAGAGAAAACACATCTTTAAGACGCGTTTTTACAATTCAGCTGAAGCATGACATCCCAAGAGTCAAAAGTAGCAATGAAACGTCACAATAGGAGACTGATGTTATATGAAGCATAACGTTTGAACTGTAATGGTATTGACTTGAATTTGATATTTAGCAGGCTTAAGCGCGGTTCAAACGTCGAACTTTACGTGTGCCGAATCTAATAATTAGGTTAGCCGTATGTAAAACTCGACGTTTGAATCAATTTGGTTCGACAGATTTGTATTTGGGTCGATCTGCCGTTCTATTTGACCGGGCTTGTCGAATAGATCGGCAAAAGATCGACTTCATTTCACACGTCGAACCGTTTCATGAGCCGAATTTAGTGCATACATTACAAATACATTAAACAAATAAATTTTTAATTTTTCATGCGCACACAACTTGTTTGGCAACAAAATGACGAGAAGAGCGGCAAATATGTGTATATTGTCTCTTGCTTTGAGAGCACGAAATATACATGCCTAGGGTGCATGAACTACTTCTGTATGCCACCAGCCAATATTTCTTTTTAGCCGACGACAAGTACGAACTGGACGAGGAACGATGATGTTCATTTGGAAAAGGAGCAATAATAGAAGGGAAGCCAAGTACAACACTTGTCTTCTCCTGGCAGCGCGGTTATTTAATGCTTACTACATCTTGAGTCGCCTTCTTTTACCCTCCTTCATCGCACTTGCAAAAAAAATAGGTTCTTCATTTCCACAATTTTTCTGCCGCATTTTTTTTCCCGCCATTTTGGTAAGCAAACCGTCTGACCGCAATAAAGTCACGTTCACTTTCCACTTGAGTTCGACTTAATTAGGTTCGACGTTTGAGTCAACGCCGAACTAAATTATTAAGGTCGACCCAAAGTGGTATTAGATTCGGCACATGTCAAGTTCGACGTTTTAATTGGGCCTTATAGGGTACTGAGAGTTCCGAAATGATGCGAGACCGAACTTCTTAGCGACAAAATTATCTGACACGCGCGAGCGTGAAGTTATGAAATTTGGCGTCAAATCGGTGCAATAGTTTGATTCACATGATTGTATTTCTGCTCTCATCTTGTTATCACTGGAGTAAAATAAGTTAACTATTGAGGCGAAACGTAAACATGCTGTTGAGTAGAACCACTTCAAAGACGAAATCGAATGATCATTCCAAGTTGCGTTGGGTAATTTTGATTGCATAAAATGTATGTATCCAGATAACACATCGATCTGGTCTCTCATGGACTGATCGGTTTAGCGCTTTTTCACCTTTGATTAAGTTTCACTGATGACAACTAAAGCTAAACTTACCAGAGTTATCCTTGGGTCGAACGCTTGTCTTAGACCGATGAAATTTGCCGGATCAAGACAACTGCACTCGCTTCCAGCATGTTTGGCGTGCTTTAAATAAACTTATTTGCATCCTTTGTTTAATTAGTCTTCCCTGAACTCATCCGTGACGAGCGCGCACAATAGAAAATGATGCGGAAAGCTTTTGTACTGCCCCTATATATCACGTAAGTGCTCTTTACCGCTAAAAACTGCATAAATTACGAATTCATCATCAACTAATTAATGAGAGTAAGTTAATGTTTGTTAGACCAATTTAAAGACACTTAAAGTCTGCTCAGGGCAACGCTAGAGGCAACTTTTGTCGGTTTCCTATCTATCCCCAAAAAGCCAGCTTGTTAGTGTCATTAACACCATAAGACAAGATCTCATGGATGAATAAAGAAAACTTGAGGTAAACAGAAAAAAAATACAGAAAAAAATTAACATCAAGAGGCGAAGGTCACCCAAAAAGCTGTGTGTGCTTTTGAACAGCTGTAATCATAACTCCGGCGATTTGGCTTTGAAACAATTGGAAGTAACCAGGTCCACTTTTAGTTGCCTTGTAACAGGTATATTTCCATATTTTGATTCATGTGTTTCTATTAAAAATATCTCCTGTAAAACGCTATTACGATCTTACAATAACTTCCCATAAACTATTATAATTTTTTTACCTCTTCAGAGAAATACGACTTGTAGTAGACCTAATCATTATACAATGTACAAAACTCAAAAAACAATGCATTAGATTAATACAAAATTAAGTTTGATTATTCTTTGGGAAGCTGGTAAAAAGCCTTTTATATGATTTCCTCTTTCAATTCGTTTATTGGTAATTAAAAGGAGCGTCTGTTACCATGGTTAAGACTTCAGCATCTTGAGAATTTGGACCTAACTAAGGGGAGTCAGGAGCCCATGGGCTCCTGGGGGAGTTTGTCAATTTTCTCAACTACTTGGCATTTACTTGGCATTACACAAGGGGACATTGCACAGTCGCACACTGCTCACTTCTGAGAAGAAAAATGCCATAATGCATGCCTCTCTGAGATATTTTCTCTGAGACGCAGATCTTACAGATGATGTTAACAATCAAATATTGACAAAAACAGGCAGATTATCATAACTATTAAACTCGTTCTTGTCGACATTATTACTAAATTATAGTTATCACCGTTATCATTGAACATCGTAAGCAAAAAGCGGCATTCATACATCAATTTTGTGCCAGTTAGTAGTATGTCCAGTAGAAGATATTGTAGAGGATAAAAACTGATGGAAAAAGAACTCGCGATGCTCTATCGATCTTGCTCGCTATCATTTCCATTCTTTTGCTTTTGGTACTCCTCTCTCTTTGTATTGATGAATTATCGTCCACCACGATCTTACCAACTTTGGTTGCCCTGTGTACCATTTCCAGATCGTCACCAGAACCAATGTTTGAAACTCCTCCATTTGGAGAGTTAGTTGAAGAAGACTTTGAACCAATCACGGACCTCAGGGATGACGAGAATCTTTTCGTTAGAGGAATATCGTTCTTCTAGGAAATTGAAATATTTACTTGGATTAGGGATCATTCATTACTTATCGCCTGGGAGAGAGAGGAAAGGGAAGGTTTGGAGGAATCACATGCCTTTCAGGGAGGAGAGATTAGTCATCTCCAAAAGAGTAACTTAGGAAATTGACTGCCAAGGGGACTATCTAAAGAATAACACAGAGGCTTAAAGGAGGTCATGTAAATTTTATTGTGACAGAAATGTTATATTATAGTCTCCCCTTATACCCTGTTGGCAACGATTGATCACTGATCTCTCCTCCTTTCCCCCTGGAAACCATGTGATCCTTTCTCCAACCCCCTCCCCCTTTCCCGGGCCCGGCGCTAATTAACGATCGAACGCTTACCTTGTATTTAATCTGTGTCTCATCCTGTTTGGCTCTCGATGCAAAAAGAAACACGACCATGCATTCCATCAACGACAGGAACACAAAGCTAAATGACACTAATAGATACCAGTCCAAAGCCTTGGGGTAGCTGACTCTGGGCAAGTTCCCGTTAAGAGAACCAAGAAGAAACATGATGGTTAATATAGTGGTGATTCCCAAGGCCATTCTGTTTCCCATATCATCTTTTTCCATCCAAAAGACAATCCAGCTTAGCGTCACGACAAAAATGTCTGGAAAGTAGACTTGGATGAGGAAATAACCAATGCGCCGCTTAAATGAAAACGTGACTGTCAAAGTTGAGAAATTTCCTGTAAATGACGCAGAAAATTAGGGTCATGAAACATAAAGAGACTAATGAGAGACCAATGAGGATATATCAAAAACGAAAGCGAACAGAAGTCTATTTGCGCATGCTTGACATTTGACCTCCGTGTTGTCAAAAAAAATGCTACCTTGCATTGTTCTCGACTGACCTGTGTCAAACACGTCTGTTCCCGATGTCAGTTCAGAGCCTTTGTAATCAAATTGCGCCATTTCTTTGTTTCCTACATCAATCTCTGTTTCGTCAGCGATCCACTCAAAGACGATGTCCTCAGTAGTGTACCCATCTTCACGTTTCATAGTAGAGGACAAACATAAAAAAGCTAGATAAAGATTCTGTGATAATGAATAATAAACGGAATTGCCCAGGACATCTGGGTTGAGGTTTGATTTATATGACATTCATGAGGACTTGAATTGCAATGAAAAATTGGATCAATGTCAGTATATAAGCAGCTACTCACCTACCCGTCCCAAAACCCAACAATAGTCAACTGATAACAAATTATGGTTAATTTTGTGTTAGAGAAGGGGTAGGTACGCAGTTGTTCAGATGTTGACATTGATATGATAAACTTGTTATTTAACGTCACTTACAACTTCCAAACTTCAAGGTACATCTCTGGGAATCCATTGGGAAATTCCGAAGGTCCATAACACACGAGGCGAGAAGAGTAACCCTGGATTATGTAATAATTTTGACGCAAATAAGGACTCGTAAAAGTTGGTTAAGAGAGGATATGCGCGGTAAAAACGCAATTAAACAAGCGAAACAGACAATCTGCCGTGCATTCATATTTCCCTGCCTCTGGCCATGTGAAAGCATTTATCACTAATCAATGTAAAACGTAAAACTTTAAATTGAAGCAATTCATTCAAGACTGAAATTGCGCACGTTCTTGTCGAAAAAATTATTTCGCTCAATTAAAACTTAGTTTTAATCTAGTAGATGCATGAGGCTTAAAACTAGCTTGATTGGATGTGTTTTTCGGTGGTCGTGAGGGTGCATAGTATAGATTGAAAAACTATTGGTTCTTTGTTTTCTTAATTACTAAGAAAGAATAAGCAAATATGACTGGTTCATAAAGAGTTCCATTTGCTTCCTGTCAAATTTGAGCAGTTTTCTATGAATGGGTCTGATGCTATGGCCATTTATCATCCTGAATTACTTGTAGTCCTCCCAGTTTCATTTTAGTGTCAATTAATTACCCTCTGCTGTAAATTATTTCTCCGTTTGGTTTAATTTTAAGATTGCTGTGTGTCTCTTCGTCAGGCATCATCATGTTCGACTCGCGTGCATTGTAACAGTAGGGATCTGGGACCCAGATATTTTCGATATCACCTCCTTTTATGGTAAGGGTGTAGTTAAGCTTTCCAGCGAGGCGGAAGTCCGTCCAACGCTGCCGAAAATAGGTGTACACCTTGTATTCCTATCGAATGAAAAGCAAAGCCTTCCTTAGTCTGCACCTGAAGTCTGCTATAGTCAAATTTCTGAGTTAAACTTGTATTTTTTTGAAGCGAAATTGCCCCCCCCTGAAGTGCGTTTATATCTTATCATTTACATCGCAGAGATAAAAAAATGAAACAGAGATAAAAAAAAAAAGTGAAACTGCTGGCTTTATAAACCGGCTTGGGTATCCAGTTGCGAACAATTTTCGTGCATTGTCACACAAGCCAGGATTTTAAAAGAGTAAATAATACTTCAGATTTCGATCGCATCCTCAATTCTTAACGTTGTTTATTAGATGGTTTTGATTCTGATTTCTTGTTACAAGCCCTGAGGAAACCACTAATGAAATATTCATTTCAATTTGGCTTGAAGCGCAATAACAATTTATTCCACTTTTTGCCAAGGAGATTGTCATCATCTATCAAGTATCTGATCTTTACTTCTTTAAACATACCATGTTAGCCTCCTCAATGTTTCCAAAAGATTCCACATACAAGTTACAATAGACGATCGTGGGCTTCTGTTCCTCTAAAGAAACAAAAATACACAAGTTCTCTAGGTCAAAAAATTTGCAATCGCCCCCATGTCTAATGCTAAGCCGAACCCTGAGCACTACGATTTGCGTCAGATTATTTCTTGGACCTGTGTGAATGGTTTGCCTCTCTTTATTGCGAGTGTGGGTATGCGGGTATGCGGGTATGCGGGTATGCGGGTATGCGGGTATGCGGGTATGCGGGTATGCGGGTATGCGGGTATGCGGGTATGCGGGTATGCGGGTATGCGGGTATGCGGGTTTCGGAAACGGAAACCGCAAAAGGTAGACTCTGTCTTGATCTTCTCTCACTTATATAAAAATTCTTGGAAGTGCTTAACCTTTCTAATGATCTTATGACCTATAAAGTTTTTCTTTTTGGATTTACAGCCAACGAAATTTTCTGAACAGTTTAACGGAACAGTTTCAGTCCAAAATAAAGAACGACATTTTTGCGACTAAAGGATAGTGCACTGACTTCTCCTTGTCCCCCCCCCCCCCCGCCTTTTTTTTTTGTTCCTCTATGTTTCCCTCACACCCCCCTCCTCAAAAAATCCCGTCGATTGCTGATTGCTAGTTACTCTTTACTTACCAAAGTTGGGTCTTATTGCCTTATCGTAGCCAGAGAAAAATGTCGAAATAACATCACCATTTGCTCTGTAAGGAAGGAAAAAGACGCAATCATATGTCGGATATTTGAAGTGCCTTAATAGATGTCTAATAGTTGAATCATTAGTTGATTGACGACGGCGATAACAAAAGTGTCCTGAAAAGAGTCAAGAATGCAAAGTAAAGGAATACTTACAATCGCAATAGCAGGAAAATGGAAAAGATAATCTTGAAAACAGTTTTAATAGAAAATTGCGTCATCCTTTTTTCCTAGAAAAAAAAAAAAAAAAAAGAAAAGAAAGCAAACAAAGCAAGCTTGTTTGGTCGTGATAAGGAGGCTGACAATTCCTTATCATAAATTCAGAATTGCGCGAGTTTCGCGACACCGACGAGATGGCTCTGTTATGTCGTTACCCACCATTTAGAGTCAAAAGGTTTCAGTTTAACTGTTCAGTTGATAGATTTGTGAATGTTAAGTATAACGATGCGATTCGAAATTCTGTTTCATGATAATTATTACGATGAGCAATTTATGCGTATTGTAGAGCTTAGGATACCACAAATTGACATTGCATAATAAGAGTTTAACATAGCCGCCAACAACGAAAAGGAAGCGACGCAATGATATTGCTTCGCTTCCTTTTCCTTCGCTTTCTATTCGGCGTGTCATTGAAAGGGCTCGATATGTAGGGAGGTGTGTAGCGTGAAGTCGTATTTAGTGAGACGAATGCGTGTTTCTACATGCAAATTGACGATACAGAAGACAAACGGTAATTACGTTAGAAAGCTACCACAAACAGATCTCGAGTTTTTTGTATCATTTTGTCATTTTATGAAACTTGCTATGAGTCAGTTGAAATCTCTACACAATGATTCGTTTTGTTCTCTCAAAGAGAAATCAAGAGTTCACGTTCCCTTGATGAAAGAGGTTTTATGAAATGCCTACGTAACTATCACAACCGTTGTGCTGCCCACTTAATGAGCGCGTACGAATGAAGAGCTAACTTTTGAAAAAGTTCCTTAGCTTCCTTAAAATGAAAGAAAGCTGTAGAAGAAGAATACTTACCAGAATTTCTTAAGCTTATGTAAATCTACTTCTCTTTGAAATCGATTGCCACACAACTTCCACGAGCACATTTAATTTAAGTAAACATCATTCCGTTGCATTTGTTCGACTGGTAGTTTGCATTTTGATGTAATTTGCATTTTCAATCACGCATTATTCCTCCTTTTTATAAACAATAACATCCATTTGATACCTACTTGCACTGTGGGGCCTGCTTTTATCTTTGCTTAGCAGACCGTTGACTTAAACAGACGCATAAATCGCTTCACGCTGAGAATTATAATGCGCAGATAAATAAAGCTACAAAGAATAATAAAGCAGATGATATCAATGATGAACAAGGAGAAAAAGAGAAAAAATTATTGGTTTCACAACTGATGCGACGAATATTCAAGGATGAGTTTCTAAAGAAATCGTGGTGTAAAAAGATAATTTGGTTTTATCAAATGAGTTGACTAATGTTAATTGGCCACCGTAAAGAGAGAAACTCTTTACGGTGACCAATTTACATTATAAACTCAGTTGATAGAACCAAAGTAGCCATAAATAGTGATCAAATGAGTTTACAGTGATGGATTTGATGATGTGAATTAGAATTTCATAACTGGCAGACTGAAAAAAATTCTTAACGCCATGTGAAGCTTTCGCAAATTCTTCATTATGATCTCTGATCTCCTGTTGATATCAAAATGGCCTTAAATGGAAAGCAGGAAGTACTGCAAAGACTCATGATAAAATTGAAAGCAAAAGAAAAGCAGTAAAGATATACTTTTTTAGTATTTGAAGCTCGGGCACGTAATTCAGTTAACGTTCTCTCTGTCTGTTTTGTTCCTAGCCAGAAACTCTGCTCACAAGCTCGAGAAGGAGAGGATTATCAGCGTATTTCAGGGAATATTTTATCTTCAAGAATTCTTGAGTTGACAGTTTTTAATAGATTTGAAACATCGTGCAATACGTAAGCATTTGTTAATCATTTTATTTTCCTTAATTCTTTTTCGAAACGTTTAGTTGTGGATGTCATTGTAAAATTGTCTTCCACCTTATTTATATGTCTTTATGGGCAAGTTTGTTTATTGCATGTAAGTACTTGTGATTTATGGTCGACTTGATGCTACCTGTCTTCCTTTTTTAGCAACGCGTTTATCAGTAGAGTTTCTCTTCTAGCGCCTGAAACTTACTTCAAAGCATTCTTAACAAAAAAAATCTTTGAATAAAATATTTCACTTAGAACCTAAATGCTTCGGCACGTGTGCTTGTCACATTGATTTCAATCTGCATGCTTCTCAGCCAGGTAAAGGAATCCGAAATTAATCATTGATGCGGCAGTTTAAACAAAATCAACATATTTCACATTTTATGCATGAACCGTCTGCTTATTCGTTGATATGGCTGGTTTCGTTTCACTTTTTTTCCTGTGATGCTTACTCAAGTTTCTTTCCAGGAAGGGCGTATACAGCCCAGTAAACGATATTATAAATTACAAAAAACACTGGAAACAAAAATCGAGAAGCCCGATCAACGCGATCAGCGGCTGTTGTCTCGCAACTGCTGTCAATCTTATATCTGGGCAGCCTATCATCTTTAATCATTCCGTCCTTCTTTTCTGAAGAACACAGCATGTGAGCTTCGCCATTGATATTCACTTTTTTGTTTCTGTTAACACAATTTTCAAGCGGAGGCAGCCTCAGCTCACTGATATCCAATGTTGATAAAGGAATTGAACTCAACTGCAAAATAAAAAAAAAAGCAAGGAAGCCTTTTGAGTTACTGAGAAAAGTTTTCAAACCCTAAAAACAGTTTTGATATCAATGAATGGAAGAGGTGAACATTTTTCTCTTGGTTCACATTAGGGAGTAGTTATTATTTTGTCCTGGAGGGGGGGACATCCCCTCCCATTTATACTCTGTTGGCGAAGACTGATCCCACCTGTGTTCTCCCTGAAAACTATGCGATTCTACAAAGAAAAACCCTCTACCCCATTCCTTCCCAATTAAGCAATGAATAACGGCTGCTCCTAAACCAAAAGACCTCCATGTATCCTTCAATCTATAAACCCTTTCAACTAATTTGTAGAATCACCTTACATGAACTTTTGCTTGACGCAAAAATATTTTTCGTTCTGCTTTCAGCACGTCACACCTTAACGCAACCACAAATAGCACCGCGTCAAAACAAGTGCTCATGATCAATTGGCAGGACGGTTACCTTATATTTTGATTTATCCTTGTCATTGCCAGACCTCAAGGTAAGTATAAACACGACCATACATTCAATTAGCGACAGAAACACAAACGTGAAGGAAACCAGCAAATACCAGTCCAAAGCTTTTGGGTAACTGACTCGAGGCATGGTCGCATTAAGAGAACCAAGAAGAAACATGATGGTTAATATGGTTGTGATTCCTAAAGCCATTCTGTCCCCCATTTCTTTCTTGTCCATCCAAAAAACAATCCAGCTCAGAGCCACAACCAAAACGTCGGGAAGATACACTTGAATTATGTAGTAACCAACTCGTCGCTCAAATGTAAACTTGACTGTGACCGTCGAAAAATTCCCTGTTTAACATATACATCATATAGTTTGAAGCGTGAGTCCATTACAATTATTTCATATTTAATATTTATTTATATTTATTTTCGATCCGACGAAGGGCTAACGGTCGAAATTTCAGCTCTAGAAACCCTTTACGATGATCAATTTGCATTATAAACTCAGTTGATAAAACCAAATTGTATTTTATATAGTATTATATAGTACAACGCGATAACGGCAATTCTAGTCCCTTTTTTCACGTAGCTCATATACATATATATTTTTTCATTTCTTGCGCTTTTCGAGTTTTCTCGCGGCAACAACTTTGCTACCTAGGATAAACCATTTCTTTATCCCAGATTTATTAAAACAGGGAGGATCTAAAAAAGAGTGCAATTAAAAGGGTGAAATAAGTTTGGACTTAGCTTGGAAATTCGCACGATTTAATTTTTAGCGGACTGTTTTCGATCTGCTATAAGACGCTTACGAAAATCTAAGAAAATGCAAAAGAAAACGCCGCAAAAATTAACTTCTCCAGGTCAAAATTTAACTTTCAAAAATAGAACTGATTTGTCTACCGATTCTTTATAAACCAACAAATACTTGACGATACGTTACTTTCCAGGTTAATAATTCTGCTGTCAGAACAGAAATTCGCAAACGTTTCTTCCCGCTATTCCCCCACCAAAAAAAAAAAAAAATCACCCATTCGTGAAATTACAAAGGAAAGTCTTTTTCATACTTCGCAATATATGTGATATTCAGTTTTTCTGACTCGATCATCTCTTTTCTGTATCGATCAACTGACGCAGTATTTATTAATTGATGAAAAAGGAAGCAATTTTTTGGTAACAAAGATGTCGCTACGCTAATAGAATTGAAAAATCCAGCGTTTGAAATGATTCTTACCAACGCTATACTCGTCTATGCCCGAGGAAAGTTTGTTGCCTATGTACTCAAACTGGGCCATTTCGTTATTTCCAACAGAAACACCTGCAGGTCCCCATTCAAAATGAATATGATCTGTGCTGTATCCATCTGCAGGACAAAATACATGCAGAGTATTCCACTATTAGCCGTTAAACTCTTAGAATTGACCGACCTACAACTTCTCCTCATAGCTTTAAAACATTTTAAACGAAACAAGTGATGAGCATTCTTTACGTTCACAGCCGAAAGTTTAAGATTTACTCACAGCTTCCGAATTTCAGACAGCAACTTTGGGAGTCCAGAGGAAAATTCCGCAGATTCATGTCGCAAGAGGCTAATAGCGTCACTCTGAATAAAAAAATATAAGTGAAAAGAATCAACTTAGGGTGCTGTAAACATGACCCTAATGACTAAGTAACTGTCTGACTGACTGACTTTGCCACTGACAGACTGGCTGACCTAAAGAACTGAATTACTGACTGACTGGCTGGCTGGCAAAGTGACTAACTGAATGAGCGACTAACTTACTGTGTGACTGACTAACTGGCTGATTGGCTAACGACTGACTGACTGAACGACTGACTAACTGACTGGCTGACCGACTGACTGGCGAGCGGGCTAAGTGACTGTATGACTGAGCTACTGACCTAATGACTGGCCGTTTGATCGACTCAGAGACTGAACATTTAACAAATGATTGACCAGCGGATCGACAAAACTACATGGCTGATGCTTACCGACTCACTCACTCACTTGCTCTCTCACCATCTAGCTTACTGACTTATCAGTCTTGCTGCCTATTTGAGAGAAGTAAAATATTGTCTTACTTTTACTTACCCTTTGCTATACAACACGTCACCGTTGGGTTCAACAGATATCCTGCTATGCAGCTGCGTATCTAACATCATCATATTTGACTCGCGGGCGTTGTAACAATAGGGATCTGGTACCCAAATTCTGTCAATGTCAGCTCCGTTTATGGTTAGGGTGTAATTAAGCCTTCCAGCTAGGCGTGAGTCTTTCCATCTTTGGCGAAAATAGCCGTATATCAAATATTCCTGTTCGTGAAAAGAAATCATGAAAACTGCGATAAAAAAAGAAACAGTTTATCAAGGTATCAAATTTCTTTCTAAGGGACCGGTCATTCTTTATCGGGAGAGTGGAGGGAGGGGGATCGGAGTATTTTCGTTGTACCACAATAAAATTTACCTAACCCCCCTCCCCTTCCCCTAAGGCTCTGTAGTATTCAAATGATCCCCCTCATTGGCAGTCAATTTTCTTTAGTCACTCCTTTTAATTCTGCTAGAGTTTAACGTCCACTCCCTCCCTGAAAACCATATTATCCTCTCAAATCCTGCGGAGTTCTTCTGTATTATCAACCAATTTTGGTCTACGTAGTCTCTGATTTAACCCTTTAATCCCCAAGATCTGATGAGTAATTCTCCCGTCTAGCTGCTGGACATATCTTAAATTAGGTGTGAGAATTTGGTGTTAGATCAACTTCGACCTGAGTTTGAATATTCTCATTAGCTATTTGCTAGATAATCTAAGTTTCATGTTGATCACTTCTGAGACTTAAAGGGTCAACTACAATGACCGACTTGTTTTGTTTACTTACCATGTTGGCCTCTTTGATGTTTCCAAAAGCTTCCACATACAAGTCAACCGAGACAGTTAAAGGTGTCCCTTTATCTGAAAGCATTTTATGAATAGTTAACAACGGAATCGAATCCAGTCGTGAGAGATCACATCAAGAACGATTGTAGATGACAGTACAGTTAAATAGTGAAATAGTTCTTAATGCACGCAACCTCCCCTCCCCCCCCCCCCTTTTCGCCCCCCTTACCCAATGATATTACCGATTTGAGATCAATAAGGTTTTGAACTAGCACTTCAAGGTACGCCGGAATTAATCGTGATCTTAAGGAAAAAAGTTAAAACGAATCTAATTAATATGTAAGAACACATGCGAACATTTCTTTATTTTTTTTAGAACCTTATCACCATTTCGCAATCCGGACGAGCACATCCTCTCTTGTGATGTTTTTATTAAGAGATTGTAAAGTTGATTGTAAGCAGAGTCTTTGAAATTTAATTCTGTCTGATATTTTTTTTAGCAGAACAAGCTGAAAAAAACTTTCAAAAATGTAATGACCCTTTGCCTGAGCAGAAAGGACACGTTAGCTTAATATGCGCGTTACACCTTTAGCTTTGTCATCGCTGGACATTTTGAATTTTTAAGGATTGATGTCTGAACCCTGTGTCAAGGAGTCCCTACAGAATTATTGCTCTTCAGTCTGTCATCTTACTGTTTGATATTAGAAAGAAAAAATGTCCATGAATAGCATCTTACCGAAGTTTGGTCTGATTGCTTTGTCGTACCCGGTAAAAAACTTGGTCAGCAGATCACTTCCACAAAAGACCCTGTAAAAGTTGATTATGTATAGTAATAATGATAATATTAGAGATAATGTTAATGATAATAATATTGATAAGAACTATAATAGAAATAATGGTGTCGAGATACAAGGACGTGTAATAGATTAGTGTATATTATTCTATTAAGCTATCTTACTGTCGGAAAATGACTGTTCCGCGGAGTTGAAATGGGGGCGGCTGAAAATGCTTTTTAACTTCTTTCCTTAGCCACCATAGCGTCAATTTCTAAAACCCGCCTTGAAAATTTAAACTTGCGAGCGTCTTTCGCTGTAAAAATTCTCTTTGTGTATAAATATTGTATACTCCCGCAATGCGGTTTACGCCAGACTGATTAGTCCTCATCTAATAATAATTGTCGCATGCGAAAACAAAATTTGTCCAATATATCTCCGTAACCATGAGGAATCATCGCTTACCTTCCAGAGTTTGTGAGAAGAAGAATCAACAGCGCCCTTGTACTTGAGTAACGACTCTTCGTGTGGAATGCTTTCATCATTGCTAAATACAAAACTGAGAAAGGTCAGTTATAATGACATTAACGTATTGATTAGACTTTAGTCCTCAAGCATAAGTATGCAAATACGTGATTTGTGTTTTTTTTCTTTTGTTAGACTCAAGCTATCCAGAAGTTTGCTTGACTGTTGGATTGATGTTTTTTCCTTTCAAATTTGTTGGTATTCGACATAATTGCGTCCGCCTTGCTGATATCAGCTCTTAGGGAATGCGTAGCTTCCCTGACAAACAACATGTTTATCCAAAATACCGCAAATGAGAACAAATAAATTCGAAACATTTGAAGAAGTCACACTTTTTTTGTACCATCAACTATACTCGACTATATATGACCAGGGCCGGAGAAAACTTGGATCAAAACAACGTCAGTAATTTGTGCAAGGATCTTCTTTAGTTTCTTCCGAGATCTTGATGTTGACGTATATTTCAGATCCTTCCTCGCTACCCATATTCCACTCCAATTCCAGTCCAGAACTTTGTACGAAAATAATCTACTATTGTGCTATGAAATCACGAAAAAAGACGACACAAGAACTCGCTGACAACGCTTCTTTTAATTAAAGGAAAGCATGATAACATTGTTCAGAACTGTGCGTTATTTGTCTTCTTTTAACTGTTACGTACCTTTGCCTTTGTATTCGACGTTAGCTTACAGTCGACAAAAGAAAGGAAAGAATACTTGTATTTGTCAGAGTGGAATAGGAGATTCCTAGAACTTTTCAGTTATAGAGAGTCAAAATCATTTAATAACTTACGTTTTCAACAGCAGAATCTTTGTAAACACCTCACATGAAACAAGGTCTGAATTGGATAGATAATCAGATCTTATCTGTTTTTTTTATTTCCATGAAAATAACAAAAACCCCAGACACAAGAAGCTGACCATTGTTTCATTTCACGCAGCAAGGAAATAGGCATAAATGTTTGGAATTTTATTAATCGTAATTTGGTGATGGATGGAGTTGCACTTGACGTTTCGAATCCTTTGTTGTTACGTAACAAACGAAAATAACAGTCGAACTGATGAAGAAAATTAGAGTTTTAAATTGGTGATGTATAATTCTACGGAGACTGTGATCTAAAGCTCCCTCGATTCAGCACAATTTTTTAGCTCAGGCGTACGGTTTTTGCATTTTTTTTTCACCCAAAAATACTATTGAATATTTCATTTAGAATAATGAACCCGAAATTATTTCATCATTTTTCGATCGAATTAGACAAAAATAAAACGTTTTTCGAGTATCTGGGGTATTCTGTCGTTTCAGTGTTCATGAATTTAAATAAAAAATCCCACGTCTTTCTTTAGGTGTAAAAATTAAACAAAAACAAACGTGATAAATGCATGATTCTTTTCTGACTTTTAATTAAATTTCCTAAGAAAAAGATTAAATTTTTAGCCGTATAGCAACACGAGCAAACAAAGATTTATGCATCTATAATCGTCATTTTTTGAGAATAAATGCTCTTAGCTAATTAGGGAAGAAATTTAAAAAATTCTTTCCGATTGCATACATGTAAAACATGGCTGTACAAAGTAATTTAATAAAACGGATCATTTTTTAAAAGATAAAAGCGGTAAAGCTGGAAAACTTAAGCTTTCATTTGAAAATTCTTTATAAATTCTAGCCGATACAAGTTGACTACGGAGAAAATTTTAATTTGTGCCAGTTGTAGATCGACCAAAAAATTAAAAGCAAAACAAACTAGAACGCGCATATTAAAAAAAAAAAAAAAAAAAAAAGGATGCTTCGGTTACCAAAACTTCTGTATATTAATTTATTTTGAAAGCAGTCTTACACTTTCCTTTGCCGATTTCAGCATTTCAAAGTTCGCTTAGATCAATCAGAGCTCTCGACAACTGAGTTGATGCTGGAAAAGGAGTATAAGGAGCATATACAGAGTGAGATCTGACAAGTCTTTATCTCGGAGAATATCTCATTCGAGTTATATCTAAAGCAAATTGGGTCCTACTGAAAATACTAACTGACCATTAATTCGGAAGAACATATCAGTTTACAAGCAAGAGCAGCAAGACTTCTTCCTGTTTTTAAATGATAAACCAGATCACTGCAATTCTAGAAAATATTTTCCCAAAGTTATTACATAAGAACTCTGGGCGAAATGGAATTCCTTTAAAGGAAAATGGTGACAGCTGCTCACGAAATTTACCCCCATACGATTCTAAATTATACACAAAGCCTTTCCAGATGAACTCATTACATTTAGAAATCTCTCATTCCGAAAGTTGAACAGGTTTTGGAGGACAAAACACTGACTGTGAGTCTCATTCGTTACCTACCAATCTATATCTCGAGTTCACGGCTTCCCAACCACTCGATCTGATCAGTTAAAGGCGTCAAATCTTTCAGTTGCATGTGCGTGATTATTTGGGACAATATTAGCATCCCCGGTTTTAATTTTCTCTGAAGGCACTGTTTAAAATTCCAGGTCTGGTTTTAGCTGTATTATCTTGTCAATCCAGCGGTTGGCGTTGAATTTCCTTGCGGTGCGCAAAGTAACCCTGCATTAATCCGACACGAAACACCTTCAAAATCACTTCGAGTAGTTAAGCATCTTTAAAAAGGTTTTAATCCTCTTATGTAAACATGTACTGACACTACAAATTGCTTCAGGGACATTTTTTCTTTAAATACTAACATAAACAACGGATTCTATTATTACGTTTGACTTTTTGCTGCTGCTGACAAGTGAAGGTCAGGTGTTAAAAAAATGTAGTTAACAAACGAAAGATTATTTCATTTTGCCTTTGCAGACGTGAGAAAATGTTGAAGATATAAGTTTAAAAGCTCCGAACTCTGACTATGTTTATTATTTATTAATTTTAAGTAAGGATTAGATTTTCATTTTTCGCCAAAATAAATTCCCAAATTACGTCATCTGATTTTATACATATTTTCACCTAGATTGAAAATAAATGTCCAATTTCCTGTCAATTTAATACCCGAAGACACCGCATTGCACTCAAGTCGAGGATGTGGTGTCTGTCTGAAATCTGACGGCAAAACGTAATTGCGCTGACAAAATAATTACGAAAAACTTTGCTGTATTTGCCGCGGTTGTAGTTGAGTTTTATGGTGCGTCCTAATGAATCACGTAAGGCGCAATTTTGCATTTAGTTCTAGTTTGGATGTGCGTCATTTATCATGGTTAAATAGTTTACTTTGAAGAAACACTCATGTGTCATGCTTTCAAATTTGGTTTCTAAATTTGAAACAGACTTTGCTCACCACAAACCACAGTTATCACTACTCCTTTCTGTTTTTTTAGGTGAGGAAAAAAAGGCATATGTTTTTAGCCTTTGGTGAGGTTTTATCGTTTAACTTTGATCAAGACTAGTCAAAGCACTGAAAGACAACATCGACATACGTGAATGCTCAGTTTATCGTCGGTCCATGGCGTTTAGAGTTGAAATGATTTCAGGTTGCTGCTCGAGGCGTTTAGGATAAACAATGAAGCTGAAAAGTAGACATATAATATAAATCCATTATCCAAATAGATAATGATCATGTCAGGTTTAGAATTCAATCAATTTTATATTGTGATCAGGGCATATAAGCAGACAGCTACACGCAAGCTCAAACGTACTTTAACCTTTCAGCTCCAAGTGATTAACATGTAACTTCTACCTATAATATCCATACATAATCCCGCAAACAGGCAATGAAAATACTCAAACGTATAAGGTAGAAGTTGTTATCTTGATCTAACACAAAATATTCGTTATTAGTTTACAAGAAAATGTGTGGCAATTACAGGGGACAGTTAACAGACAATCATATCTTGGAAGTTTAGGGGGTTGACTAACTGAACATGAAAAAGTGGAAAGAGACATAAAATGCAAAAAACTTCAATGTGAATGCTAGAGGAGTAGAAGAGAGTCTGAAGAATGCAGAAGTAAAGAAAAACCTGTTTATCAAATAAATTTTGATCACAAGTCCAAAATATTTATAAGAAAAGGTTTAATCATGTTTATTGCTCAATGCTAGCAGTCACCCTGTCTAAAGTGGTCGGTTGCCGAAAACCAGAAATGGTTTACCCTGAATCACTGTAATTTGTACCTCTGTTAAACGGTTACATCTATTGCGCAGTCGCGGTGTCCCTTTAGAAAGTCTGAAGAGGGCCTTTTTGTATTGTCTTCCTCTTGTATTGAATGGTCACTATTTTTGAGAAAGATTCTGTACATTTATGGTTCTATTATGGCATAAAATGGCGCCCTGTACCGCTTTTTGTAATACCCCTTTTCTGTAGAGCCAGTGTCAAGCGCCATTCCCCGTGAGTGACCACTTAACGCAGGTTAGACTGTAATAATCGCATAATAATTGAGGAATCTTGAGCTTCTTCTTTAATGCAACAGCGCAGTCAATATTTCCTATTTGAAGAGACATTATCCCGAAAAGAAAAGCCAATTATCTGGGGTGAACAAGAGTGACTCTGATTCACCCCTTAATAATTAGGCTTTTCGTGCATCAGGTGCGTTCAAAATGTTTATGATTTTGTAATTAAGTAGAAAGTGTGGTGAAGAAATGTAATTAGATCAAGGTGGGCGATTGCTTTCTACGTGCTTTTTATTGTGGGTTATCTCGTAGTCTCCATAAACATTTTAAATCGGATTCCCTTCCCCACCCTGGCCTACGGCGGTCAGTTGTTTGTTTGCATGATTTCTGGATGTTTTTCATAATATTTCGGAAATATTTTTCAGTTTTCGAACACATTGCATAGCTTGCTCTTCATATGAGTGCTGTCTGAGTGATATGCATGACAAGCACCCAGAGTGAATAATTACGGTACTGCGAAGCAGAAGGCAGTATAACGAAAGGAGAAGAAGATAAGTGAGGATCATTGTGATTATTTGACTTCCCTTGTGGTAGATATCGTAAAAAGTGGGCCGACTTTCCGAGTACCGATTATCAGACAAGTATTTTTGGCATGGAAAATAACAGGAAATCGTCATGAAATATCGGAGAATATGACCTTGTGGCTACACAGGAACTCCTACATGGCTAAGTGACAGGAACTCGATCTCAGCCCACTCAATGAGCTGTAGAAACAAACTATCCTCCGCATGCATTTAGTTCGTCTTTTTCTCTCAGCGAAAAGCGATTTTCATCCCTATTACCTTCCCATTCACTCGATGAAACGCGAGCTATGATTGGTTGAAACCGTGTTCTTTAAAAGAGATCAGAAGCAAAAACAAATTTTTTTGCTTCGGTAATTTGACTGATGTGACTCGCATTAAACGTTTCCTTTGGCTTCTATGATGGGCAAGCTCGCAACAAAAATACGTCGTTTTCAAAGGAAATTTTTTTTTACTTTGGACAGGGCCCTAGGAACGACTGAAAGCGAAAGTAACTCTAAAGACATATCTTATTTCAAGAATGAAAAATTCACGCAACAGGATTATATGATTTCTCTAAAAAGAGCTGCAGAAAGATTACGAATAATACAACAATCACGTTATTATGCATTTTCTTTAAGAATTACTTAGCATGACTCGACATATGTTTCAAATACTTCAGCTATTTTATTCAGTCACGTCAATTTAAACCCAAAAATGTTAATTAGTCAGAATTAAAACTTCATGTCGATCAGGATTAGTGGCACGACAATGCACATTACTGTTGTGCAACACTCGGTGCAATCATGGTCCGTGGTTTTTTGTTTTGCTTTAAAGCTTATTTTTTATTTATACTCAAATAAATAAGATAAGTACGATGCAAATATCCGCCACACTTGACATATCCTCACCAGCTATTTCTCACAAATTTTGCTTTTCAGTGTACATGAAAAATGTTGCTGTGCTTCTTCTTGTTATAAGTGACCTCTTCCAAAACTGGCATGCCAGGTTTTTGCTAGTATAGATATCTCGCTAAGAACACTTGCCAAGGTTTTGCCTTTTTGAGGGAAACTCAACTTACTAAGTTTTCCGTTGTAATATATCTTTCCGTTGCTTTTCATTTTTATAAGTGAAGGGTGCGATGGAAAACTTGCTCTATGCTGACTGCAGCTATATAATCAAATCAGTCAGTTAACAAGTACAAAGGAAATTGTTAAGCGGATTCGACTTCAAAGAGTTCCCTTGGCAAATTTTTTTTGTGTATGCTCTTTCAGTTTCAAAAGCGGTCTTCAGCTAATCAGTCTCAAACAAAAATGGTAAAGAAAACCCAATATGCAACATTGAATGCAATAAACAAAAGTGGAAAGAGATATCGGGATACTTTGTCAACAAAGTCTGCTGCTGTCTCCTTTTTGCTCTTGCCGATGAGATCTGCAAGAGATGAGTCATCCACAACAGATTTATCGGATTTGCTCGCGTGGTCAACCATCTCGAGATCATCGTCTCCGAAACCTTTGTTGTAAGTGATATGGTCGTTGGCTACAGAAGAGTCGGCACCCTTGTTTGCACCAATGGCTGATTTAATGGATTGAGAAATCATTCTCCCCAAAGGCTTTTCTTTAACCTAAAGGAAGGCAAGAGAAAAGACGTGGAGAGAGGATTTGGAAAACTGCACAAGAACTCGTGCACAATACTGATGCACAGTGTCTGTACATTTTCGTTTTCTTGACAATTGCTTTCAAATTATAATTGATCTTGAGAGGAAGCAGCCCTATTTAATGTCAGTATTTACCATAGGGAGACGTGAATATTCATTATTGTTCTAAAAAACTTGTTACCCGATTAAATCTTTGGATTATAATTAGTTTTCGTGATGAAGCTCTTGTGTCCTAGTGACTTTAGTGACGAGAGGCTCACACTTCAGACTACTTCTTCAGTACTTCATGCTTTCAAAGAATACAATAATATGGTGTTGGTTCCCATCTAAATTCTACGGTGAACCTGCGAGCTACCAGCATCCCGTACAGAATAAATAGGAATATGCCGTGAAAAGTGGCAGTTGCTCCGGCTGGATGTGACCTCTGGGTTATAAGATGGCTTAAATTCTTCAGAAATCATCAGGAAGGCGATACTAATCTCCCTCTCCACCTCCCCCCCCCCCTGCCCCCCTCCGAACTGTGATTAACCTGATTAACCATGTAATATCCAAATTAAAGCAAATCTGTATTCGAAATTCCTTACACAATAGGGTCGAGACAACCTTACAACAGATGTTCCAGCGTTTTCTCAACCTGAGCTCAACCCCCGGAGCTGATAAAATACAATGTTTATTCCATAAAATGACAATCTGAAAGAGGGCGGTTTAAACTTAGAAGTCTCATGGATCCATTCGATGACGAATGCGCATGTTCGAAACTTAAATATCTCATACGAGAACCCAGGCTGGGCCGCGCGTCGATTAACTGTAAAACACATACCTTACACTTAATCTTTTCTTTGTCTTCACTGGCGCTCAGAGTCAGTACAAACACGATCATACATTCCACCATCGCAAAAAACACGAAGGTGAACGATATCAACAGATACCAGTCCAAAGCCTTGGGGTAGCTCACTTTAGGCAGGGTCCCGTTCAAGGATCCGAGGAGGAACATGATGGTCAATATGGTAGTGATTCCCAAGGCCATTCTGTTGCCCATGTCATCTTTATCCATCCAGAAAACAATCCAGCTTAGTGCTACGACGAAAATGTCTGGAAAGTAGACTTGGATGATGTAGTAGCCGATTCTTCTTTTGAAGGAGAAAGTCACGGTGATAGTGGAATAATTTCCTGAACAAAAATATAAATTTACATCGATGACAGCGCCAGTGATTCTGTTTTATTTACCATTGCATCGCGCGCATTGATCGCTCAGGGAACGGTCATTATCCCCCCCCCCCCTTCCCACATGGCTCTGTAACAGTCTTATATTCCCCCTTATTAGCGGGTTATTCGCAGTCAATTTTCCATAATCCTCCCTTTATACTCTGTTGGAGAAGCGTGGTTTCACTTAAGTACCATACATTATTTATCGCCGGGGTGGTCGGTGGATTGAGGAGGGATTACATGGGGAACGAGGGGTACGAAGGGGGTATCGGTGTTCGCCAACAGAGTATAGTGAGACTATTGGAAATCTACTGCTTAGCTGGCAATGACGGGGGAGGGGGGGATATCAAAGGAATATCACAGATCCTCATGGGGAGATCAGGTAAATTTCATCGTGACGCATTCAAATTCTCCAACCATTCAACCTTCGTCTCGCGATTGATAGAAAATGCGGTCCATTGCCTATGAATAACTAACCTATGGAAAAGACATTTATGTCAGACGATAACTTGCTGCCTTCATATACGAACTGAGCCATCGCCTTTGTTCCCACAGCTACTTCAGTTGTGTTCCATTCAAACACGATGTCCTCAGTGGTGTAACTATCTATACGACAGTGAGAATGAAATATGATCATAAAACTATATCTGCGTGTAGCGCACGTTTCTTTGTTTCAAGTCCCTATGATTTAAAAGGTTAGGAAGAGAGGAAATCGCGGAACTTGATAAGGAGAGATGTCGTTTTTTCATAAATATGTTTCCATTCTTTCCATGCCGTTTACGAGAAGCTATATGTTAATTGTCTGCTTAAAATTGGGTGAGAGTCAGGCGCTATGATTAATATTCTTTCTTGAAAATCAATACAACTGTTTATGTAGAATTATGTGATAATTTTGAAGCCAGTTAAAAATTTTTCAATCTACGTATTTGCCTGTACACAAAATATTGGTATCAGCTATAGTATCAGCGGCAATCTCTAAATATTTATCCGATCGTTTAAAAAAAATATTTTTTCTTTACTTACAACTTCCAAACGTGAGAAAACAATTCTGTGTATCATGTGGAAAAGTACGTAGATCCATGTTGCATGAAGCGAGTATGGTTACCCTGTAAGGAAGTCGACAAGCTAATAAGATACAGCGTCTATGTTGTGAACATACAAATTTGAAAATTATCTGCGCGCGCATGTCACTAGTTCAATGACAAAACTTTGCATAGAAACCACTCGGCTGCACCTCGTGGTTTCACTTTAGTTTTGAACATTGTTAACGTCATTTCTACTATCAGTAGGGTTATACAAAATGGAAAATTGTGGTAGATTTAATTTGTTAAATTTACATGATGAAATGAGCTGATTGATTGCCAGTTTATCAGAGTCCAGAAACGCACCAACAAAGCTATCGTTTGTTGAATTCTGACTTTGAAAAATGTGACTTAAATTCAGCGTTTTCTAGAAGAAATTTTAAAAGAAAGCGTCCTGATGCAATTAAGTCCTAAGAACTACTTTTTAGCGGTAAACGCAACTGCGGGATACAATTTTTGATTCTATTAAAACCCTTTTTACTTCCTTGAGTGACCAAGACAGAGTTTCTCCTTACAATATCGATGCAATATCAAACAAATAAGCGATGAGAATAAAGACAAACATCAATAAGAGGATAAGTAGTTGATCCAATGCCAGATTCTACAAACTAGCATCATAAGAGTTGTATGACAGACAGTAAGGAGAAATACTAATGAGATCTTGTAAGTGGAAGGGTTAATAAGCGTATGTACCCACCCTTTGCTGTACAACACATCTCCACTTTGCTGAATAGTGACACTGCTGTGTGTTTCTTCATCTGGCATCATCATGTTCGACTCACGTGCATTGTAACAGTAGGGATCTGGAACCCAAATGTTCTCTATATCACCCCCTTTTATGGTAAGGGTGCGGTTGAGTTTTCCCGCCAGACGTCCATCCGTCCATTTTTGTCGGAAGTATGTATACACCCTGTATTCCTGTTGGTAACATCAGAGGTCATCACAGCAAAACAAGATTTAAATTATTTAGGCAAAATAGATTCCGGTGCTAGATATGCTGCTATCGGTATAATTTCTCATTAATTTTTTTTTTATTTTAAGTTGTCACATAAATTTCATAGGATAAGGGCAGTGAGGATAAAATTACTTAAAAGTATACCCAAGGTTGTAACGGACTGGTCCAGGTTGTTCGAAGGCTAGATAACGCTACCCACTGGATAAAACTCTATCCGGTGGATAACGCCATACGTTTTACTATCACTTATACGCCAGATTTATCCGTTGGATAGCATTATCCGCATTATCCGAGGATTTTGGTTGTGTCACAATAATATTGACCTGATCCTCAGCTCTATGGTTCTTTATTACTCGAATAATTCCCCCTCCCCCCCTCACTGGCAGTCAATTTTCTATAGTCCTCCCTTTATAATCTGTCAGTGACGACTGATCCTCTCTGTTCTCCTTGAAAACCATGTAATTCCTCCTCAAAATCCTCCAACACACCCCTCTCCCCATTCCCCCCTCCCCATTCCCCCCCCCCCACCCCCTCATTGGCAGTCAGTTTTTTATAGTCCTCCCTTGATAATCGGTTGGCGACGACTGATCCTCTCTGTTCTCCTTCAAAACCATGTAATTCCTCCTCAAAATCCTCCAACACATCCCTCTCCCCATTCCCCCCTCCCCATTCCCCCCCCACCACCTCATTGGCAGTCAGTTTTTTATAGTCCTCCCTTGGTAATCGGTTGGCGACGACCGATCCTCTCTGTTCTCCTTGAAAACCATGTAATTCATCCTCAAAATCCTCCAACACACCCCTCTCCCCCTCCACCCTCCCCATTCCCCCCCCACCCCCTCATTGGCAGTCAGTTTTTTATAGTCCTCCCTTGATAATCGGTTGGCGACAACTGATCCTCATTGTTCTCCTTTAAAACCATGTAATTCCTCCTCAAAATCCTCCTGCATACCCCTCTCCCCATTCCCCCCTCCCCATCCTCCCCCTCCCCCCCCACCCCCTCATTGGCAGTCAGTTTTTTATATTCCTCCCTTGGTAATCGGTTGGCGACTACTGATCCTCTCTGTTCTCCTTCAAAACCATGTAATTCCTCCTCAAAATCCTCCAACACACCCCTCTCCCCATTCCCCCCTCCCCATCCTCCCCCCCCTCCCCACCCCCTCATTGGCAGTCAGTTTTTTATACTCCTCCCATGGTAATCGGTTGGCGACGACTGATCCTCTCTGTTCTCCTTCAAAACCATGTAATTCCTCCTCAAAATCCTCCTGCATACCCCTCTCCCCGTTCCCATCCCCGGCTATGAGTGACTGGTCTCTTAAAAGCTAATAACAAGGGAAACAATTAAAAAAACAAACAAAATACGTAAACAAGATGACTTGCTCGGAGATTTCGACAAACGAGCGCACAAAGCCAGTGAGAAATGAGAAAAAAGGAAAATTTACCAAAAACAATTTCAAGAAAAACAAGCAAATAAATAGACAGAGTCGTTTCCATACCATGTTTGCTTCTTCTATGTTTCCAAAGGATTCCACGTATATATCGGCATCGACAATGGTCGCCTTGGCTTGTTCTGCTGCCACAAAAAGATCAAAACTATTATCCTAAAAGTTTACTTTTTTTATCATTTCCAGAGTTTCTTTCCCGCGTGCTCTTCATAGCCCTAAATTCCCGTAGTGTATACTCTTTATCATAACTAGTGACTTGAGATGAGTCGTTTTTTATCACCTGGATGGGGTCGGAGGATTTAGGTTTTGTCTCAACGAAATTTACCTGACCCCTCTCCCTTAGGTTCTATAATATTCTAGTGTTCACCCTCATTGGCAGACAAAATCTCAACAGTCCACTTTATATTCTGACTAATCCCTCCTTCGTCCCCCTGAAAACCATGTGATCCACAAAAAATCCTTCAAAACTGCCCCCTCCCTCACAGGTGATAAATATTGACTGGTTTAGTGATAGCATTATCTTACCAAAGCCAGGTCGCATAGCGTTATCGTAATCACTGAAAAAGCTGGTCACTACATCGTCTCCACAATGGATTCTGCAATAAATCAAGTCAAATTTTATATTGTAGTGTGAACTTTTCCAGCATGTCATTGTGTCAACAGTGCAGCTAAATCCTTATTGTATATGCGGGTATTGTAATGGTGTGCGCGGCGGTTTAAAGCAAAAACCCAACAACTGCAGCAAAATTTGCACCTAAATATATTAGAGAGAGTTTTTATTAATGAAACAAAAACCAGAAATATTGGCTTCCCGAAATAACTAAACGTTTCAGAGAATTTTCAACATATTTGATAGGAATCGTTTTGGCGATTGGAATTTCTCTATCTTACACTTTGTGATTCGACACAATACACTTTGTTAATCTTCTGTCTGCAGAAGAGCGCGCAATAATACCATCACTTGCTTGGTGCGAGTTGGGGTATTTTACATAAGCCGCAAAGTAGCCGGCGTGGTGCTATAGAAGTGTTTCCGCTTCTAACGCAAATGCTGCGTATTAAAGACAAGCTAGTAACTCTCTTTAAACACAAACTGCGGCTCAGAGGGGTTCAAATGCACCGCCGTTAAAACAGTAAATCGGCGTGATATGTATACGAAGCGGCTGGTGGTAGCCGCCAATTGAGCCGGGCTCAAACGTGTTTAGGTCTGACTGTGAATGAAAAAGCAATGTAACTTACGATCTCACGGAGGCTAGTAGCAGCAAAACCCACAAATTTATCTTTGAATCCATCCACAGTGTTCTCGTTGCTTTCATATTTCTTTGGAAAAGACTCTGGAAAAGACAACGCATCAGTTTAAATTACTGAAAGAGTTTACCATACAACCAAGAATTGTTGGAAGAGAAGGAAAGTGGATTTTATCAGATGGTTGGGCCAAAAAAAGACATTTAATTTCGTCTTTAGTACAGACGATGACATTGGGTAACCGAAATTTAAGATTGCTAATTTAATTTTTCGAGTTTAGTAGCGTAATCAAAAGAGACACGTGGACTTTTTAGCTGGACGATATCCGATAACGTTATTGTCTAAAAGCTACACAAATATACCATAGGGATTGTGTTATACTAAATTCGAAATTATAGCTCGGTTTTGATTGCAAACTTACGAACCATAGGGTCCTAGAAAAGGTCAATTAACAAAGCATATCAGGCTTCTACTGATAGGACACAAGACAAAACACATTGGTATATTTAAAATAGGAATTACTGTTTTCAGTTTGCGAGTTTACGCATTTAACTTAAGATTTCAAAATGTTCTCGTCCAAAAGCTATACAAATTAACTAAAGAGATTGATTGACCCACATTTCAAAATGGCGGTTCAGTTCAGTTTGAAGGATTAGAAATTTACAAAAGTTTACGAACTTACAGTTTGAATGATTACAAACTTACAAAACGTGAGGTCACAGGAATGGAAAGTTATGAATCAACAAAGCATGACTGGTGGAGAAAGAGTTGATTTAGCTTTATCAGATAAGCTAAGTAACGAGTGTTAGCCTTCGTCAGAGCTAATATCAAAAGTTGAACAGCCAATTATAAACTGAATATAACCGTGCGGCTCTGCGATTGGAATTTTAAAGACCAGTTTAGAGAATACTCACCAACTGAGAAGGTTATTGGGCAATCCCTTAATTTCTATTAACGGTTTCTGGACTGGTCTAAGCACGTTTGTTGGCGTTTTGCACGTTATCTTATCAAATGATCGCTATTTGCATGAACATCCACGGATGCTTGATTACGATTATCAAGAATTAATTAACTTTTGCATTCTTTGTAAAACTACTTTAGTGTCCTCTGGGAAAAGTTCTACGTTTTGTGACGACAAGCGTTTAGTCTTTGTGTTTGTTCATATAATTGAAAGGGATCGAGAACAAAGCCACGTTCAATAGCGGCAAAGGTCTCTCGGGGTCTTAAAAGCCTATTGAATTTATAAAAATTAGTCAAAACTTGGACAAAATTCTCGAAGATGGCTGGCCATCAGCAGCTCAGTTTGAGCCATCATTATGAAAAAGTTCTCGCGTCGTGCCTTTGTCTTTGGCCGCGCGCGTCATTTTTAGTGTCAGCTTTATTCTCTTTTACATACTGATTTCAATCTCGTAGATTGAAACTTTGCTCCACTACCATGGAATCCTAGAGATAATGTTCTTGCTAAGCTGATTTCAAAGATCCTTAAAAGCATCTCTTGGCTGTACTTAGAAGAATAGCATTGGGTATAAAACACCAGCAATATGACTGTAGACTAGTAAAATGAAGGCGAAACGTCACTATCTACATTGGAAATGACTACATCGTGTGGGGAAAAACGATTACACCTCATAAAAAGAACACTATCAGTTGTCAGTAATTTTAAAGTTGAAAAAGTAATAATATCATGAAGGGAAAAGGGCTATAATTCTTAATTTTTTTTCGCATGTACACCCGTTAAAAAAAAAAACGCTCCAATTTGAAAATATATTTACATCCCTTTTCTTTTCTCATCAAGAAAGTGATGCACGATTAATGTATCTTTCACATCAGCGGAGAACTACACCTTTTTTTGAAATTTTTTACCGCAGCAATTGTACTCTACCATGAAAAATTGTCCCTTCAATCTATTCTGTCAAAACCTTTTTGATAAGATAAGAATATATCCTAAACAAATATATACATATATATTTGAGATAGGGAAAAAAATAAAGAAACCATACTTTCGTGTCATGTTTGCTCACTCATCAAGTGATTTCATTGTCTCATTGTCAACAATATTTGTAACTATCATTAATGTTGCAGAATTCTCTACAGCGTTAAGGAAAATCTCTGTGGAGCGCTGGTTCGATAATCAATAGGACTGTATCTTTCTGATTTCTTGCTTTTATTTACGATCCATACAATATCCGAACTTTCTACATTCAAAAGATTTCAAGTCTCAAGTTCTCTGTTACAAGATAGCGATTCTATTTATCTGCTACGACAACGGAAATACACGCCTAAACTGCGAAAACCAGCATTGACATTACTTATTCGTGATTTACTAAAATCCCAAGTTATTTCCTATCAACTTGAATTTAACAGCTGTTTTCCATTAAACGCCGATCAATACTTCTGTAATTTACACCCGCACGCACGCACTATTTGCTGCACGAATAACACATCACGCAACGTCTCAGGATGTTCCAACCCAAACGTGCACGCACAATTTCCCTAGGCAAATAGTTAATTATTTCTGACCATCATTGATTTTCCATATCACGAATATTCTTACTACAAGTCTGCCATTACCGTGCTACGTTCAATTGTACATCTAAATCTTAAGTAACCTAACTGTCATAAAAACTCCTAGCTTAATTATTAAACCAAAAAATAAGGTGTCACGCGATACGCCTACAAGTTTATCATGACAGTTAATATATGCTGGTTTTCACGTGACGTCACTAAATTTCAGACTTCAGAACTATTGATCCTCCTGAGATTTTACTTTCATGATGTATTAGAGCAGCTAAAAACTAATATTCAGACAAATTTTCACTCCAAATGGGTTCTTGGTTTAGTGATAGACTACTCTTGAATTTCTAAGCTTTTGCGTGACGTGGCCTTTACATGACGAGCGAGAGAGCTGTTATGTTGGTTTAAAAGGTGACTTATTTAGGGAAATTCAGCTATCTGAACAGTTCTTGTATTAGAATAAAGTATTATTGTTACGTTTATGAGTTCTTAGAGAGATAAATTCACGCTTTTGTAGCAAAACTCAGTGACAGATGTTTCTGCTGGTTTCCGGCCGCCATGTTGGTGCCCATCTAGGTGGGCACCAGCATGGCGGCTCCATACAAATCTCTATAAATTTGGGAAAAACGTTTCTCCTCATATCTTCCGTAAGAAAAATTGCTGTGACCTGAATCTTGGCGAGAGTCTTTACATATCTAGCTTCTTTCTATTTCCAGATTCTAGACTAAATCGATTGAACGGTTTTTATTTTTTATTTTGATCTATTTTGAATGGCGTGACACTGAAAACCAGCAATACCAATTTGCATGATAGGCGTGGCGGTAAAATTTCTATGCTTTGTTCAATTATTATGCAGTAACATTTTGTTTCTGTGGCGGCATAAGTAGTTTTTCTTTGAGGCAGAGGTTGCATCTTTTGCTTACGCTGTTGTAGGGTGATCTTGATGAAAGGATGCGCCATGAATGAAGTGATCAACGTCATTTTATTTAAGGATCCAGATATGTTTGTTGAGTTCGGTAGAGTTTCTGTGTTTTGTGTGTTGTAATGATGCGGTGTTGTTTCTGTAGCTAGACTTGAAGTGGTTTTCTGTAAGTCCGATGTATGTTTCAGTAGTGCTGTTATCCTTACGTGTGACGGTTGGTAGATTAGTGATGATTGGAGGCAGTTTCCGTCAAGTGTGCATGAGTTCTTCTGTCGGTAGTTGCAAGTTTTGGTGTCTTTTGTGTTGCTGTTATCTGCGGTTTCATTGATGCGTTTGGATGAATTTGAAATGTGTTTGTTGTGGTTGTCGATGATCTGTTTAGTGTTATTCATGCGGCTGTAACTGATCTTGATTGAATTACGATTAAAGATTTTTCTAAGTTTGTGTTATTTCGGGAAGTGCTTGTCTACTAAGGCAAGGAATCTGTGCTCGATTGGAGCTGATGTGTCGAGAAAGAAATAGGTGATGCTTAACTTAATTATTTTGTGATTAAATATTAATTAGAAATTGACATTTGTAACGCAAAGAAGTTAGATTTCGTGACATTAGATTTCACAATAATGTAGACAAGGTCTGAGTATATTAACGATATAAAATGATGTAGCTGCGTGCATTTTCTTGGGCTAAATACGGTGAAAGAACGTGCGATTTTGTAATAGTCACTTAATTTAGATACATTATAATCGGAACTTTTACTGTACATGTGATTAATGTAAAAATACTGCCTTACGCAAGGATAGTAGAAAAAAACCTCTGTATACTTAGAATGTGTTAGTTAATCGTTGATCGTTGCGTTACGACCGTTTAATATGTGAGAATTTTATATCTCAATAGATTGTTGGTTTAGATTAAATCGTGTTGTTACATCGAAAGATACAGTCCTCTTGATTTGTTTGAACCAGCGAGCGGGGTCATAAGAATGGGGGTTGTACCAGAGTATGTTGTTCCGTTGTCTTCTGTTTTTTCGTTTGTTAGTTGTAGGTGGTTCGTAGTGTAGAGTGTACCGGTATCCGCATTTGTCGAGCGCTTTTTGATATGGAGGGGCGGCTTGGTCGAAGGATGCTTTGTCGGATGAAAGGGATGACAGTCTTCTGTTGATGCCGACGAGTATGTTCTTTTTGGTAGTTGGTGGGTAGTTGCTCTCGCGGTGGACGTTATCTAGTGTGGTGTTAGGCTTTGTGAAGGGCTGATAGGTGCTCTCATCGACAAACACAAAATCCCCTGATGAGTAAATAATCACGAAACAGGCTTGTATGGATGAAAATACAAGTATAGTCTCTTTATTTTTTCCCGATCTCAATATATATCGCGCTCTACTTCTACGTATCGAGCATTGAACAGCGAAAAAAATCAAAATACAGACCTCATATATATATATTTTTTTTTTTAATTTTTTTTTTTTTCCGGCGCTAAGTGTTATCGCGAATTTTGAGGATGATTAGGCGTAAGTGAATAGCCCGAGTGAGAGTGGAACGAGCGTAAAATGGTCAGCGGTGGCATGCTTCAATAAAGTTTTCATGTAAAGCAGATGTCACATACATCACACGATTAATTTGAACGAAATTGCCTTACAGACTTTGACGATGGAGAAGTCCTTAGATTCTCATTTAGATGACATGTGAGTTCCCTATTGTAGTTTTCTCTTACAATATACAAAGATAATCGGAATTTGTGTATTAACTCCGTCTGTTTTTTTCCACCAGAATGTCTGAACATGGCGTTATTGGAGTATTATGTAGCGATCAACAAGGACTTGCTTTATCAGGTTTGTGAAGTTTATTTTCGTATTGAAACTTGAACGATTTCTGTCAAAAGGATAAGCTACATAACGCCCAATAATACTTACCGTAAGCGTTTTATTCCTTTGTGATTAATTGTCACTTTCCTCTGTGCCATTGGTGACCATTATGAAGAAGTTTGACTCTCTACAGATACAGTGTAAATCAAGGGGATTGAGGAAAGAGGCTATTGTAGAAAGAAGGAGAAGTTAATAACATCTACCCATTTTTGAAAGCTATTAAAAAAATAATTTATTCATTTGACAAGAAAGTGCCTCTTGACAATAATCTTAGTGGTAAGAGAGAAATGTTTTGAAGAAATCTTCCCCCACTCTCTACCCCCACCCCACTTGTAACTTTTTTCAAGACTGTAAATTGCACTCGTCCTGCGGGCATGAGCACTTTTACCTTGTTAAAAAATTTAGTAATGGTTTTTAACACGAAATAGCATGTGAAATCATGTTATTACCTACACTAATGAAATCATTTTAAATGTCAATTATGCAAGGAAGAAGTCCACTACTTCTCTTACTGGACTTGATTCCGCAACAATAAACTTCCATGCTCTAACACTTGTATCTATATGGCAAGACTTCCGGTAAGTGCATAAAGCTTGCCCTGAAAAACCTTCACAAAAGATAACCACAAAATGTTTAGTTTACAGTGTAAATGATACATAAAAATCAAAATTTCTAACATCATTTTTGAATTATTTCTTTTAACAGCTAAAGGTACTGCAAATCCCATTCATGCAGGACTCATTTCCTCTTTGGCAGAAGATGCAAAGAAATTAGATCCCAACACGACACCAGTCATCTGTTTAGAGTCAGATGCATGGTAAGTAGGATTCCTGTACAATGTAGTTGTTTAGTGCATATTACCTGGGAATGCAATTAGTGCAAGTCTGACATGTTAGAAAATAATTTGGTTTTTAATCAACTGGGTTGATAATGTAAATTTGCCATCTTAAAGAGTTTCTGAAACTCGCTATTTCAGTGTTAGCCCTTTTTCAGAGGAAAGGAAAAATGGATAATGCAACAAATCTCAGCTTTAGGAACTCTTTAGAGTGGCAGGGATATTTTACATCATCAACGATGCAGCACAATTCTATCTTGGGAAATTTAGCTCCTTTATCCAAGATATTACAGTTATACACCATTGATTGATCAAACACTCAGAGGGTATTAACCCCTAAACCCCCATCAGTGACCAAGAGAGAATTACTCCTTACAATATCATTACATTATCAAGCAGGCAAGAGATGAGAACAATGGGATTAGAAGTTGATCCAATACTAATTTCTCTGAACTTGCATCAGAAGAATTGAACAGCACACAGTAAATAAGATCTTTGGAGTGAAAGGGTGAATGTATCGCAGAAAACAGCACTAGCTATGAATTTTGTTTTGGTGTGGCTGTTGAGCCATATTCCTTGTTCGCTCGGTTCCATGTCAAAACATTTCAACTTTTATTCATTACAAAATCATTATAACTTATACAGAGTGCAGTGCTCGTGCTTATGTTGATTACATAGTTGTGCGTGCTGTGTGAGTGCGAAGGTGACAATTACATAGTGTAACAATTTCATGCACGAGTTTCTTTTTCCTTTCATGTATGAAAGGAGGTTTACAGAGAGCACTGCTAGGAAAGTGGATGTACCTTCATGGTACACAAGAAAAAAAATCAGATAGAGATGGGCACCATTTGATTTAGACCTTACATGCTAAAACATTATTAACACTTGAGAATACACTAAAACCCCTTGGTAGGTTTTTTGCACTATCCCTAGCATCTTCCTCTCCTATGATTGCTTTTAACCCTTAACTCCCAAGATCTCATTAGCAATTCTCCTAACTGTCAGCCTTACAGTTCTTGTGATTTTAGTTCAAAGAATTTGGTATTGGATCAATTTATAATTTCCAAATTGATATTTTTGTTTATTCTCATCACTTGTCTGCTTGATATTGTATTGATATTGTAAGGAGAAATTCTGGGTTAAACAAAGAACTTCACTAATTCTCCTTGCCCTCTGCTGTACATTCCTTGCAATGTTAGTCCTGAGAATTTGATGTTAAATCAAAAGAATACAATATCCCTTTGTATTTACTTTTTATTACCTGTCTGCAAGAAAAAGTACATAGATGTTGTGAGCAGAAACCGTGCAATGGTCACTCCAGCAATATATTGGGATTGATGCTTACAATGTTTAACCCCCTAAAGCCTAAGGAGTGATCAGCATTGAATTCTCCTCACAATATCAGAATTCAGTCACAAATAAATGTCTCAAGAATGAAAGGACTGATCAACAAAAATTGATTGTCCTCACCTCCAACAAATGTTTACAACTGTTACCACAAGAGAAAGTATGGGCACCAGTCAAGAGAATTTTGCATTTTCATTCCCTCTTTTTTTCAGTAATCTTCTTGTGAGATCAGAAGGAGATGTCACAGTTGCCATTCATAAAGTTCCTTCATAAACAAAGAAGAATTTGAATTTGGAGTTTTCTTTCCCAAAAAGATTATTGGTAACTGCATTTTTAATTGATTGTAAAGAAAAAATAATTTATTTTTGAATAAATGTTTGCAAATTTGATCTGTTTTCAATGGAAAGAATGCAGGCTGAGTTGGATGACATGTTTTCCACCAAGTTTTATTTTTGTTGTTGTTTCATTGATTGTAAATTTCCTTGGGTTTGCAGGGGAGGGGAGAGGGTATATTTGCAAGAAACTAGTAGTCTCAGAGAAACATACTTTTGGCAATTTCTTGGGGACTGAAGGGAGGGGCCTGGCAGGCTGTCTATGTTTCAAATTTATCAATATCTTTTTCAAGAAGGAGTGGGGTGGTTTGCAACCACTTGGAGACTTTCCCCCTACCAATCAGTCACAACTTTTGTTTCCAAATTCTTCCTTAAATGTTAACATAAACACCAAGATCAGACATTGCCTGGCCCTAATCATCATTTAACTGGACACACCCACTTAACTCATATTTGCAAGGCTCGGTAAGATTACTGCACAGCCCTGTACCTCATTTTACGCACAGTTCTTGGATAAAGAAAAACAAAGGCTACGGCTTTGTTTTAGAATAGTATTTATGGGACTTTAGGGAAATATTTCACGTGGCACTCGCTCTGAAGCTATTTTAAGCTATTCAAGTTCCTTTAATTTTTTATAACCCATTATTTTTCATCCCGTTATCAATCTTCTTCCACGGACAGCTGTATCTCGACGCTCATCACAGCTGGTCGTGTGATCAGTAATTTCTAACCCTGGTACTCATGACGTGCGGATCTACCTGGAAAGGAAAATAACAGAATAGAAGCGATTTCTATTTGTTTCTATTTTCTTTCAATAAATAACTGCACTTTCTCTTTGCTTTTGCTCGTTCCCCTCATTGTGCACTAACAGTGCGCTAGGTTCACTTCGCTATCCTTAACATTAAACCTTTCTTTTCTCTCATAGGAAGAGTAAAAGGCGTTAATTTTATGAAGCTTTACCCTTAAAGGGAAAGTAACAGTGCTGCGTCTTCCCTTTTGCATTTTTCTCTAATTCAGCCCCTCTATGAATCAGTAATAACGTGTGTTCTTCATTTAGGGCCGGTTGTTTACACAAGGTGTTACCCAAACCGCAGTTTTACGCAAGAAGTGGCCTTAGTGGTTCTGGTACGAGGGTTGAATTGATCAAATAAATGACCCTCTATCAGATATATGTTCAAATAAAAGGTTCGGCTAAATTGGAGATGGCTTAGAACGCAGTTTTGTTAAACAACGGCTTAAACTTTGTTTAAATTACCAGCCCTTAAAGTTTTACTCGCTTATTGATACAAAGTCGCGAGAACTGCATCACTACATTTTTCTTTCAATAAACTCCAAAATTTTAATGTTATCGAACTCTTTCGAGAAGATCCAAACGTTGTGGTCAATTTTTTTTTCTGTCATGGTTTCCTGTTATCACGTGCGCTTTCGTCCGCACACATTCCCTTTGTACCACAGCCATATTCAGTTGATGTCGTAAAAGGGTGATAATTGTTAAGGTGGCACTGTAACAAAAGACGTCAGAAACGAGAACAAATTGAATTCCAGGGTTCGGATCTTGATACCAATGGAATTAACGTTACAAATTTTGTTTATATCTAACACTGACCTCCATGGACTTGCTTAAAATAACATTGACTGGAACCAAGCTTTAAAGTGCAGCGCATAGCACTGACTATTTTCCACGAATAACGTAGTAAGTTTGCTTTATTGACCCTTTTACTCCCAAGAATGACCATGACAAAAATTCTCTCTTTCAATAATCGATGTCAGATAAAGCAGACAAGTGATGAGGATAAAAAAAAATGTAAAAAAGGAGATTATTAGTTGATCCATCGTTGCCAAGTTCTCCGAACTAAGATCACACGAATTGTCTGACAGACAGTATGGAGATCTTGGGAGTGTAAGGGTAAAACTTAGAACAGACGTTTCTTAACAGATGACAATACCTACTAGCCCTTATGAACGTCTTTACGACTTCAACATTACCAACAGACAAGACAGGAAAATATAATTTCAAAGAATGATCTAGACTAATTTCATTAAAATTTTAGCCCTACAATTAAGCATTTTATCATGTTTGAGGTTAAACACCAGTACAGTGCCATCTTATGAGATATGTATTCACTACTTTTCCCATCTCCTGAGGTTGGTGTCAGTTTGGAAGCCTTATCTTTAAAACTCTAATGCCTGGTCAAGAGGTTTTTTCAAAAAAAATATATTTATTTGAAATATACTGTTGTATAAACCAGCTGATAAGGTAGAATCTAAGAGATAACTATCTTCCGTGAGATTTCACTGCCTAAAAATGAAAACGGGTAAATCAAGTCGCTCTCGTGAAAAGGAATTACTTTTTACTCCAAAATGATTGATTTGTTATCCTCTTGACCATACATTGAGTTTTAAAAATAAATCGTAGCGGTTAACCTTTTAAACCCCTAAGAGTGACTGGCATCAAATTTCTCCTTACCATATCACCCCTAAATCAAACATTAAGGTACTGATCAACAACCCAAGAAGCTCTTGATTGTCAGACAAATTCTCCTTGTCGGCACCTCAGGAAATGTTCAGAGAACTATGGAGAATATGCATACTGATATTAGGGTGTAAAGGGTTAATATATTTACTCCATATGGTAGTTGGCTGACATCATATCAAACTTTGCCTATGGTTATGGTTGGGATTTTGTAATACAATGGGCCTTTTGTTATCCATCCTTAGGGACTTTTCTATTTAGTATCACGAGCTTTTACTCGGCTTGATTCGGATTCATTCGGCAAATTGTCGGCGATGACATTTTTCCCCAGCGGTAGTCAATGTATTTTCTCTTGAAGAAACTTCCTCTGACTTCTTCAGAAGCAAGATAAGCCGTCAGTATAAAATAAATTGGAATTCAACCGCTTGTTTGTTTTCAGTTCATGTTCTCACGGCAAGGGGCCGCGAGTAGCTTGGAGTGATTGAAAATGCAGTCTAGAGCTTATAAGCCAGGACAGGACGCAGTTAAGCTGTGTTCGCTCAATATTTGTTTTCCTTAAGGCCCGTTTACGCAGGCAGGCCTTAAGGACTGATCGCAGAAGTCTAAATTGTATTCTGCTGAAAATTTCTTCTCGCGTTGTCAATGTTCAACCACTGGCGCGATGAGTATAAAAGAGTATGCAAGCCAAGAAAACAAAAAGGTGTTATTTTCGCACCTTTTTACGTTTGACTGATTTCACTTTTTCCGCTTGAAGTGCGCAGAAACAGCAAACGCAGACAGAAAGGCAAGGTAAAAGGACTTGAGCGGCAGATTGGCTGATGCAGTATGGAAGATGAGATAGGAATATAAACAGTAGCGTCAGGGTTGAGCAGTTTATGGCGATTAGCGGTTTAAATTTATAGAGTTTCATTTTCGCTTGGTCAATGACGGGTGTTGCGTAGTTGGCCGGCAGCACACTCTGGCACATTTTTTTTGTTGGGACTTCTGTTTGGAAGGCTCCATACAGCAAGCCAAAAGAAAAAGCGAACAAAATACCAACCGACATTATTGCGTTGTCAATGAGGAACTCACTATCGACTTCAATGCCACAAATTCTGGTTATATTAAAAAAGGCGTTCCTTGTAGCACCTTAATAAACCAGTAAAAAACTGAAAGCTCCAACAGAGAAACAAGGATACAAGTAAACCATTCATTCAATCTTAGTCAGCCTTTGTGCATTTTGTAATTAAGCGATAAAAATGGGCGGCTGGTTGGTATCATCTCAGTTTTATAGCTTTATACGCTATGCTTCTTTAAAAAATGACTTAAATTTAAGTTTAAATTTACTTCGTGCATGGCTTAATAATTATTTAACTAATTGCGCCTGTATCGACGAAAACGATATACGAAAACAGAACTGTTGTCGATTGGCAAGAGGACAAGTTAAATAAATTATAGTTAATAATAAAGTTCAGGATCAAGGCAATTAATCCACAAAATTTTCATATTGTTGATAGGTGACAGGCATTTTTTTTAAAATTTACAGAAGTGTTGCCCAGTGGCCAGGACGAGGTGAGAAGAGAGGAAGTGAATGAGGAGGAATAGGGAGGGATTGAGTACTGGAGTGAAGAGGAGTGGGGAGAAGAATGGGAGCAGTGGGAATTTGTAACGGAAGATGATGAGGAGGACCAAGAGTATGAGGAAGATGAAGAGGATGAGGGAGATGAAGAGGATGATGATGAGGAGGAGGAGGAGGAAGAGGAGGAGGAGGAGGAGGAGCAGGACCAGGACCAGGAGGAGGACATGGGAGAAGGAGGTGCCAGTGTTGCTACGGATCTGTGCGTGGTCTGCGTTACCAGACCACGCAATGCGAGCATTATTCATGGTGACACAGGACATCAAGTTTGTTGCCTTGAATGTGCTTCAAGGTTAAAAACTGAAAAAAAAGCATATCAAACTCTTTCCCCATTGCGACGAACATTTGTTTTTCTCGGTTCCAGGTGTACGCAACCACTAACCCCACGTAATGCACAAGCTCTCCGTTACGAATTTTCAAAATGGCGGACAGGCCAAAGAGGGAAATAATAAAAACAAAGCGATTTTGCAATGAATAATCAACATACACCCTCGTTAGAAAGGCAAATCCGCGGAAGAAAGATACAAAACTGTATGATATTGAGATCGATATGATATTAAATCGATACCGAGGGCCCGTTTCCAACTTGCTAAGAAGTGCATTTAGTTACCTTCCGCCACGATTACTAGCTTTCTTGACAGCTTTCTGAAGACAGAATACTTTCTTTCTGAAGACTTCTGATATGCCGCTTTTGATTATTACACCTCGTACATCTGATTGCTCAAACACTTTGTTTACGATTGTTGAAAGGAACGACTCATGGTTCTCCGTCTTCGTCTTTACATTGCTTTGAAATAGTATAGATTAGTAAGCTGAAACGAAAAATTAATAAGGGAAGTTTACGAAAAATCCAGCAAACAAGCTTAAAAAAGGCATTTATTTAGACTTCATAATTCAACGAACTTCGCAAATCTTACTTGTTTATCTCGTAAATAAACGATGGCAGATTAATTCCCGAAGCGCTTTCTGAGTTTCCCGATCCCTCTCCTACTGCTTTCACGCTTACAAAACAGGAAAAAATCAAAAGGAGGAAGATACAGCTGTTTTGAAACGCCATTTGACGAGGGTAAATCTACTTTTTGTTCGACACTTTACATATCAAAACAAAGGAAATTTGTTCCTCTTTTTGATTCTGGCGGTACATTTTTAATTTGCGCCTGCGTCAAGAGATGTCGCCCGAGACCCTTCGCTCGGTCGTGTTTTGATAAAAAAAACGCCTTCTTAATTTCACGCAACCGCTCGGAGAAAAGGTAAAAATGACGAGGGAAAAACTTTACCTTCAAGTTAGAAAATTAGCGAAATAGAAAGCCAAAATATTATGGTTTAATATTTCAGAGGTACATTGAGTGCTTTTTCCGTAGAGAATCCGCACGATGGTAAAACATTCGAAAATTACACTCGATTTGAGTGGGGTGTTGAAGTGGGCGTGGTCACCACTTTCATGTTAAGACTATTTGTACCCCATGAGTTTGATATGTGTCCTGTGTGCCGCAAAAAAATCAAACTTGTTGTAAAAAATTTTTTTTAGTTAATTGTTGCAGCCTGAACAAATGTACCATATTTACTCGAATAATCGCCGCAGCGCTTATTAAATTTTTTGCACCTCGAGTGCAGCGTTTATTTAAAAATTGGAAGCTACAAAGAAATCGTGTCTTTCAATTTAACGGTATATCTTCTATCTGTACAAAAAGTTATCGTAATAGAAGCGTCTTTCCATTATCACCATTCAGCTCATTCAGCGGAATTCCTTGAATAAGTGCCACATCGGGTAAGCGGCGCTAGAAAACATCCATACCTCCCCATGGAAGGTTTTTTGTTTTAACCCTTCCTCCTCCCCCCCCCCCTTCCTAGTATGGATATTTTCTGGAACCACAAATATCGGATAATCAACTCAATATTTCTTGTGGAATATTATTTAATTTGGTTTACTAACAAAGATAATATAACAGGGATTAAATTAGCACTGTGTGGTAATTACTTTTACAAATTTTTGTTTTGAAAAGTTCTGTCAGGAAAACTTCAGCCCTCTTGTTCTTCGTGGTGATTGTAAACGTGAACGCTTCCTATCTGGCTGTCGGGGGCTTCTTCCTCATCTGAGCTTTCTGGATTGGCTGGTAGTTTAGACTTTACATAGCTTCTCCGTTTTCTTTTAAGGTTGTTGCACCTGGCAAACATCAGCCTGTTTTCTTGTTCCATTACCTATCAGAAAAGATAATTATTTTTAATAAAAAATGCAGCAACTTATCAAGTTATTTATCCCTAGTAATTTGTGAGGGTAATCAGACTGAGTCATGTACAATTTTAAAGTTAGGTATAAATAGATAGTATTTTTCGGCTAGGAGGACATCCAATACCTCTTTGATGGGGAAAAAAATGTCAAAGTTTATTTATTTAAAAATGAAGAATTTTGATATGGATAGATAAGGTTAACTGCTTTTTAGCAACAGATGCTGCTTCAATTAATTATATTTGTTTATGTATATCAATAATTTTATGTTTTTAATAGTGGTGCCTACCTGAACAGTGTATTTTGAATTTTTTCCCCCTTTCTGGGATCCACGGTGGAATGCCTGGGATTGCCAGTGGTTTTTTTTCTCCACCGGCTGGCAATTAAACTGCATTAACGTGCCATACTTTTCCAAAAACTGAGGTACATGGTATACAAATGCTAAAAAAAGAAAATAATATTAAATTTATTTATTTTTTTACCACAAAGTTACTAATAAAAGCTTCCTGCTTATATAAGTACAATCACTTTCAGGCCTATAGATATCTGCTACTAATAAAAACTAGATGCATTGTGAAATTATCATTTAATATCATCATCATTACTTCCATCAAGGAAGATATTTGTTAAAAGTTAAATTTTGTTGACGTACTGTGAATGTAGGGGGTGATGTCGTCATCATAGAACATTTCCAGAAAGAGCTTTCCCCACTCCCGCACATGTGTCTTGAAGCTCTGAGGCTTGAGGTACTCTGGATCATTCTCTTGAACCTGTAGTGCGCGCATCAAAGTCTTAAAACCCTACAACAAGAAACAAATACAGATTAACAGCAAATATTAAATAATGTCAGCAGTTAATTAGGGGTTCCCACTTGACAGAAGAAAGCTACAACGAAATGTAAATAAACATTGTGTTTGCAACTTACACTCCACAGATCATCTATTCCCTCTGAATCATCATGTCCAACAGCTTCCATAATTTTCTTTATATTTAATTTCTCCAATACCTTTTGCAATTCTTTTCCTGTTAAACAAAGAACATAAAAATACTAAGTAAGATGTTAACAAAAACTACTACATTACTTGCAAAAAATTCTAACGGTAGGTTGTCTTATATTTTTGGACGGTTAATACTCGTACACTTTTTCTCATTTCGGACAAATTTCGGACAAAAGTTTCCCATACTTCGCTATAACTGTTACAATGCCAAAACAAATTTTCGGTCTACAGATAAAAAAAAAAACCAAAAAAACAAGGAATTAACACAAATCCTGTCAAACACTTAGGTATCTCAATTTCATTAGTCATTATTTAGTGTCAGCATTCACTATTCCTGCCATCTCCAAGCCCTTCCTTATCACATCGGGTTGGTTTTGCCATACGAGCATCATTTTACTGTACCCTATCATCCAAAATTTTTGGCAGGTAAAATGGTACCAATAAAAAGCAGGGCTTTACTAGCTGCACACAAGGCTCTCTTTGATACATAATGTTAAGTGGATCATAACTAATGATGTAAACTAACTTTGATTGTGCAGCAATGCTAGCTATAAAAACACATATAAACATAATTATTTAATAACTTATTTAAGTACCATTGAGATTTGTCCATTTTGTTTCTGTTTTTTCAGCTAGTTTATTGAATTCTTCATAAAATTTGAATTCAACATTAATGGAATCCATTTCGTCTTTCAGGACATTGTGGCAATCATTGTTGACAACTACCTCAACAACCTATAAATATGAATATAATAAAGAACATAAAATTAATATTCGAACAAGAAGTGATTTTGAAAAGCATTTCACTATAAAAAATTGCGATAAAACATTTCTTAAAATCATTTCAAGATTAAAAAAAATTGCTAAAAAGCGACGACGTTTCGACGTTAGCTGAACGTCATTATCAAGTCATATCAATCATATCAAAATAAGTTAGTGATTTTTGGTCTATAAATACTAAAAAAAAAAAACAACAATAGCTGATTAAAAAATTGTAACGTGAGAAAATATCAAACAAAGAGTTTCGCACGTATGGAGTCCGTCTGAATATTTAAATTGGGCTTAAGTTTCTTGATGAAGAGCATTTCAAATACTAAGCAATCAAATTTGCTCTGGCACTTTCTTAAAACCGTGAATTGGCTTTCTCTCAAAAGGTTGTTGTTACCATGAGCTTCTAAGAAATGTCTACCGATTGCCGAATTTTTGTGCTCAGCAATGCGTTGAGTTTTTTTGAGTGTTTTGTTTTCTCATTTAGTATTTAAAAAGGGGTTTGCATATGGAAGTGGCATTTTTTTTATATGATACGTAATGCGGGCTCACCTGATGAAACAGCAGTCCCATGCTTCTTAAAAAAATTAAAGGTGCAGGGTGTCCACAACCACAAACTCAAAAGGAATGTTAAGTAGTGGGGGCATTACACAGCCCTCTACTTTTGGGAGAGGTGAGATTTTGACCAGCAAAAAACATTGTTTTCTTAAATATCCCTGAGTAGGTTTAGTAAAGATGAACAATTTTTACAGTACTTGTTGGCCCATGTTAACGCAAATGTAACCCTTTTAGTTTTGATTTAAAATGGCAAGTTTAGCATGAAAAATTATGAAGAAAGGAGCTTCGGTGTTTTTCTGCCCTTTTATGCTGCGGAATACCAGTTAAAAAAAAAAGTCACAGTAATTTTAAGACTTCACACACTGCCCAAAAAGGATGCTCGGAGCTCTCCATCTAATACGTACATGTAATATATCATTTTTCATTTTATTATAGTTTTATGAAAAACGAAACAGTTTAGACATTAAGATCTATGCACTTACCATTGTACAATGCCAGGGTATACTGGTATTCACACGTTGCTTTGTTCTCACACAAGATGTTAAAAACTGCCATCACGGTGCCGATTCTTTTGCTGGTTCGCCTCCCATCCGATCCGTCTCACGTAAAGTCGATCCGTCTCACCGAAAGTCGATTCGCAAATGAAGACAATTCATACTTAAGCGTTAAATTCAATGTTGACGAAAAGACACGATTCGCACTGGTCGACTCGAATCGTCATTGGTAAAGTCGATCAGTCTCACCGGAAGTCGATTCGCAAAAGATTTGTCATGTGATTACCTCGTTTCTAAGTGTTTGTGTTGAAAACGACAACTTTGGAGACGTGCGACCTAAGGCAACATGGCTGGCTTTTACGAAGATCGTGTTTGTTTATTTCGTCTTTTCACAGTCCTTCATTTTGTAGGAAAGAGCTTTTTAAACTTATTTGGTTTTACATCGGTTGCTAAGAAGTATGTCTGTGGAAATAAAGAGGAATTTGTTGGTGGGGAGCAGAATAGGCTGGATGGCGACGACGCTTTTGTCCGTGAAACAGAGAGTTTATTAAATTTATTTTCCCGAGCTTGGCGATGTTGAGGTTCGTCTCGCGGAATATTTTCTAAGTGTCTTGCAAGTCGACTTCAGGTATGACGGGTCGACATCAACTGTGACGCAGTTAATTTAGTGTTAACAACGAGTTGAAAACGTAAATTGGCCACCTTAAAGAGTAAAAAAGCTGACGTTTCGAGCGTTAGCCCTTCGTCAGAGCGATTGGAGAAATTATGGGTTGTGTGTGGGTTTATATGCAAGAAGTGGAGCTACGCTTTTCCACTCTTTACGGCGGCCAATTTACGTTTTCAACTCACCAAATTACCTGCCATACACTCCCACCGACGTAGCACCACAGTTTCTTTAGAAACTAACCCCCTTTAATCAACTGTGGCGAGTCGTTCGATTCGAGTTGAATCAAGTCGATTCGACAATATCTGCAATCTCCTTTCGTGGCCCCTCACGGAAAATTTCGTAGTGCTTTGCAAGGAGGGTCTCAATGGGATCATTGCTTTTACGGCTAACGGTTAAAATGTTGGCTAATATATTGTTACCGGTTGATATCTTTTGATTGTGGTCACTGGAAAATTTTTGTGGTCAATCTTTTTAATAACCAACTTTTAAAACTTGTAAATTTTTACGCCAAGCAGCTTTATTTTTTGACAGTTTAACGGCTAACGGTTAAACTCTCTAAGACCCTCAAAGCTGGTCAAAAATTCCTCATGATGAAATTTAATTTAGTTAATTGTGTGAGAAGGGCAAAATTTCTGTATAACCCTATAATAAATTGTAATCAGACACAGGAATAACAGTGATGGTAAAGCAAGCTTAAAACAGCAGAAATTGCCGGAAACTACAACGGACACACAGGATGCGAGTAAGTGTTATTGATTTTACGTGTAAAATATTCACTATATTTATATTTCGAAATATTTATCGTTGTAAATCGACCATATTTCGTTCCCCATACTATTCGTTATAACGTGTTCAAATTTTCAACGGTTCCTCTTTGTAACTTAACACCGAGTCACACAACGCGTGACGCGTTCATGAATTAATCGTTGGCTTTTTCTCGAGACGTGAGATTGGGGGGCCTGTGGTTTAATGAATTCCTCTGCGAATATCTTTGAATTACGTGCTAGTATGTTTTGTTTTCTGATTTGTTTTTATTTTAAAACATTCATTTGATTTCATAGCACTGCTAAGTAATGCGATATATATGATATCGGGTTCCCAAAATTTGGATTAAGGTGGCAGAGTGTAAGATGCAGTTTACAGTTCCTGAGCCTTAATAAAATAGTCTTTTCCGACCACGAATACGGCTTTAATTGGAAGGAAGATCTTCCAAGTAGTTCATATTACAAACTTAACACAGGAATCGATTCATCAAAATTTGGGTTAACTGGGTCTCGTGTTTCCACTGAATATGCAAATCCAAACTGGGATTTAGAAAGGAATTCTGCAAGTATTTGAGAAATATAAATTTTTCTAGTTCACTCCCTGAATTTGGTATTACTGACGTCACGTTATATTTAAGTTCCACGACAAACAATAGAGTAACCATTCCATTCCATTTTCTTGGTTCTAAACGAAGCAATCTTTCAGTAAAATCATTCTCATACCTATTTTAATTTACTAAAAATTAAACCCCTGCCACCCGATTATTACCCGACACAAATGCAGGCTAGAATTTTAACACTGAGTGAGCTTAACTCATGCGCAGTAGCGAATTTGTAGTATCTATGAAAACATCGATAACTAACCTTGTCAGAAGTTATCTAGTACCTTCTTTAATCCCAGGATTTTCTTGATTTTGAGTTGTGGTCATCTTACGTTAGACTCCGTCCTTCAGAGAGAAAAAGGGAAAGTTTTTAAGTACATTTGTAGCTATATCTGGAAAGAACGTTCTTGTCTTGAATGATTAAAATCAATGTCAGGAACGAAAAATTAAACTTAGTTTGAGTCACCCTTAATTGAAATAAAACAACAAGATATATAATTTCTCGGACTTGGTAGATGTACTATCACGATAAAACGGGGATCGCCGAGTCCATTTGGCGGTTGACCGAAGCCTCCCGTGTCGATGAAAAGAGGTACTAAATCGTAAAACTTTCATGATCACTTTATCTTTATTTGGCCAGGCTATGAGCATAAATAACTTTATACCATGAAAAGCGATCAACACACAAACAATAATAACGTGAAAATTTCTCGCTGTCACTTTGAGAGACCGCAGAGGTCACGTGGTTTAAGAGGAGCAGCTTTGATTTATCTTGCACAACATAAACATACTTTTCCTTTTTCATTTGACTCAGTCACTTGAGTTTTCGAACGTGAAACGAAGTATAAAAAACAAACGCTATATTCCAATCAAAAATTTATTTAAATATGTAGAACATTTACCTTGAGAAAATTTCGTGACAAAACGGTATCCATCAAACTTTAGTTTCGAATTTAAACCACTCGATTAAACGTCCTTGAAAAAAATACAGCCGGTCTTGACAGAGCTAACCATTTCCAATGAAATAACGTTCAAATGCCGTGATTTGTGGCCCTAAAGACGCTGCAAAAGGCACAGAAATTTCTTGTCGTTCGGAAGCTCTTTCCACGTGCAATGGTGGTCGCAAATACATGAATATTAATTTAGCCAAAAACATATTTGTAATTCAAATTTCGTTCTCAAGCTTGCAATGGCGGGACCTGCGAGCTTTTCGGTCACTTAAGTTCAGTTGTTAATCGAAATGAGACGCTTTTGTAATGGCTGGTTTTGCATATAATTTTATTTCGATAAAAGAGTGAAAATATAGTTGTAATAGTGTAAAAAATCTTGACTTAAACTCAGGGCTGAGTTTTCCAAAGTGCGATTAAGCTAACCAAGGGTTTTCGTACAATTTTTCATTTAGTTTTGTAGCTTTTTAGACCATTTTTTATTGTTTATATTTTTGCCTTCTGTTGCGTCTTAGCTAAAGTAAAAACCATCAGAACGTAAGCCCTGATATACGCTTTATTTCAAGGAAAATTGAAGGGCTAGTTGAACTTTTAATCCTGAATTGTCGTTAATCATCCTGGAAAAAAGCAGGCCCAGATTAACTCCAACTCTCAAACATTAAGAGCTATTCCCCACTGAACACAGTTTGTCCGCCTTTTTGTTTTTAACTATAGTGAGAAGCATGCGGGCTCATCAGTTCTCCGGCCCCTAACTCCGCCCAATGAATTCTGGGAAATATTTTGAGCTGCATTCATAAAGGACATTAACATTTTTTTTTTCGAACGTAATTTGATATCATACACAACAAGTGTTTTGAATCTAAAAATTGGAGTAGTCTTATTCCTAATTCAACAACTCAATATTTCATCGCAAAAATTCGAGATGTGTCTTTTTTTTCCATGTAAACAACTCGGATTTTCTGTGGAAAATTTGCAAGTTGCGCTGTTGGTTATAAACAACCTATATTGCAACCACAAAAAATAAAAATAATAATAGGAAAATCCGAGTTTTCTAGTGTTGAAATATAGTGTTCGGTAATCGAATTTTTACTGCAAAAATCTAGTGTCTTAGTTTTTCTCATAAAAAATTCGAATTCTTACCGCAGAAATTTCATTTTTTTTCCTGAATGAAAATCCGTGTTCTGCATGTAATTAGAGTTTCAATCGATCGGAAACGAGAAAACATTGCTGATGTGCTATATGGGCCACGGTAGAGTTGAAAATTGACAGGTATCACGTTCCTCAAAATTTTAACCTTTCAAAATTCCTTATATCGAGCTGCACTTACCTAGCAGTACTCCAATTACGTTGACAAAGTGGCCACTTTATGGTAAAAATGCACAACCCTACGAAAGGCGGGCCGGTTGGGGGGAAGGGATGCAGTGAGTGCAGACCCTCTACGATACCCGAAACATGTCACTGAGGGGCTTGTAAAATGCTGTTGTAGAAAGCCCATCCCCTCCCCCTCTTTGCTGGAAATTCCCACCCATGTCTGTGTTAATGTTTACGTCATTTGTGAGCAATCTAGAATAAGACACTGGCCTGGAGGAAATTGAGCAGGAAATCGATAGAATCTCACTATTACCTCGGAGGTTCGAAGTTTCGGGGAAAAATTGCTTTCACATTTTTTAGCAGATCTTTGTCAAGTGGTTTTATCGTTATATTTACAAAGATATTTCATCACTGCGAAGTAAATTGATGGACGACATGTGTTCGACACGCTTAAGGGCGTAAAAATCGGGTCTCTGACAGTGACGGAGCCGGAAAAATCCCTGAGAAACAGCACAGGAAAAAAAACAATTTGGACGGAATGGAGTGATTATTAACAGCTAACAATGCTAGTAATTAAATCATACAGTCGGAGATATTGTTAAGGCACCGATGCGCGTTAGAATGATATCTGCCTCTGTTAAATCTTTACTCCCGGGGTGTTTTGATATATTTTGACATTCTTGTAGAGGTGAAGAAAGGAACAGCATCTTAAGACTCGCTGGTAAGTTTACGTAGTTAAAAAACTTAATCTGAACAAACCAAACCAATTTTTTTAAAATGTTCTGTTTAAGCATGAATCGAATCATTTCATGTTGAATTTACAGGCGAACAAATTGCTAAATTTCTTCTGCATGAATCATTATGATTGCTTTACTGCCAAAACTGGAACCGTACTTTTCGAAGCACGTTAGACTGAAAAGATAGTTGCTGGACACAATATGAATTACCTCAGTAGTTACCTCAAAGCAACTGAGCATCATTTTCATGGAAATTAGCAATTCATTGTGAAAAGTGAATATTGGAAATTTTTTCAATTATTACTTAATTTTTGGCATCAGACTAATGGAGTATCGATAACTGCATGCACTTTTCGCCATCTTTTGGTAGCTGATAGCAATTTTGGTGATCAATTTTCCACTCTGGTTACTAGAAGTTCTTTCTAAATGATAAGTATAGGCGTTTTCCCTCATAATTTTTATCTTTCACCTTTTAAATCTCTCAGCGAAAATACTCGACAAACACTAAGATAAATATAGCGTTCCTTTCTCTAACTTCTAAC